TGCATGAATGTAATGGACTAATATTATGCAGCTATGAGATTAATTTATCAATATTTCTTATATGACAATGATGCAAATGCACAATGTTAAACATAATAATGAAATGATGCATGGAATTAAATGGAAACACTAATTGAAATGATGCAAATGCACAAAGTCAAACAAATAAAATTGTTAGATAATCAATATATCACACAAATTATTTTTTCTTGTATCCTAACTTAGGGTTACATCTAGCAACATATAGAAAAGGCTCTATTTTAAAATTGACCTCTTAGGTGTAAATTATATACTAGGTTAGGTGATTTTGACCACTAAATATTCTCAAATTGTTTCTTACATCATTGTCTATTATAGACTAATAAGGCATTTCAATTTTCACCTATCACAAGCTACCAACGTAAAGGATTTAATTTGAGTGAGAGTATTTCGTTAGCCATTACGAAGATTATCATCTCACGAGAGTGTAGATACTTTACTTCTTCCTAAGAGGGACGAAGCCTGGGTATAAAGCCCATGTAATACAAATGCATATGATAGTGTGTGTGAAGAAACATAAAATTTTCAATCCCATAAATTAAGACAAAAAAGAAAAAAAAATGTTAGTAAACAAATAACATAATCATTACATTTTAAAACCATATGATAGTGTGTGTGAAGAAACATAAAATTTTCAATCCCATAAATTAAGACAAAAAAGAAAAAAAAATGTTAGTAAACAAATAACATAATCATTACATTTTAAAACCATTAGATCAGAGGATAGGACAAATTTAAAATTTATGGCCCAACTCTCTAGCAATTGCCAATGAAGTTATCAAACTATCATAACGTATAGATTCATAAATCTATAGCTACACTTAATAAGAGGAGTCATCACAAATATTTTTTAACTAGGTGTGATTGGCTACCTAATGAATCTATCTTTTTAAGAAGCTCTTAAGATTGACTAAGAGTCCCTAAAAAATAGGTTCTAACCTTCTAAATAAAACTAGGTTTGAGAGTTCGATTGCATATGAGAAAAGTTATAGCACCCTCACAATGCTCATTCTAAAATGGTACCATTTAATTTTAAATTATCGTAATATCTTGAGTCTAATGGTCTTAAATTTAATATTGAATATTATAAATAACTTTTAAAATTTTGCACCAATCTGTTAGAATTTTTAAAAATTTTTCTCACTTCAAGAGTATTCAAGAATTCTATTTGTTTTCTTAAAAATGCTCCATTGTCGGAAAAAGATTAATCATTTTTATTTTTTATTATTGAAAATATATCTAATTATTTCACAATTTGGACCAAATTAGAAATATCTTCTCACCTAAAAATCTCTTAGATAATCAACCATTTGCAATTATTAATAATTTCATCCTTGGGATTTATTTTTATTTTTTCATTTCTAAATTTTCCATAATTTGGGCTAATTTAGAATTTTTTTTATTTCTAAATTTTTCACCATTTAGGTCTATTTAAAAAAAAATTTTATCTTTGAAAAGAAAATAATACGACAATTATTTTTTGAAGTTTCATTTAAATTCTTTCACCAATTGGGACAAATTTAAAGAAATTTCTTACCTAGAGAATTTATCATTTGAATTTTTAATATTCTTATCTTTGGATAATTATCAAATATTTCAAAAAAAAATTTGTATTTGAAAAAGGATACAATTACTTTTATTGAAATTTCATGTAAATTATTCCACCATTTGAAACAGATTTAGATAAATTTTTCACCTATAGATTTCTCAGAGAATTTACCATTTGAAATTTCTAAGAATTTCATGCTTAGGTAATTAGTATTTAATTCCAAAATTTTTATTAAAATTTTTTATTTTTTTAAATTAAAAATAAATATTAGTTATTATTGAAACTTTATCTAAATTATTTCACTATTTGTAATAAATTTAGAAAATAAATTTCTCACCTAAAAATTTTATAAAAATTTATCATTGAAATTTCTCAAAATTCTATCGTTAGGTAATTAGTTTTTATTTTCAAAAAATTATTTCGTTTTATATTTTTTAATTTTTTTAATTTTTTCTAAAATTTAATCATGTGAAAATACTTTTAAAATAAATAAATAAATAAAATAAAAACCAAAACAGAAAAATAGTTTGGCTCAACTGAAAAACTTAACTCGGCTGCAGGCAGAGGAAGCAGTTGGAATGGCACAATTCACGACTCGACTCGGTTGGAGCTAAGGACAGGGATACAAGTTAAAAGCGGGTCAAGCACTACGAGTCGGGTTACTTGCTAAAAAATACGTGAATCTTGGGTTTCTTAAATGTCCAAAATGACATTGTTTAATAGCAGTATAAAAGATCAAATTCTTACTTTTTTTCTTAAAATTTTCTTTCTCTCTCTCTCTCTCTCTCTTCTCTCCTCTTCTCTTTTTCTCTATTTCTCTCTAGAACCTAAAAAACACTAGTTGAATCTTCATTAGATTATGAAAAACTCATTGGAATCTGGGTTGAGTCATCGGAATTCAATTTTCATCAGAATCTTTAACTGGATTCTGAAAAACTCACTGAAAAATTCAAATGTCAATGAAATCTTTATCAAAATCTGAAAAAAAAAATGCCAAAATCTAGAACTTTTCTAGAAAAATTTTCAAAAAAAAAAAATCTTCTTTTTTAAACCAAAAATCTCCAAAAAAAAACCTCGTATTCTCTAGCTTCCTTTGTGTGTATTTTTTCTATGTCTTTTCTCTGATCTGTATGTGTATAATTATAGGGTTTTGATCCAAAGAAGCCTATACTCGAAAAGACTTCCAATTCCCTTTAAATTCAAACTTTAATTCTAAATTTATCCCAAATTTGATAACTCCAAAAAAATAATCTTAAACAAATCCAACCACCTTAAAGTTTCACTTAATTTTTTGTTTTTTATTTTTGTTTTTATTTTTATTAACAAAAACAATTAAACTCTTAATTGATTGTGGTGTCTATAATAAGAATGACAACTAATTATAAGGATTTGCTTGTAATTAAAAATCAAATGTTAATTTCATTTACTTATAGCATGAAGGCACGTATAGGCATAATGGGTTGAAGTTTTTGAAAACATCTACGTCTTGCTCTAGTTAATAGATACCGCATGAAGTAGACAAGATAAACGTGGAAAAGCCACATGAAAACGATGCCAGTGGGCTACGAACAACTGTGGTTTGATCAGTCCAGAGTTGAAAATCATTAACACTTTCGGCTTAACAGTTAGGAGGCTTCGGTTCATATTGCTTCTCGCCCATATCCATCTTAATTCATCGGCTTTTCAGTGGATCATTTTTTTTAACTGGGTCAATACGTAGCCCAAACCGTATTAAAAAATACGATAAACTGGAACAAGCATGTAATATAACCACAAAAAATGAAAGGAAAAAAAAAAAAACACTATCTTTGACGATTCATGCATGGCACATTAAACCACTTAAAGCAAGTACACAACTTTGGCATGACATTGCGTATCTTTGTCTTTAGACCACAATAGTTTGTACTTCAAAGTGGAAGCGAATACATATCTGCCTTGGCAAAAGCCTCACAGATTTTGTACTTTCCAGTCAATGATGCTAACCGTTAACTGCCCAAGACATGAAAGTAACACTGACCAAGATTGAAGCAAACACATAATTACTAATCTCTCTTTTTACTTTCTGTAATTTTTTAGTTAGATGTTGAATTGCCTGATAAAACCCATTATTATAATCATATATATATATATATGTCCATATTTTAGGAATGTAAGAGAAGTTTGTTGATATTAATATAAAAACTTTTGGGCTTGCAAATTTATCCAAATAAAAGGGCAAGTTTATTAATTTATTGGCTAAATATTCAATTTTGTCCTTTAACATTTGGGAGATTGTTCAATTCAAGACATAATTTTTAATTTTAACAATTCAGGGCTTAATTTACTCAAGATTTAACAATTAATCCTTTGAGAAATGAAATTTGATATGTGTCGTACATCCGTTGTTTGTTTTGCTAAATGACTATTATTCCTACCAAATAAAACAAACAATATGACATGTAAGACGCCGGCATGTAAAGTAAAATTTTTAAAAGAAAAAAAAATCCATTTTCTCAAAAAAAAAAACTTTTCTTTCAATTTTCTTATGTAATCAGGATTTGCTTGACCAATGATTCTTCTTCTTTCTTATCATTCTCATCATTATCATCACCGTCGTGTGTTATCAAAGCACCACCACTACCATCCCTATATTGTATCCATATTAACTGAGAAATTAGCTCAAACCCACATTTATTTTCATCAGCAATACAAAGGAAATGGATGCCTATACCCTTCAATCTCAGAGTTCATGAACCCAAATAAATTCGCTCTTGTAACTCATAATAAATTTAATTTTATTGTCATTACATGAATAAAAATCATAAAAAGCTGAGATCATTTGAAACCTGAAAAAAAGAAACCTAAAAAAAGTCCAGAATAAAAGTCAATCTTGTAAATTCCCAAGGAGCTCGAGTAACTTATAAAAGTTTAGAGTTCTTAGATTTGAGTTTAACCTTTTTGGTGATTTTGAGTTTGTGTTTCTTCTTGAAATGTACATATTGAAACAGATGCATTTGAGTAAAAATTTACAAGGAGTAAAAAATTAAATTAAATATTTCACGTCACCCAAGGTAACACGATTTAACAGTATGTGTATTACAATCACCAAATTTCATGTAAAAAGTCCTTATTAGTTAGATCCCACATAGAAAAAGTTCTTAGTTGTTAAACTTAAAAGATTAGGTCCTGATTTGAATAACCCTTCAAATATTAGAATTAAATTGAGCATTTAGCAAAATTCATTGCTGTCTCCAACAAGCAAACATAACCGCCAAGATTCTCTCTCAAACGATCTCGTTGTGACCTTGTGAGAATCATGTATATGTAACGGTTCTCCCCAATGTCCAAGTTGTAGTTTTGTCAGTGCTTGCTCTTCCCTCTGCATTTTTTAACGTATCGTGATCCAAAGACCACTAGCAAGACTCCATGGACCATGGATATGGAATTTGTAGGCTCTGACATGACTATATTATCCATAACTGACCCAGGTCCTAGCAGAGGAAGGGCGGGGCGGAGAAAGCTTGAAGATGGTGATAACAAAGAACTCAAATCAAAGAACCTCCATGCCGAGAGACGAAGGAGGCAGAAACTCAGTGATAGGCTATTGACTCTGCGTTCAGTTGTCCCAATAATCACAAATGCAACTACCCAAAACCATACATTTTTATATCTTAACATTTCAAATTTCCAATTTGCTAACTTCACAATGTTTTGTCACATCTACTAGTAACAACCCTCTTGTTCCTGATTCTAGATGAACAAAGCAACAATAATTGAGGATGCAATTACTTACATCCAAGAACTGCAGAAGACTTCACAGGTTCTCAGTGACCAGCTACTCGAAATGGAAAAATCATCTGGAGAGGGAAGAAATTCAAAGAGAACTGAAGTTGATGCTGCAGAAGATATGAAGAAATGTGGGATAAAGGTTGTTCACCCCTTTTTTGTTCATGAGTCATAGTCACATTATAATTGTTTTTATCTCCAATATGATCTTTTTCACTCAACATATAACTCTATCGATATTCCATTTCCATTGTGATGTTTATAGGAAGAAGTTCAGGTGATCAATATTGATGGGAACAAGCTTTTATTAAAGATTATCCTGGAGAAGAAAAGGGGTTGCTTCACTAAATTGATGGAGGCCATGAATTATCTTGGTTTTGAGCTCAGTGAAACCAATGTTACCACCTTTAAAGGAGCAATGCTTTTTTCATCCTGCGTACAGGTGAGTTTAGCTTGCAGAAACCTTAACATCCCCTCCTCTGTATGACCATGTGATGGCAACAAACCAAAAATTGGTACAAAACCCTTATCCCCCATGTATTATTGGACTTTGCCCCCTTTTTCAGTGAAATATCAAATATCTCATTTTTTTTTACTTTTTTAAAAGGAAACAAAAAATGAAAACGAAATATTGTCCATGTAGTACGTACTGTGGTTGTGATGTGCACCATCCCAAAGCTCACATCTCTATCCTTTGTGTAGTTTTATAAACCTAAAGATTGGCAAGCTAAAGGTAATGTTACATTTATTATGATTTCAGGGAGCTTATGGGGATAATCTCATGGTTAAGCAGACCCAGGAGTTTCTGTCAGAGATCATCAGAAGAATGAGAAACTGTTCTGAATGTGCTATTGATGAGTCTCTCTGATTTGTGAATTTGGGAAGACAACTTCCAGGATTATAGTTTATTTATCTAATATTTATAACATACTGAATTATAGCAGTAAAAATATGACTCAAAGAATTTTATTGCTTATCGTGGTTGAGAGGAAACCTTGATTAATTTTAAGTCTGGATGTTGAGAACAATAAAGAAAAAAAGTGTTGCATGATTATTTTAGAAATCTAATTCCCCTGTTTCCTGACAGACATTAAATTGAACTTGATGCTGACTATTATTGTCTGATTGTTTACATTTTGAAATAATGATCAATCATCCTGCTGGGAGAAAGTTGGAGAATATATACAGAAGACATTGATTTAAAACTATCACAAGAAAATACTAGTAATTAGCGACTTTAAGTTAAAGAAATAAACTTCATGAAGAAAGTTTGATGGCTTTGTTGAAACCGATTTTCTAGCTTGGGTGAAGTTGACTGATGGTCAATCTTCTCTCCATCCTAAGGCAAGCGACTAATTCGTTGAAAGCAATCGTATGAAACACAGTTGTTATTTCTTGTCATTTTGTTGATTCCTCGCATTCTATACAGTTTACCAAAATTGAATAGTGTCGGAGAGTAAACCTTTAGATCTCCCCCGAATATACCTTCCCGAACACCACCTCCCCTCATAAAGCATTATTCAAAGATCATGAGATCAATATTCAAACAAACGGAACAGTTGTTTCCGAGTGTTCAAACCAACATGCCACTAACCCTCATAAAATAATTTACAGAGTCAAGATACAGTCCAAGCTTCCTTCTCTATGTGTATGACCAACCCTGCTTTCTTGGCAAGATTTAAAGTTATACCACTTCCATTTGAGTTTCATGGCTCCGTTTCGACACCTTTGCATTGTTTTAGCAGCCGAGTCTTTTAGCTTTATTTTCAAGTTTCAAGCAGCAGATGGTTCCAGGCTCATCCCACCAGATCAAGCTGGGACAGAAGCTGATCCACCGGATGTTGCAGTGGTAGCAGAGGCCCCAGTAATTAGAGCGATCGGGAAGCATTATTCTTCTGCTAAGTCTGCAGCGGGCGGAGATGTCATCCTCGGTGGATTTGTAATGGCTCTGGTGGTGGTAGTTGTTTGCTACCTTCGCGTCACAAGAAGGAGCCAAAATGCCGATGCCTAGTTTTCAAAGGCCTTGCTTTGAGTGTTACGATTTATGAAACATAAACTACTTGCAGTCCCCAAGCTTCTCATACTGTTTTGGACGAGGTTAGATTTTCATAGTCAGGCAAGTGCTTGATACAAATTTTAAGATTACACAACCTCAGAGCATGATAGAGTACATTAATATACATTATTGCTTCATTTTTACTGTTTTTGAACTTTTAATTCAATGATTTGGTAGTGTCTTACCATTTTGAAAGCCTATCAATTGAACATTGATCTGTAAAAGTATGGGCTCACATAATTTTTTTTTTATATAAATGATATTTTATTAATCCAAAGAAGCAAGAAGAACTTGCTATCCGTCAACAATTCAAAAAAATAACATGAGAAAATTTTTATACAATCCTCGTATTTTTACATACCAAATTACCAAAGAGATCTTCGATATATTTTACAAATTTGAAAAGACAAAACTTTACATCAAAACTAAATTGAAAGTTTTATACCTGGAATACCGAATAGCCCAATCAAGCTGTTGCTGCCAGTTTTGAATCCTACCATCAAAGCCACACACTTTACTGAAACCAGATGCCAAACCTTGTTTGAGAAGTGATAAGAAAAGTTTTGAATCCTGGGGTTCGTAATCGTGATTAATTAGTTTAGCGTAATAATCATGGATAATATGTTTCCAAGTGATTATGATTTAACTATAGTTGATCTGATTTTCAAACAAATGACTGGTCGCTGGTCCCACTATCTTCAGCTAACAGATTGATAGGAAAAACTAGTTGCTATATGTATATGCTTATTCTTACGGTACAATCTAGACGGTCAACATCAACCTTTTTTTTTTTTTTTTTTACGTTAAAAAACTTGGTAATTTTCTTTTGCGTTTTATGTGATGAAGATCACTGCCAAATCCCAAAGTAGGGTCACCAAGAGGGGAATTTTCTACTTTTTGATATGAAGTGCTGCTAAGGTGGAGATTCGTTATTAACTAATTGAGGTATTGTTTGATTTAACTCTAGAATTTTACAGTTTTATTTTACAAGCTTTTCGAATATAGGTTAAAATTTTAATTTATATAGTATAATAGATATTTAGAATATCTCAAAGTAAAATTAAAATATCATAAATTTTCTTGTTAAAACATAATATTTCTATCAAACTCAATATAAAATATATAGAATCAGAATTACATTAAATATTAAAATTCTTGAAATTTATAACATTTAATTCTTATAAAATTTTTAGAAATAACTCTCATAATATAATACTTAACTTTTTTCGATTATCAATTGCTATAATATTTGTAACAATTCACATAAAATCTACGAAATATTATCCGTTTTAATCATAAATCTTATAATTTTATCTTGTAATAAATGCTCTCAAATATAAATTTAAATCTCAAATGAGTAAATTCGCATGAGAAGAGTAATTTAATGCTTGAACTCAAAACAAAATCCTAACATTTTGCTTGGAAAACTAACAAGAGGTAATTTAGTAAACAGAAAAGCGAGAGATAAATAATTCAAGATCTTTTTTATATACAATTTTATGAACTCCTAAAATTTTGTCAGTTGATTACAAAATCTCATCTTCCATCTTCCATTTTTAGATCCTACGAAGATCTTCTACAAACTCTAAAGAAGGAAAATAAAGAACAAAAGGCCAAAAAAAAAAAACAAAACAAAATCTCTAAGAATTTTCATCTCGTGAAATCGAATTCCTTCTTCTTCCTTCCAATATTCTCTGCCAAAACTTCTGCATTTAACAGCCAAAATTTTACATGATTTAAGAACATTTTTAATTCACAAGATTCAGACAAACATAATAAAGAACACAATCCTGAGAAAACATAATAAATTTAAAGTTCTAGACTGATTATTTTAAACCCAAAACAGAGGGAATAAGCAGAATAAAAGAAACAAATAATTATAAACAAATTCATGCTCCAAATCAATCATGAAAAAAACACTAATAAAACCAATGAGGATCAGAAGGATTAGAGAGAGAAAAAGATTACCTTGAGGCTTGCAAACAGGAGGGTTTTCAAAGAGAGAAAGAGAGAGTTGCTTGTAAGCAAGACCAATATCAAACAAGATAAGCCCAGAAGAAGGATCAGTCACTATGATACCTTTAACAGGCAACCACAAAAATAGCTCTTCCTGCGAGAGCCCTTCAAGCCCCACAAGCCCGCCATAGCTAAGGTTAGCTCTCACCACACGGTCAAAGTATACTCTTCCATCAAACTTGGCCATGCATGGGCTTTCCAGGTGCACTTCCAGGCGACCATCAAGGTCAAGTTCGTAGGATTTAACATTGTCCGGGAAGAGACCTATAGGCAGGCCTTGACTCTGGAGGAGTTCTTGTATGGAGAAGGAGGCTGTGAAAGGGAGGAGGAGAAGAAACAGAAGGAAGAAAGATATGGGTCTCAGAATTTTCAGAGATGAAGACATTGTTTGGATGATTTTAAAAGACACACACTGAAACTTGAATGCTGAGGTTTTTTCAAGGGTTTTAAACTTTTAATTTTAAGATTGTGTTTTTAGATGTACTACAGAACTGGGTCAATTCTAGGATGGAATATAAAAGTGAGGCCAGAATGCACCGCCTAATTTCTAGGCTGGCAATTTTTAATTTATATTGACTTTACTATCCTTTCTCAATGTCTTATACTTTGTTAATTGTGATTTAAAATCAACATATTTGGAGGGTGATTTGGGAAATCCGAAGTATAAAGTTTGTGAAAGGAATCATAACAATAAACAACAGTTTGTCAATCAGCAAGGCGGCCAACAAATGATCGAGTCAGCAGCTACATATCAGGTTTGAGTTTGACAGCTCAATTACTAATACTAGTTTTGTGATCACTGATGACAATCGCAGCTTAATTCCCATAAAACATGGAAATCTTGACACGCCACAGATTTAAAAAATTACATAACAAGGTTTTTAATTAAGATGATTAACCGGTTGTCAGATTACTAAACAAAATAATTTACATACTTTTTAATCGGTGAAGCCACTTTCCTTCTCTTTATGACTTTTGCTGTTCCTCTAATGATATCATTGTAAATGCATCGATTGAAATATCTGGTGCCTTTTTCTGACTTGCGGCCATACTCTTCATTTTTTTGTAATCTTGCTTTTGTTTGTTATCACCTTCTCCGGCATTGTTTTCTTTAATTAAAGTTCTATAAGTAATTAACTTTCAGTTTCACTGTAGAAATTTTTATGCTGCATTTTTTGGTGTGTGCATTAGTTTTAATTTCAATCTGATATTTGTTAGACCTGAGTTTCCATATTAAACTGAAGAATTTGTATAAGTATCAGAGATGAAGCTGATAAAATTTTCTCAAATGTCACTTATTGATTGTTTATAATTGCAAAGCACCAGTAATGCAAAATGCGGCCACACTCCAGTATGCAAGCTTGGTCTCCTCGGGGACTGGGATCATATTCATTCTTGCAGATGCCACATATTTCCTTTTCTTCCAACATCCTCAATAACAATTGTTGGAAATGGTTGCCCGCCATCACATACAAAATAAAAAGCACAAAATAATTAATGATTGCATCATGTATTAAGCATTTTGTAAATAAGTTAAAACCCAACCAGTGCATTGTTGGTCAAAGAAGGTAATGGCTGCAGCCTGCAAGTTAATGCAAGGCCCATTTATTTACAAATGAAAAGGGTCGAAACCTCTTCCAAGGCCCATTCTCAGTGGACTGGCATATCACAAAAACTTCAACCGCCAATTGACCTTTAGATATGCAGCTTAACCGGAGAAACTGCCCAGAAACATGGTTAATTGTTAGTACTTTGCTGCTATAATTGTCAAATATTAGTCAGTGACTCTCTCACTAGATGCCTTTATTTTCTTCTCTGATTGACCAATAGCAAACGTAATGTATGAAGACTGAATTTAATGTCAGTCGAATTTTATATCTCCGCTTGGAGTACATACAAAAGGTTAGGTTCATTTTACAGCATAACAAGCACACAGTTCAAGGAAATCAAGAAAAGGCCTAGCTGATATACGTCATTGATTACAAAGTATAGTATCCCAAGTGGAATTGTTTGAGGAAAACTCAATAAACAAAATTAAATCATTATATTATTTATTTAAGTATAATCATTTGACCAAATCTTATATTATATCAGCAGTTCAACCAAACTCTTGTTTTCTGAAAGCAATTAACCAGCTCTTGTTTTCTTATAAAAAATATATGTATTTTGCCCAAGGGATTATTATAAAATTGTCTTCATTGTTTGATCCTTAATCGGCTATCTATAAAAACAAAGGCCTGGTCGACATCCTTGTGTCATGTAAGATAGTGATTGTTCATCTTCAATTTTGGCTTAGGCAAACCAAACTGAATTTTATAGTTTGCAAGTGATTGAATCTTGTAAGTTATTAGAATATTATTTAACTTTTGTTGATGCATCAAAGGACATCAGGATTTTGGGATTTCTAAACATTTATCATAGCTCCTTTAGCCAAAATTATTGTTATGTATTTGGTTGCATTAACAATAGTTTCTAATGTTCTTGTTTTCTTGCAATAAAGGTCAAGATCATTAATAAAAATAAAAAATCCTTCACCAAATTCTACAGAGAGCAGTTTAACCTTCCTTTGTGGGTCATTTGGAATGTAGTTGTTGGAGGAAAGCTGCATTGATCACCCTTAAAAGGGTAAGCAGTTATGTCAGGTATTGTTAATATATCTGATAATTAATTGTCTAATCTTGTTTCCCATTCTTAATTATCTCTAATCTCATGTAATACAAAAAGCTTTTCGATATGATTCTTCTTGATCATCATCTTGTATTTGTTTACATTTTCATATAGGGCAAGTTACTTAATCATGTCAACTTCTCTGGAGGATTTAGCTGCACAACTTCAACACATACAAAAATAAACTTATTGGACCAGAACCTTTGGCTTTGGTTGCTCAAATACCAGTTTTTTTGGCTAGAACCGGTGAATCACACTTGAAGATTGAGTATGCTGATTATAAAATGCAATATCCACATGATCTGACTTTGGAGTTTTTACATGAATGCTTCACGAGGTAAGAAACAAAAATGTGAACAAGTGATTTCAGATGAGGTAAAGAAGCGTGTGGACAAAAAATTGAGTAGGGAAAGGGAATTGTTTCCCTAGCAATAATGACAAGAAGAAGAATAAGAAAAAGAGTAGGTCCAACCCGTCCCTCTACTCCATTTTACCATCATGAAACCTAAAACAATATTATCTTGAATAACTCCTTCACCTGAGTCCATTGCTTTTGAAATTCCTCTGATCAATTGGAATGGAATTGACCCATCTGCCAGTTCTTTTTCTAAAGTGTAACGATGATGTCAAGCTGTGGGGCTTTTCTTACCAGTTTCATAAGCTTATAGAATATCACAAAATTAGCTCCCAAACGATGTGTGTGAACAAAATAAATATTTGATGGGGATGTATGATTTAATGGAAAAAAATTTTGAAAATTCATGAGGCAATAATTCTCTTTTATTTTAAGAGAATTAGTGATTTAAAGATGTGATTTCAAATTAAATTCAAAAACATTTAATCAATATTTCAAATTGTGAATCATAGTAGTTCAGACTTGAGAAAGAAGCTTGAAATATCAGTGGAAAAGGAAAAGAACTGCATCCACAATAACACATTTCAAAATCCAATGATAGAAGAAAACACAAAGAAAATTTTGAGGTACTCTTTCAGTACATGTTGACCAATGTAAATATATATATATATATATATATATATATATAATCAAGGACATGTATGAGCAAAAGTTGACAAGGAATGACCTTATTTTAATGTCCTAAAATCATCAGTCTTAAGAATATTAAAGGGGGTATTATCTAGGCACCCCAAATGACTAAAAGAATGTTTTAAATTACATGGGTCAATCATCCATGTCAATCCCACCAAATGGAAGACTAGTTTTTGGGTGACATTTCATAAAATCAACAAAAAAAAATTTATGAATGACCTGTCGTAGGTGGCTTTGGAATTTAGGAGGAATTTTGTTTGGTTGAAAATGCTCAAAAATGCATTTTCAAAGATAATATCAAACCCATAAGAGGATAGAAGTCAATCTAGACAGAGATGGCCATGGAGGGAACATGCATGCACCTAATGCAAAGAGAAGGATTACAAGTTACAATTGAGTTTCATGAAACCCATGGGCTGATCATTTATAACTCATGGGAATTGAAAAAGGGGAAATTATGTAGTGCAACTACCACTAAATAAACATTAAGCCACTTTAACATCATGTTTAGCACAATTTGACAATTTAATAATCTATATATCAATTATCATTTAATTTAAGGGTTAATGTTCAGTTTTCTTCATAGTAAATTAGTAAATAGGGAAGGGAAAAGGTATGTGTAAAAAGAAGAGAGAAGAAGAAAGGGTAAAGGGCGGCTGGCGTTGTCATGGTGTGTGTTTCACCGAGTTTGGGGTTGACCAAATAGGCAAAGCCACCGCACACGTTGGAACCACAAAACACATGGACCATCTTTTTGGGTTTGAACATTTGGAGTCGAACTCTCAAGCCCCAAGTCAGTTAGTCAACCCATGGCCTCATCTCTCCATTAGTTTATTTTGTTCACATTTTGTTGGTATTTGCTCATTTCCCTACTTGTGTCCAACCTGCATGATCGCTTGGGGTTACTTGACCAAGTCACTATTCCTCTCTTCTCACCCATACCTATGTATTTCTCCTTTATTTCTTGCAATCTTTCACACTTCATGATTCCATCAGTATTACATCACTATTGTATATTTCTACATATACATACATGTATTTGATTAAGTATGTACATTTCAAAGCACTGATCAAATCTCTAGGATTCATCACCTTATTCAAGTAAAATAATTATAATTATGACAACCTTGAACAAGTCCGATTTTTTTTGTACATGCATGGTAGGAGTCATAAGAAGCAGGACATGAGCAGTAGGGTCCCCCAAATGGGCAGGTCACTTAGTGAAGAAAGAACATTCCACAATGACAAGAAGACAAGCGAGAAAATCTAAGGGCTTGATGGGTATAAATATATATGATCTACTATCTATTTGCATTGATGGAAAGTGACCATGCTGTCTTTAACCTGAGATAGTCTGGCTCAGCTAGACAGCCACTTATTTCAAGAGGATTTTCCTTCATGCCCAAATATTATTTAATAAGGTCAACCAGTTGGAGAGTGGCATTTAACTTATATAAGCCTAATAAAACACAAAAGATACAAATCCGCAAATTTGATTTTTCCACAGACATTATATGAAGCGAGAAGAGCAAATTTAGGATTAATTAAGATATTCAATTACTTGGGACAAAAAGCTGTATGACTTAATTAAATTATGTATTAAGATTCTTAATTGTAATATCATATATTAATTAAATACTAAACTCTAACTATAGCCCATGAAACTTAAAATCTTACAAGAACAGGCCAACCTCTAATATTTATAGCAATATATTTAAATGTTCAATTTAATAATAAATTTAATTGCTAATGAAATATTTTTTAAAATTTTATATATATTTACTAATGAAATACTTTTTATGGCAAAGTATACTAACAAAAAAAAAATAAAAAATATCAAAGGCTGCGAATTGGGGGATAACATTGTTGGAATAAAAGACAATCACGTTAATTCAAATAATCATTAATTTTTTAGAAAACAAATTTTAAAATAAATTTTCGTAAAGTTAAAATTCATTCTTCATCATTTATAATTTTTTTAATACAAAAAAATTATAATTTAAAAAATACATTATAAATATTAAAATTCAAACTCCAAATCTAATAAACATCAATTATATAAACTAATTAAATTAAATTTTGAATTGTTCATCATTTGTAATTTTCCTTCTAATTTCCATGATTTCGCCTTTACATGTAAAGATCAGAAAGCTGCAGTAATGTAAACATAGTAGCATTGACTGGCTGTATGTAATGCTGTTGTACTTGTACACCCACCTGCCACCCTCGCGCTTGTATTTTGACTCTTGAGCCGTCAAACACGGTCCCACGTGTCTCCTCGCATGCGCGAGTGCCCCGTGGACCCATGATGACTCATTTCTCTTCTCTTCTCTTCTCTTCTCTCTTCCTTCTCGGCTTCTCGATATCTTTGGTCATATTATAATATATATGGTTTGTAAAGTTAATAAGTAGCTTAAAAGGCGAAGAACCTTTGATTAGTTTAATGGTATTTAATTAGTTTTTTAATTATTTTAGTTAAAAGTTTTTTTTTTTATTAATTTAACCGCTGCTAAGCATATTAAAAAGTTTTGGAATAATGGAATTTTAGTTATTAATCAATATATATGTGTGCGCTTCATTTTTCTAATCTAATATTATTATTTGATTTGGTGGGAGTGTAATGTTCAACTTTAAGCCTTTCTATGCTTATTATTATGTAGATATATAATTTGTCAAAATTTAAAATTTAATTCAATTAATTTATATAATTATTTTTTAAAAATAACAATTAATATATTTAAAATTTAAATTTCAATACTTATAAATTTTTATTTTATTTTCAGATTATGATTTTTTTATACAAAAAAATTATTTGGTCAGTACCAATGAATAATTATCAAGTAAGCGTATAAAAAAATCGTCTCATGTTTTAGAAATTTTATGCTTATCACATTCTTTTAATTTGCAAAACGAGGGAGCAAGCATAGTTTCTCTTTTTTTTCTTAAATTTCAAGACCCGTTAATCCTTTGAGAGCAAATGATTGGCTATTTTCAATTTAATTTCGCTATAGCATCAGACCTATTCGCAACAAAGTGATCTGCTTAATTATAAAAGTCAATATTAGGCAGCAGTCCACATAAAGATGATAGGTAACATGATCAATCACCATGGAACTATATATGTATGTTTCATATGTATAGTTTATTTATGAAATTTATTATGATATATGCATTTATAACCCCACGTGTATCAGAATTAACCAAAGATCATTTGTTGAAAGATTGATTAAGGGATTATGACTTGATAAAGTATCGATGTCAAGCGAGTTAGCAGTGTTGAAACTTTGAACTTAAACAAAATAGTCTCTGTCCTTTGCATTTATGGAGAAAATTTAGTTTTCAGGGATCAGACCTAACTTACTTTTTAAATCTTCAAAAGTCAACTATTTTCTTCAAATGTTTTTTTTTTTTTTTTTCTTATTGTAAGGTCTAATTAACTTTACCACAATCAAGAAATTAAATTAATTGGTCCAAGTCAAAGTAAATTAAGGTTCAATCACATGTATCGTGTTTGATTTTTTTTTTTTTACTCATTATTGAAGCCATTGACATTGATTTTGATTTTTTTTTCGATGGTTCATTTCCGCTCTCTTTGATTGATGATTTTTATTTTTTTGTTATTTTTCCTTTATTTTTTCACTTTTTTTTTATAAAATAAATTTGTAATATGAGAGCAGGAAAACAGATTTTAGAATTCGAATATTAAATTAACTTAGCTGAAAAGTCATATAAGGAATCCTTTTACAAATTCACAATAACAAATTAGGCGGCTATGTTATTGTGGTTTGGTCATCTACGTTTGTTGACCTATTGATTTGCTCTTTCACTTTGTTGCTTTCATAAAACACGAAAACCTTAAAGGTGTGAAAAATAATTTCGTGTAAGAAAAAAAAAGAAAGTAAATGCTGACAATTCCTATATATGAGTTTTAACAAATATATTTCATATTTAATTTGTTAATATGAATTTTGATACGATATTTTTGTGTTTAATACATTTAATTCGTGTAAGATACAAAAATTATATTTAAATAAATTATATCACATAAATGCATGAATAAAATAAATAAAATATGTCAAATACGTTTGACACGTTTATAATATAATTTATTTAAATTATATTATTAATTTACTTACCAAATTTAATGCATATAAATATCTATTAATTTGATCTTCATTTTGAATTCAAATCAAACATTTAAAAAAATCTTTAAAGGTTTTGGTATTGACACAAATTATCAAACCAAGAGGGTAATTTAAATTTCTATATTATAAATGTGTTAAGGGTATTTTCGGTCAATAGTTTTTTGGTTAATAGTATTTTCGAAATTGACGAAACTTGAAAGTGACTTTCACGAGCCACCACCAGAACCAGACGCTATGGTCACTTCAAACGTACAGTAACTGCTTTCCCTATGGTCCATAAATTTCAGGTTTATGTTCAACCAAATATCAACCGTCTGATTAAACAAGAATTTGAGTCCAAAACAATGACGTGGCAGTCAGATAAAACACCATCATCATCATCATCATTTGCCCACATCCCTCTATTTGTTAGGAGCAGAGAATAATTTTTAAAACAATTATCAAACAAATAAAACACAAGTATTAAAATTTTTTATTGGGAAAGTAGGAATAGCGAACAAAGTTAAATTTCTTTTTTAATTAATAATACTTAAAGAGAAAAAAATTCGATTCAAATTGCTTTCTCTCATTTGTCCAATCATCCTTTGAAATGTCAACTAAATTCTAGTAATTTCTTTTGCACTGATCCGTACTCCTGAACATTTATAAATTACACATCATGCCACACTGGTAATCCTTTCATATACAAGTAACGTTTGGCTCACAAGGGAGAGAGCTCTCATCAAGACAACAAACAAAAAGGACTTCAAATTGTTTACTATGGCAGAAGAATTTCATGCAGGAATTTGTGGCGAGACATGGTGGAATCCGTCGAAAACCATGTTTACAGGGTGTTCTTCGCCTTGTTCTATGGGAATTGCTGACATGGGAAGCTTCGGATGGGGTATTGATATGGTGGATATCAAGGCAAGGACTTGTGATGAGGAGTCTAACAATTCAGTTTCTGGTAGCTCTATATTTTTCCAGGGTGCTCACCAAAAGCCTCAGCAAGCTGATTCAGATAGTGGTGGCACCAGTATTTTGATTGATTCTACCTTACAGATGATGGGTTTTGGCCTTTCATCATCGACAACATCTGATTGGAACCAACCTTTGATGTAAGTTTGATGTGTTATGATGATAACTGGTATAATTAGTAGTATTCATTTTCTTTAGCATGATCAAATAAGAATTTTTACGGTTGAAGTTCAAATACTAGGAGTCTTTATAGTCCAAAGCTTCAACCACAAGTTGGAAAGAAGAATAGTTAAGACTTTTTGGTTTTCCTTGGAAAAGGAAGTCAATATGATCAATGAATTAAATGTTTAATTATTATAGATTAAAATTCTTTATATGAACTGAATATATATGTTGTGATTCATCCTCTTGCCTGCGGCAGTACTCGGAATAATGGGTTGGATTCTTCTCAAATCCAAAAGGATTGGAGTCCAAAGAGCTATACAAGCCCCGGTGAAGATTCGTCCATTACTACCTTCAAGCCTATCAATCAAGATTTTTCATTGGAGCAACAGAGATTGAATTCTGTAACCAGCTCTGGTAACAATACACCAACCTGCCAGGGCTTATCAGCTGGGTTTCCAATGGGTACAGCATCATATGGGTACCCATCAACACTGTTACACAGTTTGTTTGAACCTGATCCCCAACCTCAACAACAATCACTTTTCAACAACCGGTCAATCAACTATATGTCTTCCACTGCCCCTTATAGGGCAAACGCTAATGAATTATCACCTTCTTGGCCAAAACTAGCTCCATTCATAAGGCCATCGTTGCCAAAGCAGCAGCCCAGTAGCATACACTTCTCCAACAACACACCCTTTTGGAACGCCTCTTCCACTGGCGGAAACGACGTTAAAGCTGGTTTTTTACCCTCGCCGCAATCACAATTTCTTGTGCAAACATATGAAAAGAAACCCAATTGTCCCAGCCTCACGATAAAGGTAAATAAATAAAGTTTGATGAGACATATATATAGAAGTACTTGTTCAAGTTCATGCCTTGGATCCAGGGATAGGGTTTCTGTGACAATTTTGATTTATTTATTTTCTGTTATGGATTGGTATTATAGACTAATATCGAAGAAGTTAGAAAGTCGGGGGGGTCAGTGATGAAGAAAGGAAGTAGTGAACCTCCATTCAAGAGGCCAAGAATTGAAACGCCATCGCCATTACCAACTTTTAAGGTACTACTATATAAATTTGACCAAGTTTTTTTAATGATGGAATCTTCAAGCTTTTTCTTCCAAGAAAGTGATCGTTTATTCAAAGAATTAAGATAATAATTTATAGCAATTTTTATCAGGTTCGGAAAGAAAAGCTAGGGGACCGAATCACTGCTCTCCAGCAATTGGTTTCACCTTTTGGAAAGGTGAATTTTTGGAATTTTCTTCTGCTTTTTTTTTTCTTTTTGATATTTCACAGAACATAATTGAAGGCTTTACTTTTATGTTGTCCTTTGGTTGATGTATACCTTACCTTTTTTTCAGACTGATACTGCATCTGTTCTCCATGAAGCTATTGAATACATAAAGTTCCTCCATGATCAAGTCAATGTAAGTTCCAGTTCCACTACCTTCTTCCTTTTATTCCTTTTTTTTCTTATATAAGACTGAACCACTAAACCCTAACATATTGTTTAACATATGAAGAAAAAGATACTAGGTAGAGAATTCTCAATATGGACTGAAAAAAAAAAATTTGTGTCATTTCAGGTTTTAAGTACTCCATATATGAAACAAGCAGCAGCTTCCATACAACAACAACAGGTATTAAATAAAAAAGAAAAGAACACTTTGATCGATAACTGGTTTTCTTTTTCAGTCTGCTAATAATAACTATGAATTCCTATTCGAATAATGGAGTAAATGTCTTATTCTGATTTTGAACAATTCCGCACTTTTTTCTTGCAGAGTCCTGATAAGTTGAAAGACCCAGAAGGGCCAAAACAGGATCTAAGAAGCCGGGGGCTTTGTTTGGTTCCAATCTCAAGCACATTCCCAGTTGCTAATGAGACCACAGCTGATTTTTGGACGCCGACGTTGGGTGGAACTTACAGGTAGAGAGGAGACAGTTAATATAGTTAAAGGGTGTTGTACACAACTACACTGTAGCAGATTAATTACCAGCTCCGGCCATAACTTCGATACTCAGAAAGTGAAAAAAGAAAAAGAAAAGATAATGGAAAATTTAGAAGCTAGCTACATTGCTTTGCTGTACCAGTTTTGATAAAAAGCTAAAGAAAACAAAGAAAAAGGGAAAAGAAAAAGGAAGTGACGCTCCAAAGATGGATAGAGACGAACAGTGTGCTGGACTGCTGGGCCAGCTACAAGCAGAATGATCAATGATATAGGGCTAGCAAATGATTAGGAACCCAACCCTTGGAGGATTATTAAAAAAAAAAAAAAAAGAAGATAACCATAGTTTTTTTTTTTTTTTTCAATAATCCAAGTAATATTAATTATAGTTGGAGGTGATTGGCAACGGGAACAAGTGCTAAATTCAGCGAAAACCGACGTGAATTTAACTGATATTATACTAGACGTCTATTTATTTTGTTGTTGTTTGTTGATGTTAGTAGCTGAATTTAGCAGATGGGGTTCATAAGGAGCCTTTTGTTCCTGGTGAGTATGTGTACAGGGCAGCCACCCCTTTTATTATTTACTACATGAAAAAGAAAAAAAAAAGAGAGAAAATCAATAAAGAGATTATTGTATTTGAAATATTTGTTGTTGTTCAGGACTAGCTATAGAAGTGAGTGGAGCTCATTTGATTGGGGTTTCGACTTTTTCAGTGTTTTTTTAAAATATTTTGGGAATGTGCTTGATAGTTGCTGGTGGAAGTCAGATGGCAGACCACTGTTCCTGCTTTTAGGGTTTCTTCATTATTTTAATTGAGAGAGAAAGAGAGAAAAAGACAGCAAGAAAAGTAGAGAAAACTCTCTTCAATTCTTCATTTGTGCTTGAGTGTGCGCGTGGCTGCCTTGAGGATTCAAGATTTTATCTTATTGGGGGGCATGAATCATGCTTTTGTATGGAAAAGCCACTGGCCAGTGTCCATAATGGGGTGAAATATTGCATACATTTTAATTACAGATATTGAACTTGAAAAATAGCCAAAACTGACCCAACCCTCTCTCATTCCATCATCTAATAATAACCTAGGATCCTTTTTGTGTTTGTTGTGGCACTGGATTTACCGATGAATGGTATTATTTTGATATTTCATGATGTGTGCCAAGGTAATTTACTGTTTCTAAAAGTTGTAATTAAGAATCTTTGATCACTGCTAAAACTTGTCTAACACATAACTATCTCTTTCTAATCATTATGTACTACTCCACTGTTGATTAGCATAACTTTTCTTAAGTTGTAATCTGGAATTTTCTGCAACTTTATCCTAAACGAATAGTAGCAAGCATAATGCAATAGTAACACCATAAAACCATATTGTATTGAAAACCATTGCTGAAAAACGAAATAAAAGAGAGTTGAACCACAATTACACAACTCAACTACGCAAAAACAAACTAGGTTGTTGGACTTCTTAGTCCTTACTGTCCTAATTCAACTAAAGGTTCAGTGGTTGACTTCTTTTGATTATTATCAGATCAAACCAAGTATAACCTAAATTTGATGCATATATATGTGAGGAAATGAAATTCTCAAAGAGATGATTTTTCATTTGGCCTTCTTGCATTAAGATCTTCTTTGCCATTAATTTAGTGTTTCGCAATTTACACTGATAAAGCAGATTACAAAAGAATCCATTAATCAACCATTTGAAGTCATTATTTCCTCAAATTATTGCGTTCAAGCAAATCCTACATCCGTTTAACAAGATATTATTCAACCTTGTTAAGCAATGTAAAAAGAAAAAAAAAATCAGAGATGAGAACCAATTAAAAGTAAAGAACTTAATCAAGTACATATCCAAAACTCTCAAAGAAGCTTAATATTGAAGAATCGGATGTGACAAGTGACTAATCATGAGAAATAAAAAAAGTATAATTTATAATAATTTTTCTTGACTGGTATATGGTCTTGCCAGCTGCTTTCTGTTTTGTTAACTTTTGGTGACTTTTTGAATTGATCGGCTCATGGGTATTATACCATAACTTGAAGCATCCGGATCAGTACCTATCTCGGTCGAGTACTCCATGGAATTCTATTCTTATATATATTTGTTTTTGCCCTAAGAAATACAAAGACAGAAACATAAAATGGAATACTGAAAAGGAAAAGCATCTATGCATCATTGTTGATGTTAATAAAGTATATGACTCCCAGCAGTTCATGATCTATCACTTTCGTGAAATACTTTCCTTTTCCTTGTTTTGGCTAATCAGAGGAAAACTCAAACAATAGTTGTCTTCTGATACAAGTTTTTTTTTTTTTTTTTGATTGCTTGAAAAAGGGTCATTGCTTTTTGCTCCTTTGAATCTAATCTTGTGCACCATTTACGAATCAAACCATATTGGCTTATAATAGCCTTCCAAGGAAGTATTGTTACACCATTAAAGATTCTTTCAATTTTTGGGTGTTGATGGGAAAAGAAAAAGCTTTGTCGCCAACTTTTGCTTCTCTTGTTTTGTCCAGCTCTTCGACCTCTAGCAATTTGCAAATGTTCCCGTTTCAAGGAGTTGATCTCTATTGCATAAAAATTTTGAACCCCAAATTACATTGTTATTACTCATATCAAGAAAGTTGGCTAATAAAGTTTGATCTAATCTGTCATAGGAGTAGTCAAGATCGTTATATTCTGTGCTTATGAACAGTTGCAATAGAAAAAGAAATTGAAAATGGAAAAGATATTAGCACCGACTTGATTTTCCATGCTATAAAAATGGCTTAAATTGATCCATCATTCCTGCCGAAAAATAGAAACCCATGAATCATCATCGTGTCTCTTCACTCTTCGGCTTCTTTTTCATGACAACTTTCGCTTAGGAGTGGGATGGAAGTTTCCTGTACGAAAAAAGGCCATCATTTCATTTAATATGTTTCTTTTTCATCTTTGATTTCATTTTTGGATGGAAAAACAAAAGAAATCCAGATGAGATTCTCGATGTTGTGGCTCTGGGAGGGTATCTTCAATTTTCTAGCAGCTTCAAACGGCCCCAATTCTTATGGATTTTGGATCTTGGGCCTTTGGTTGCTTGAAATTTTGGGCTGCAACTTTCTAGCAACTTGGACTGTAATGGACCAGTCAATAAGGAATTGGGCCCAACTTTTATCCAATTATCTAAGAGAAAAAAATAGAATTCCTCAAAGAGTCGGTTTGAATATAATTCGTGACAACAACAAATCCATCCCAACCAAGCATATATTATTCTATGGAGACCAAAGATCTGGAACAATAACAAAGGAAAGAAAAAAAAAAAAAACATGTTTTATAAAGCTGAATGCTAGTAGTTTGTTAAGTGAAATTTTAAGCTACTCCTTTGAGCTTCTTTGCAATGCCAGCGAAGTACTTCCCCTGGTGGAAAGCCTGCTCTAGCTCTAGCTCAGATGGTTGTCTCGAGCCATCCCCAGAAAAAGTCCCTGCACCATAAGGGCTTCCAACCTTCACTTTTTCCATCTTAAACATACCTGCGCCAAAGGAATATCCAATGGGCACAAAAATCATTCCGTGGTGAACAAGTTGAGTGATTGCAGTTAAGCTGCAAAATTTTCGAATTAGAAAAAATTAATAAAAAATTTATTTGAACTGCTATTTGATACTTTTACTATAGTCACGGTCCAAATACTCACGGGGTGGTCTCTTGTCCACCTCCTTGGGAACCAGTGCTGTAGAAAATTCCAGCAGGTTTGCCTGCAAACTCTTGTGTTCTCCATAGACCACCAGTTGCGTCCATGATGGCTTTAAACTGTGCAGCCATCATTCCAAATCTTGTGGGAAAGCCAAAAAACACTCCATCAGCCTTGGCAAGCTCATCGGGTGTAATGAAAGGGGCATCAGTCTTTGGTGGTGTACCCATCTTTCCAAGAACTTCCTCTGATAGTGTTTCAGGTACCTGTCAAAGTACCAATATTAAGCAGGAACGTACACTGAACAATTGAAAGGAAGGAAAAGTGACAAAGGGATTTCCAATTTTCAATGCTCATTTGGATTCCCCTTATGCAAATGTGTGATAATTGCATTTCTACTGACGAATTTCACAAGTAAAGGTTTTGCTGGTCTAGGTTCGAAAAGCAAAACTAAGAATCAGAAAATGTAAACTTCGAAATGCACTTGGTAAGAACTTCGTAAGTAAAAATCGGTTAAACTAGAGAAGACAGTTCAAATAGCTTCACCTACTGTAAAATGCTTCCTATATCTCTAGGAAAGAACTAAGCCTTTGAATCTAGTAAAAAGGAAAACATTGTGAAGATAATCAAACCTGCCAGAGTTTGACTTCTACTCCCACAACGGATGCAGCTCCTTTCTAATCTCCTGTGCCAGCTTCTCAACATGTCCATACACGGAATATAGTAAATGCTACAAACACCCAAGAAATTTTTAAGTTACTACTCAACAAAATACAGCAATTGAAATTCTTTCAGTAGGTATGTTTCCTAACAATGCAAGGGGTTATAACAAAGGAAATTATCGATCAAACCCAATTACAATAGAGAAAGTTACACAACGCAAATGGATCAACGAAAGTGCTTGATGGGACTACCCTGTCAACAAGATAAGACAAACTGTGGGTGTTTTGTTTTCTACCCTTGTCATCTACATATATAAACAATTTCTTTCTAGGTGAAAAAAAAGGTTATCTGTAAGCATTGGAAGCCATGAAAATGAAAGCCACTATGTAAATTATATGCACAAAGAATAGGACTACTTTAAAAATGGATGATGGGACCACTTGCTAAAAAGAAGAAGAGCCACCAGTTTTCTCCTAATCGTATAATTTCAATGGCAGGTCATGTTTCACAATCACTTTATTTTGATGATTGAATAAAATTATGTACTATTCAATGGCAGGTCCTGTCATAAAAAATCTTGCAAGAACACAGAATGAAAAAGGAGAGATTGAAAAGTAACTTGAAATTGAGTATAACAAATTTTCCTTAAAGATACAAATGCGGATTCAACCATAACTATAAACAAAATCAAATCATTTGAAACCAATACAGTCTATAGGTTTTAATTGAGAGAAGCGATTTCTCACCAATAAACATTCCCTTTTAAGAAAAATGTAGTAATAAAGCAAAACAATACATAGCTGAAAACTCCATTTAACCGAGGAAAGAAAGACAAAGGTGAAGGAGAAAAAGAAAGTATTAAACTAAATCATTAATGCAAGCAATTGTAACAGAATTAATGACTAAAACTGAACCCCAGAATCAAAATTTTCTGATTCATAAGGAAAAAAAACAAAACTTCACAACTTAATGGCTAAATACACGAGAAAACAAATGCAATGAAAAGCAGAGCAACCCCAAAGAAACAAGATTAGAATGCTAGCACAATGTAGACTTTGGTGGCCATTTTCTTTCTTAGTTAACTGTATTTTATGCTTTTGAAGGCAAAGCAGAAGCATTTTTTTTTATTGTTTGTTAATGAAAATGTTCTGTTTCTAGCAGAGACACAAGAGAGAACAGAGGAAGGAAATGCTTTTAGATATGGTGACGTTTTAAGTAGAGGCTTTGGGATATTCTTTTGTCCAAGAACTTTGGAAATTCGTAGTCTATGGGTTTTTTTTTTTTTAATTTTTTCTTCCCTGTAATTTGGTTTATTTACATTATGCCTCTCATATTTTTGTCACATTTAAATTTTAGGTTAATGTAACGAATAACTCTTATATTATGATAACATATTTAATATAATTTTAAAATTTAAAAAATTTTAATGTATATGTTAATGAATGTGATAGTCACTTTTAACTTATTAACTTTAAATAATACATAATAAATAAATAACGCTATAAATACTATATTAATTAATAAATTAATAGTTTTGATATCACATTAAATATTTATTATAATGTAAGAACCATGATATTAACCTTAAATTTTTTGTGCTAAAATAGACTTCTTAATTATCAAGAAAATAAAAAGACATATTAGTATTCCTCTGGTCATATGGGACAAGAACTTTTTTTGCTTTTGAAAAATTTCAAAGCATTCAAGCATATATGATTGATACATTGAAAAAAGAATGTTAGAATTCAAATTATTCAGAAGAATAGCATAATGTAATTGGGGTTAATGAAGCTAATGTTTTAGCCAAAACATTCAAACATTTTGGATTTCAGTCTAAATGAGATTTCTTCAACTTTAAGTGTCCAAAACTTGGGTTTTGGCTTAAAAAACCTTTGCCTAGGTGACAAATTGAAATGAGAATTTGATTGAAAGAAGTGTGAATTTGAATCATAATTCTTTATAGTTCTTTTTGTTTCAGGGTTGAAAAAGAGAGAGAGAACATGAACTATTTGTCTAGTAACAACAGACAAATGGTCAGCTCTATTACAAAAGGGAACACCAACTCTTTCACCATCACCCTGGCCGTGGCAACCTTGTACCTCTTTTCCAAATCAACCAGCTCATCAGAGAGGGAAATCATACAAGTTTTAGGCACAAGAATTAACAATGAGAGGTTTTATAAAGAAAAGAGAGTTGAGGGAAGAAAATTCTGAAAAGAAAGAAGAAAGAAAAGTTGTTGTGTTCATTGTAAAATTGAGTTTTTTATTAATTTTTGTTTTTTAGAATAAATTAATATCAATATACAATTAAACCATGAAATTAAATCATGCATAATTGTTACATACAAATTTTCATCTAAATATATCTTTATTTGTAATCGTTGATAATGTTTAATATTTATTTGTATGAATTAAAATGTTTATTAGTGCACGAATATAATGCAATTGGAATTGATTGATCAATGTTCCGGCTAGATATGATCATGTACAACCAGATAAAAAAAAAAATCCATCAGTAACTTTTCAGTGCTTAAAAAAGCAATGCCATTAGCGTTTGTCTCACACCATTTCTCTCCCAATCCCCCATTCTCTCACCCTCTTGAAGCTTGGCAGACCCCACCACCTAGAAGAGTTGCAAGGGAAAGAAATGGAACTTCCCTTTTTCCCTGCCCTTTTCTCAACTGTTAAAAGCTTGGTTGTGAAACAACCCTTTTTCCCAACCTTGGAGGATTGGTTAGTGAATCATCCGAAAATCCTAGAGTTTTCATGGATTAATGGCCAAACTCCAGCCTCCTCTCAACGCTTCCTTACCCTCACTGTATTCTCTTACATATCCTTCACGTTCATTCTCTCCCAAGTATCTCGACCTTTCCTTGCACGTCCAGTCCTGAAATCTATCTCAGCCGTCCACAACATATTCCTCCTCACCCTATCTTTCATCATGGCCCTTGGATGCCTCGTTTCAATCTTTTCACAGGTGCCAAACTTCAACACCCTCGTTTGCTTCCCTAAGCGCACATCACCATCGGGACCTCTCTTTTTCTGGGCCTATATATTCTACCTGTCAAAGATTGTTGAATTCATGGATACCCTTTTGATCATCCTCGGCAACTCCATGAAAAGGCTATCGTTTCTTCACGTATACCATCACTTTATGGTCGTGATCATGTGTTACTTGTGCTTAGACAGTGTTCAATCTTCCTTCTCGATGGTGTTGGTTACCAACTGCATAGTGCATGTTGTAATGTATACTTACTACTTGATGTGCACCCTGGGAATGCGCCCAAAATGGAAGAAAATGGTTACAGATTTCCAACTTTTGCAGTTCTGGGCAAGCTTTTTGATCATGGCTATGCTTGTCTTCTACCATTTCACTGGGTCTGGGTGCTCTGGGATTTTGAGTTGGTGCTTCAATGCTGTCTTCATCGTTTCTCTTTTGTTCTTGTTCTCAGACTTCCATGCTAAGAGTTACTCTCCCAAGGTCAAGGGTAACTAAATTAATTTAGGTGTACATTTCTTTTCCATTTTTATACTTAATCTTTGAGGGTGATGATTCAGTTCAAGAAAAAACAAATATGCACATTGCCAAAGGTGCACTGTCACAATTGTTCACCATGTATCTTCTTTTCTTCTGAATAATTGTTCAGTACCATGTATCTTAATTTCAATTCAAGAGTTTGAATATTATTAATTATTACTAATTAAACTTGGGAAATATTATTAGATCATATGCTTTAAGTCATGATTAAACATTGCATGTTCATGTTCATGTTCATTTTCATTATCACAAGCAATTCTTGTGTTAGCCATATATGTGATTAAACAGTACTGCAAATGCATGTTCAATGCTCATATATGAAAGGAAACGGAAAAATATTGCAAAATGAAAATCGAATATTTGTCAAGATACTCCGCCTGACGAGAAAAGCTGGAAATGTCGTTGGTGTTGCACTTACCATTAAATATGGTAAGCAGGCAGGTGAGTTAAATAAGTTTGTCAGGTACATGTTTCCTCTAGAAAAAAGTTGCCCCTTAGATCGTTGTATCATATTTAAGGTATTTCTTTGTCATTTTCATAGAATTTTACTTCCCAAGGATTCCTCAATATTTAGTATATATATATATATATATATAAAGATTTTGTCTATGTTTTGTTCAGTATCATGGATTCATAGTATATCACAGCCCATAAGATGACAAATGTGTTTTAATGATTTGATTAAATTATTATTTATGAAATTTAATAGAAAAGAATTTAAAAAACTGATAGTAACTTTGAGTTAAATTTTGACAATAAATCCATTATATCTCACAAATAAATTTTTAATGTAGTTTAATTTGATATAAATTTTATTTGTAAATTTTTATTTGATTTAAATTTAAATAAATAACGAATAAGAAGCTATATATTTAAATTTTTATTAAATAAATAAAAAATGCTAGAAATTGAAAAATAAATTTGTTATTTTTAAAATTTTACAAGGTTGTTTATGTTTTTTAACGCTTTTAGTTTTAATTTTAGATAACTAACAAATAAAAATTATATGTTTAATAACAAATAATTTTTATTAAATAAATAAAAAATGCTAAAAATTTTAAGATAAATTTGATATATATTAAAGTTCATAAAGATATTTATGTCGTTCACTTTTAATATTTTTAGAGTTCACACATATATATATATATATATTTGATATTTATTGTATGTCAATAAGTAAGCAACTTCGTTTTAAGAACAAAATGTAAATTTTTACAGTAAAGATCCATGGCTTCTAGACAGAGGTATTGGAGAAGATGCATCTGATTCTTATATGATCTATTGGTTCAGGGTCAAGATCATTGACTTTATACTTTTTACAGATTCAGAATTGTGGAGAGTGTTGGATGGATGTTTTTTGATGCAAGAAACCATAGTTATTTGCTTGCAATTTTGGCCGGTAATCTCTAAAAGGAAATGAGAAGATTGTACCAGCTGTTTGTTGAATTCAGAATGGAAATTGCTATAGTGGTTAATAATGACTTTAATTCCATTAAGGAAAGAAGATTTGTAGCAGCTTTCAGTTGAATTCCAAGAGGGGACGACTGTTTACTCACTATAAAAAAAAAAAAAAAAGATTGCAGCTATGCATTCCCATACACAAGGAAATACGAAGAAGATTAAAGCTGCTTTCTTTTGATTTCCAAGTGGAATCTGCTCAGTACCTTCATTGACATGAAGACTAAGCAATAAGTAAGCAAGGCTTTCACATGGTATCATGTGTGTTTTTGTTTGAAATTTCCTATTGTCTCTTTGTCTCCGGGGGATCTAAAACCAGCATCAATTGCCTTTGTTTTGAAGCGTGCTTATTTCTTCTTGATACCAACTCCCTCACGCCTGCAAATTTCATCCCACTTACGCATATTTATTACAAATAAAAAAAACTCCTAACAGCCATTATTACAATCCCATAATTATAAATTATCATTGTTATCTCATCATCTTTACCTGCTACAATGCTCTCCTTTGCTTTGTTCTTTTTGTTGAGTGAGCTTTTACGATTGCATTTTCACTTGTTTTACATTTGTTTTTAGGTTAGATGAGAATGAGATGATGAGACCACCATTTCACACTCACAAAACTCCATGCATGTCTGATGTCCCCATTTAGCCATATGATAAAGTTACATTTTGTTGGGGGGATAACGTTTGGAAAAGGCACCAGCATCAATCCCTTCATATGGTAAGTGTATATGGAAAAACTAATATATATGGAAACCCATTGTTGAAGAGATAATCTTTTTGAAAAAGTTATAATCAAACAATAAAACATAGTTAATTAAAGTTTAATCCTTATATTTTTGTAGTAGAACCTAATTTTTAAATGAAAAAACATTCACACAGAATTGAGCATTGACTTTATTTAGCTACTAAATTCTAAACTTATTTAATGCCAATAGACTATGATGGTATGTGTTAATCAATCAACTTTTCCAGAAAAAGTTTTCTTGTAACAACATTTGCATAATGTTTAAATTCAATCTCGGCTAAATTCATCGATTAAATCAATTGATTCATACAACGACTTTTAAAAATTAACATTTAGTAAATTTAAATTTCAATCCCAAGTTATTAACTCCACGACTCCTATGAAGAGTGAACTCAACTGGTGGGGAAAATAGTACATGCAATCTCTCTATGGGGTTAGAGCTTGGAACAGATAGAACTTAAGAGTACCCACCAAAATACATGAGTAGGAGAAATGGCTTGTTGGCTTTGATAGCTCCACGAGTGTTTCTAAAGGATGACCCCTTTTTTGAGCATCCCAATTTCATCATATCCCAACAGAGATCAAACGTCTACGCAGATCTTTTCTAGTAGTATTTTTTTTCTTCTTTACCCCCAAGACCTCATCAGAACCTTCAGAATCATGGCTATAAATTGGCCTTTTTTTGGGTGGTTGGTAAAGTGTAGGCTTTTTGAGCTGATAGCATTATGGAAGCTTTCTTCCTTGCTATTGGACTCACCACTAAATTAAACACTTTGCACATTTGGCTTTTTTTTTATTTACCATTTTCCTCTCTTCCTTCAAAAAATGAAAAGTAGTAGGCACTGTCGGTGAACAACCATAAACTGCCCCACTCAAAAGAGGATGTTGTTGTCAACTTGTTGTTCACTTGGTGGACCCCAATCCAGTAATACACTTAACGTATTAGGTACCCCATAACCCGTTTTGCTTTTGCGTATTTACTTGCCATTTTCAGTTTCGCTTTCATTTTTCAGTATTTCCTTCGCACAACTTGATGTTGCCCGATGAGGTTTTTCTTTGTTTCCCATGGACCCAAGTTTGATATTTCCTTCTGATGCATATGCACGATTAGGTTCACGTCATATCATCAACTTCTGCCAAGCCCAAAGCCTATATTATCAAAGGCCAGGATGTCCAAGACACCTGCATCTTGTCAGAGACCTATTAGGCCCAAAAGACTAACCTAATGACCTTTGCTTGTTGCCCTAAGAACAAGTTACACCCATTCAGCCAGCTACCCAAACCCATGGCCCAGAAAAGATCAACAAGGATGAGAGAGACAGAGGCTAGCCTAGCATATTTGCCGTTCAAGTTGTCAAATCAGAAAAAGAAGAGAGAGCAACCAAGTTTTGCGCCGTCGTCCCCTCCTCTGCTGCAGCCCTTGGAGGAGGCGGCAACGAGTAGATGGATCTCCCATCTCATTGGAAGTTCCTCTGATTTTTTTTTCAGTCTGATATGTTCCTCTCTTTCTTGGATGATTTGGTCTGTTCACTTGGGCTATGTCGCCGTCAAACAAAAGAAAAAGAAGAAATTAAAGATTACAAAGTAAATGAAAAGGTACCTGATCGGCAGCCGAATACACTTATTTTTACCAGGATTTAATTAATTCATAAGAAAGTAAAAGCATAAGAGCTTTCCCTCTTTCAGCAGACACTTCATTTCATTTTGATGCCTTCTTTTTACGAATTACTTTAACACGCATGCTTCGACATAACTCTCAAAGCATATTCTCCATTACGTTCACTTTACAAAAAGTAAACAAATGATGTAATTCCATTCACAGCCCTATTTTATAACCCAAACTAGTTGGGACAGAGAAAAACATATAATCACTAGAAAATTCAGACATTATATAAATTACATGTATAGGCAGGTGTCAACTGATCACACATGCTCATCCAGTATATATATATATATATATATATATATATATATATATATATGATCTTATTAGTCAGCCCTGGGCCCTTGACATAATGAAATCAAGTCAAATTTGGCTACCAAAGCAGCCCTTCAATCTTGTATTAATTTAATGTAATTAGCTGCGATGCATTCTTGACTCAAGAAAGAATCAAACAATAAAAGAACCTATCAAATACCAACTACACACGGCCTGACCATGTAGCATGTGGGATAAGTGGACAACCACCGTTATCAAATAACTAACTTTATGCAATGTTACCTACCAAACAATATGTTTAAGTATCTATGAAGTATTGCATGAGATGTCATATGTCACAATTTTTATGCACAATGTATCTGTATGCTGAATGTAGAAATGTAGATAGAAATGAAGGCATCAATTCTTAAGCTTTGCTTCACAAATAATTCATCTTCTGTTTGCTGTTGTAGACTTCCCCAAGAATAACATGGTTGGAAACCAGCTTACGCCTAAGCCCTTATAAACAGCTATGAACTTGCACGTGATGCACTGCTGGACTACAACAACCAATCCTACAATGATACCTTGGCGGCTAACAAAGCTAAAGTGAAATTCATTAATCATTTCAAAGAAACTACTTTCACCATGCAAATAAAAGCCATGTCCAAACTCAAAACGTTTAAATGAAAATTGAAGTTGCACAGTGGAAAATGAGAAACATTGAGGATCAAAATCAGAAAATAGGAATGGGGATTGCTCAATTCAAGGTTGGTTTGCTCAATTTATGGTTTTCGAAGGCACTTTTCACAGTTTCTCAACCTATGGATGATTTTCTGACAATTGCAACTCAAAGTTTCCATATCTAAGTAAGCAGCAACTTGTCATGAAGCTTTAGCCTACAACATATCATTTCATTACAATTTAAATGACATTCCACCTACATCAACTCATAAAAGTTCAAGTATATAAAGCCATTAAGAAAATCTCTAGAAACTGTTGATTAAACTTCGATGGAACATACCTTCTCTTGAAGTTAGAGAATGATGGTCCCTAGTAAAGCTGCCATACACACTTCAGCTAGTTATCGAGATGCTCCAGCAAGCAAATCTACTTGCCATCTGCTACGGCATCTCATATGGCCAGGCAGAGAAACTAACCTAACACCTATTTGATATGGCAATCTAAAACTACAAGGTTTGCACAGACAAAAGTTGTTTGTTCACTCAGCATTCCTAGTTCGTTATGGGGCATAGCAAATACATTCTATTTATACTCTAAACCAAGATAAGATCTGCTTTTCTTCTCAAGGTACAATTTTGGTACATTATAATCTTCATAATCCAGCCAAAGTAATCATTTGAGACAAATTACCAGTCCAAATGTTAAATTCACACAACACAAGCAATAATGGACCATTTATGCCTCAAAATTTTTAGTCAACACAGAAAACATATAAATTGTAGTCATACAAGCAATCACAGCTTCAGCAAATGAATATAACTAGTAAAAGAACATATCTATTACATCTCATTCAAGTTTCTTTCAAATTCAAATGGTTGCAATATGCAAAATGGGAAAGTAAACACTGAGGTAACTTTGATCAGATAAAGTATCCCATCCCAACCCCGAAGTTCAATGCCTGAGGGCATTAACAATGTCCCATTTGTCTGACAACAGCAACAACAACTAGCAGTATAAAGTACACAAACAAAAGTACAGTTTAAATTACTATATAGCATCTGATCCAGAAATTTTTAACTCTCAATGACAGAACCAGAGGCCATATTAACAATTTAATGATAAAGAAAGAAAGGGAGAAAATACTGAATGTCACTGCCACAAATTCCTAATAAACACAAAGCAACTAAATGAGGCAAAATTTCTAAGGCAAATTGATTGAATAAAAAAACAATCACAATCATAACTGGAAATAAATCTCATTATTCAATCTTCTCGTACCGAGCAAGATTTAAATAAGAACATTTCTTTCTATTTCCAATCTCTATTAACAACTTATCCCTTGCAAAATCCACGGCCAAAAAAGTTCGTAAGAGAAAAAAGTTTAACAGGAGATTAAAACTTAGTAGCCAAGCTTTAAACACAACGAAATTTCCAAATCAATCCAAAATTATGATTCAAGTAACAAAACTTTGAAAGTTTTTTTTTTTTTTTTTTTTCACTAATACACCTAAAAACCAGGGAGAATAACGAGCCCTCCCTTCCATAATGTTCCCTTTTATTCAATATACACAGATACAAAAATCTAATCTTTTTTCCTTTTGTACAAGAAACTATTCCCACCTTCTAAACATCCCATAAAAAAACCAAAAAACTAAAAAAAAAAAATCTCACCTCCTTTTCCGTCACAGAAATTTTCATTCACCCAATACCATGATCTCCTCTCATCAGACTCTGAACCAAACTCGAAGTATACCGCCTTATCTTCTCATTCTCTTCCTCCACTAACCCCATACAAATCTCCAAAACCCCTTCGTTTCTTGCTTCAAAACAAAAACTTTCGCTATAATTACACAAACAATTCAAAGTAAATAACCCATATTGAACTCCTCTTGAACTCCCATTCCTTAAAACCCCAACCAAAACTTTAACACACCCATTAACTTTCATCATCTCTTCTCGGCCTTCTTTACATTTCACCAATAATCCCAACACTTCAATAGCTCTTTCCAGCCCTGAATCCAATAACCCAATTAGTATTGGCACCGCCCCACATTCTATAGCTCTTCTTCTGTTATCATCAAATGAACAAATTGCATAAAGAGCCGTCGCTGCCTCTTTCTTTTCCCTTCCTTTTCCTGCAACTAGCAGGCAAACTAATGCCCGAATCGCATCCGGGTATGCCCCGATTGTCGCTTTATTGACTTCAACAACGGCTAAGCTGGTTATGATCGTTGCAGCTATGGCTCTGCAATCGGGTGACCCCACACGTAAGACTTTGACAACCCGGTTAATTGCGCCTTCTGCGACTAAACCCACTTTGTTATCATCGTCGAGGCTGAGATTGAGGAGTAAAGAGAGTGCCTTTTCTTGTAAACTCGGATCATCCGAGTCGACACACTTGAGAACGGCAGGGACTGCTCCCGACTCGGTTAGTTTGCGGCGAAGTGCTGAGTCACGCTTGGTGATTCTGGCAAGATGGGTAAGTGAGTCGAGCTTGGTTCCAAGAGGGGATGATGAGGATGTCAGAGCAGAGATGAGGGTCTGGGGTTGAGGGCAAGGTTGCGATTTTGAAAGTGTGACAAGGGTATAATTGGAAATTAAGGAGCGAAGGGCGTGGTTAGGGATAAGGCAGGGGTGTTCAGGTAAGGGAAGTTTGGTAATTGGACAGGTGCGGTGACCGGAGTCTAGCCAGCGTTGGATTGAAGCTCTGTCGAAGGTATGACCCGATGAGAGAATAACCGGGTCAGACATAATCTCAAGAGATATTGGACACTTGAAATCTTCTGGGAACTGAGTAGCCATCTCGTTTGCAACTCGAGCAAAAGACGCAGCCTCTCTTTCTTTTTCTTCTCTCTCGAAAGAGCTTTGAAAGGAGGGTTTATGAGGTTTTGGAAGCTGTGGAGAGAGCTGACAGAGCGAGCAGTTCGCCTGTGAATGTAGTTTGCGGGTGACCAAATGACCACAATGCCCTCCTCATTCAGCTGACAAAGGGTATATATCCATTTTGGCCGAAACTTTTAGGGGTAAGCAAGGTAGATTAGATTTCCAGGAAAGTCATCATTCTCTCAACTTTTTCATTAATGACAAAGAAAAGCCATATTTCCGGTATCAACGCCTCAAAAGGGGCAAATTCGGAAACGTGATCTCCGATTCCTATTATAAAAACTGTTGCTTCGGCCTTTAATGAAGACAATAAATTAATTTGCATTAAAAAGGAAAAAACCTCAAAAAGGGCAATGCTAGAGTTACCCAGCAGCAACGGCTCCACGTACCTCCAGTATTGGTTGAAATTACCCTAACACCCTTCTTATTAGTGGTATAACCTTAAAGTCAACTTTCCAAAAGTCCAAATTTGCGTGCCAAATCATATTCGAATGACACGTGGCTTTATACAATTTTGTTTTATTTTTCCACCCTTCAATTTCTCAACTTATTATGTTTGAAAATATTTTTTTAAAAAATTCTTTACCCAATTCATTGAAATTTTAAAATATTAGTTTAAGAAAAATTTATATTTAATATACTATTTTTCATTAAATTTAAACAAAATAATATATTAATTATTTATTTTATTTTAAATATCATCAAAATGAAAAAGATTAATGTAGAAAACCGACAATTCAATGGGCGGACATGCTTGAAATAATGTCCAAACATAAAACAACAAAACAAGACCACCTTAATCCTTCTGATAAGGGATGAGTTGGTTAGCTCTACTAATTTGGTTAGGTGGAAAAGGGTATCATATCAAACAATTAATCACTGTTACTTCAACAGTTAAATCCTCCATACCCCATAACAACAAGACAGGATGTTAGTGACTGTTTCTGTTTGGCCTAGAAAATCTCTTTCTTTAAGATATCTTTCTAGTAATTAAGACAGGATTGGTTTGGATTTTTTATTGTTGTTGCCAAAGGATGTCTTGTTGAGACTGAAAAAGGACATTTGCCAAGAAAGAAAAAAACAATAGCCTGGGCACTTGCCCAAATATTGATAGGAGGGTTCCAAAATCGCATGATGAGTCCAAAAATCACATATTTGGCAGTGTCAGGACTTCTTTATTTATTTATTATTCTCATAGCCAGTTCAATAAAATCCATGATTGGAGGGGATAAGGTCAAAGGTTTCCTATCTTTGTTTTTTTTTTTTTTTCTAATTATTTTATGTTTTGCTTAAATTATTACAAATTGGCTTGGGTTGGCCTGTCCCATTTGGGTTTTCGTGTTGCCGGAGGCCCTTTGTTTAATTAGTAACAATGAACAAATTTACCTAAAATTTTCTTTCTTTTCTGGTTTTTATCCCTTTAACAATTATAATGAAACAGAGGGACAGTATTTCAATTTTTTTTTGGTAATAAAATGACAGCTATGGAGAAAAAGATGTAATAGATTTGTTTTTTCAATCAATGATTGATGATGATGATGAAAAGGAAAGGGGAAGGGAGGCATGGATGGATGAGACAGAGTCAAGAATCTCGGCCTCGCCTTCGGCTTACTTTGGTAGAGGAAATTGAATTTGTCAAAAGAATGGCTGACGTGTTTGAACTGTGAAATTTATTGCCTTTTCCTTCATTATCACAATATTTTTACAGAAGAAAAGGAACATGAACCACGGGCATTGCCACGTCTATTAGACATATTTATTTATTTTGATTTTTTTTTTTTGGTACGAACAGGGTGGCAACTAGCATTAAGATAAATAACGGTACACAACGGTTCCAACTGCATCCTCATGCAGTAATCAAGCACAAAGTTTGGAGGTTCCACAAAAGAAACAAAAGTGGCATCATTGCCTAAACACGTGAATGATCTTCTGGTTGTCAAGCTCCCTCAGAAGCTGCCTGCAATCAGAAATGAGCGGTTGAAGCACAGGGTTAGGCACCATTTGGCTTTTAGTCATAGAAATGACAACAGATGATCAAGCTAAATTTCAAGATTTCTAAGGTTAAGGTTTTTAGCGAGCAATAACCCATCCCTAAGGGCCCATATTTCGGCAAGAACGTCAGTCTCAACCCCAATGAAACGGGAAGATCCTCCAATCCCCTGCCCTTTGTGGTCCCTAACAACCACCCCAGCACCAGCTTTGCCTGGGTTTCCATGCGCAGATCCATCAGTGTTCAGTTTAAACCAACCCCTTTCAGGAGGATTCCAACGAATAGGAACAAGAGTTTCTAACCGCCCTTCCTTCCTTTTGGTTCATGGCAAAGTACTCCCCAGCGCTCTCCACGGCTCGTCTTGTGATGTCTCTGCCACTTCAATTGCCTCTGAATACAAGGTTGTTCCTTTCCCTCCATATTTCCCAGAGGGCATGTATGAATATCACGCCCCAAGGGATTCCTTAATGGGAGATTCCTTGACTGTTAATAGCATTTCTCTTGATCCACTCCCCCACCACAACGTCCATTCTTAAACAAGAACCTCCCACCTCCCTCAAGCTGTCCCAAATGTTTCTAATCCGTTGGCATTGCATGAAAAGGTGTTCAGTGCTTTCAGAGTGGAGGTTGCAGAAGGCACAAACATCTTGGAATTTTGGCCCTTGTCTATATAGGAATATTGATAAGGTTTCTCATTTATGGTACAAAAATTTTAATGTTAGTGGATTTAACGACCCTCTTATAAGGTAACGATCATCTCATTCGAAATTAGATTCCCAGGGGTTGATGATGAATCTGTCTATGAAAGACACCTTTCTGGATAAAAACCTAGTTCTTCCAGGTTGAGTTAATGACATACTCTTGCTATCCGACATCAATAGCACAGTTTGCATCACTGTCCTGTCTTCTGGCCACTGCTGAACACAAAGGAGCACTGCCTGTATGCGTCTGAGTGCTTCATGTTCAGGAAACTCTTGCTCCATCAATTCCAAAGCCTTCCCCTCATTCCACAATATCCAGGCCTAAATGATATTTAATTTAATTTAATTTTTTTTAACTCAAAGTCCTTGATCCATCGCCTAAGACAATGGTATCGTTTTTAGCTGTAAAATTCAAAATCTAAACACTTTAGATGCAGGTTGAGCCTTATACTTACTAGGTTCCAACTACGCTCTTTGTGTTTGCTTCAGTTTGATTTCCACGGAACGTTCTTGACATACCGAAGTCTGAAATTTTGGGATTCATGTCGTTGTCCAAGAGAACATTACAGTGTTTGAGGTCCCTATGGATGATTCTCTGTCTTGAATTAAAGAAACCTCCGAGCTATTCCAACAATATGATGTCATGTCTCCTTCTCCTGTCAAGTGAAGGCCTTTTTGTTTCATCTGCAGCCATTGCCCATCAAGATCCAATATAGTTTGATTTTCTTAATGAAGAAATCAAAAGGACTTAATACTGATGGCTAGCTTGAATATGAAGCATGCATATTCTGAAGAAAAATTTATAAATGATAAAGCATCAAAGAAATAAATAGAAAGTTGAGATACCAAAGAAAAAGGAGACCATACTTTTAATATTTGGCATGTACTCATAGATTAACATTCTTTCTTCCCTTTCAACGCAACAACCTAGAAGCTTGACCAGATTTATATGTTGAAGTTTGGAGATCAAAATTAAATGACCTCATTTTTTAACTCTTGAAGGCCCTGTCCAGAATTATCTGCAAGTCTCTTCACATCTACGTCTTGTCCAGACAGTAGCTCACCCTATGAATTATATCGAAGATTATTTAGAAACAGTAATGGAAAAAAGAGAAGAAATAGTCTAAAATAGATGATGCCTCCCAGAACAATCTGCAAATAGATTTCTACCTGGTATACTGGTCCAAATCCACCTTCTCCAATCTTATTTGCAGCAGAAAAGTTGTTAGTTTGAGTCTTTGTGTGTTATTCAGGTGGCTATTTTGTACCAAACAAATGGCAATTCAAATCTAATTCTGCTCATGCCATTCGAAATTCAAAAACATATGAGATCTTACAAGTTACGACAGTATGTTCTCATTCGTGCCATTTGAATGGAAGATATTTCTTACAAGTTACACCACAAAAGATTCTTAACTACCCAAAACTGCCACAAAAATTATGGCAAAGGCTGTCATAAAAATCACAACAGAATATATGAAGTCAAGTTTTTGAGATATACAAACACCCTTGATGAGGCCGGACCTTTCACTATCTGGCATCTAGCATTGTAACCGTGACTTGGTTCACAGTGCATGATTCATCTTGCTTACTGGTAGATGAATCAGTTTCAAGTACATTTCTTCCTAGGCAAAAACCAGGCGTTTTAGGACGGGGCATTATGGCTGTGTCACTGTTCAGCATCAAAACCACAGTCGACATAATTGGCCTGTCTTCTGCACGCTCTTGCACGCACAAAAGACCAACCTGTATACACCTTAGTACTTCATGTGCTGGATAGGTATCACCTGCTGCTGAATCTATTAACTCCAATCCCTTCCCTTCTTTCCATGATCTCCATGCCTGCAATAATACGAACCCAATTAAGTATTGATTCAGTGACATGACAGGCTTTCGCTAGTGATAAGAGTATAAGCATCAGTAGAAATAAGATGTGATACTCTGCTTACATGGCCAAGAAGGTTGAGTTCACTGTTTGAGTGATAAAATCCTCTGTTCTTCTTGCCACTGACGACTTCCAACACCAGAACACCAAAGCTAAAAACATCTGATTTTGCTGAGAAGAGACCATCCATTGCATATTCAGGTGACATATAACCACTGCATATCACAGGTAATTAGGATGAGGAACTTTTGTTTTTACATTTTCAAACAAGTATAGAAATCAAGTTTACAGTACTTACTAGGTTCCAACCACTTTCTTTGTATTTGCCTCTGTTTGATCACCACCAAAAATTCTAGCCATGCCAAAGTCTGAAATTTTGGGGTTCATTTCTCCATCGAGTAAAATGTTGCTTGCTTTGAGATCTCTATGGATGATCCTGAATCTGGAATCCTGGTGAAGATACAGAAGTCCTCGGGCAATACCACATATAATGTTGAAGCGCCTTTGCCAATTTAATAAGGAGCTTCTTTCTTTATCTGAAAAAAGTTTCAACTGCTATAAGTGCCATGAATTTAGAATTGTTACCTTAATCAAATTTGTTTACTAAAGAGAACCCAATTGAGTTCATTAAGTTGTGAGAGGGACTAACTGAATAAAACAGAATCAAGGCTTCTGTGTTCCATGTACTCATAGACTAGCATCTTCTCATCCATCTCAATGCAGCAACCAAGAAGTCGAACAAGATTCCTATGTTGAAGCTTTGCAATCAGTCTAACCTCATTCTTGAATTCTTCAGTCCCTTGCCCAGAGTTCTTTGAGAGCCTTTTTACTGCTATCACTTGACCCTCAACCAACCTACCCTGGCATTAGCATACGTATTTTCATGGTTAGATTTTGAGTTCATCTGTGACTATTTGCATGCAGAGGTATTGTTTGTATCATTGAATTTACCATGTATACGCAGCCAAAACCACCTTGTCCAAGTTTATTTTCATCAGAAAAGTTGTCTGTAGCTGTTGCAATGGTATCAAAATCAAACAATGGTAATTCTAGTTCATCAGGTTTACTTTCACCCGAGTATTCCTTCTTATATGAGATAACCACTTCATTCAATAGAAAATCCTGGCTTCTTTCATGAGGACCTGAAAAGTAGAAAGATAAAACTTTGAAACCTAAAAATAAAAAAAAAAACTGCAGGGATAACTATATTCACTTAGTCATCCAAACTTGAAACTCCAGTTACCTTTCTTTTCTATTTTTCCTCTTCTTCCCACTGCCTTCCTCTTCCATATGACATAGGCTATCAATCCTAAAAGCAAAACGCCAGCACCCACCGTAATGCCTATAATCAGAGCAGTTTTGTTCCCACCATCTCCTGAAAGAAAAATCAGATTTAATCATTAGCCATAACAGTAAGAATTTGTAGGCTGAAGTGCTACCCTCTTTCACTTTCACTTTCACTTTCACAATCACTGAAATATTTTATAGTACTTGTTTTCTGGGGAATTAGTAGAAGAGTTCTAACTTTGCGAAAATTGAAAATTCTCACTAAATTCTCCCTAAATTGCACTTGTGGCTGACTGGCTGTAGCTGTACCTTTCCAATAATCATCAATTTATATGCTAGAAACATATGAAAATGAAAGTACTTAAGAGTTAAAAACATGCTACGATGCTACATTACACGACAACTCGGCTCTGTGTCACCAGTCATTATTCTGATAGGTCACCTTCCACACAGCACAAACAATGTATTATGCAAGCCATGAATGAGATGGCAACCGCCCGTATTTACAGAACCAGACAACCAGTAAGACCGCCAAAGCTGTTAAGTCTAAAGTCTAAGCCTAAAGTCCAGCTACCCCTTCTGATGCAGTTTTTTCAATGCATTCACTTCAAACCTTAAATATTTACTACTTTATTCGTATCATAATTTCAGTACACTGTTCAATTCCATCAGTCCCAAGTGAGAACTCTTTTAGGATGCCATCATCCTTATTAGTAGTAGAAAATTTAATGACAGAAGCAAGCACGAGTCTCTGCCATTACTCCTGTGGACCTTTTCCTAATAAATTCATTGGCTGTAGCAGGCATATTTTGTTATACAACTTCCATATCAAAAGATGAAAATCCTCTTTAAAACAATGTCCACATGATACCTAACTCACCAACAACCGAGGGTTTTTCTTCCGGAAAATAATGATTGGTTGGGAATTTATTTCTACCATTATATCACTGACAGCTTAGCAGATAAATCAAAATTCCATGGCCGATTGACATCCTCAAGAGGGTCCTTGACAGGAATGTTGGAGGACGGGTTCTTAGGCGATTTGGGCCTAAATATTACACTTTTTTAGGTGGATTATGGGGCCAAGGGCTTACTAACTCTCCTATATGGACCTTAATTTAGGCCTAAATTTCAACACATCCTACCCCTTGTGGGTTAAGGGAAAGAGAGTGGGCCACTAGGTCCTAAACCTTAAAGGCCTAAGCTTTTTTTATCCGGTAACTTGCAACACACTTTTCATACCAACTACAATCATAGAGAATCACTCATATATAGATATTATAACTTTGACTGGTCATAATTGATTTATTCGTTATTATTGATTCGAAAAGTACTAAAGGCAATGCTAATCGGCCCAATTCCATTAAAAAAAATGTGTAAACCAGCAAGCTAAGATTTAATACACTTTGGTTTTATCTTTAAAGAGTGACATAAAAAGGATGGTATTAGGTAGAGGTTAAAGATAGGCGTCGCTTTCAAAAGTTGAAAAGGAAACACCTTCCAAATCACAACTAGACCCACGGAATTATTGTTCCAACTGAAATATTGAAAACATTGTTATTGCTTCAGAAAGCGAAAGTGAAAACAAACCACAAATATAACGTTGGCTCCAACTTAACCTACCAGGTCAAAAACGTCGGCCCAATTTGTGGAACCATCCAGGAAGGAATTAAGACTCTTGTATGTATATTGACTGTATGCAGAGGCTTTTTGGTGGGGGGGAAGTGGGGACAGTGAAAACGTTACATCTTTTGATTAAGCCATTATCTCACGGAACCAATCATGGCGAGGAGTTCAGCTATCTTCACTCCAACACTTGGACTATAACCTATGACAGACAACCTTAGCACCATTTGATTCATGGAGGAATTGAAATGTTTCAAAACAGTGATCTGACACATATAAAAATTTTTTACGTATCACCAACTCATCACAGTCGGCTGTGACGTATATCAAATCTTGCTAAAGGAAATATTTCAAAAGATTGTCGTATTTCATGAGATTGTAATTCTAGAATTGTGGGGTTAGTTAGGCTTCACCCCAAACATTTGCTGCCATTCAATGTTTCGATGCCTCTTTTTGTTTTTTGGGTTAAGGTAATGTCTTCTAAGATTGGTTCAACTAATGTGAGCCTCAACTCACAACATCTAAAACAGGGGATCCCCTGTTCTAGTTGACTTGATTCAACCGATCGATTACGCATAATGAAAATAATCCCGAGTGAAGATTATTAAAGAAAGGGAATTTTGAAACGTACCTAGGTCAGAAGCAGCCAATCTAACAAAGAGATCTTGTCCACCACCTGTATATTGCCTCAAATCAATCAGGTCGCCAGTCCAAATGACACATCCAGTGCCTCCATTTCGAATATCCGAGTTAGAATAGGCAGTACAAGAACAGTTCCTGGTGCACAATGCTTCACATTCCTTAAGATTCATGGTATTGTCTACGAATGAAGTTGTACTTTCTGGCATCTTCATATTAGGCAAGTGCAGGAACTTGTCTTTGGTGCAATCTAAATCTGTCTTTCTAACACACCCATCAGATCCATCCCTTAAATTCCATGCTTGCTGATTCTTTGGACTGAACCCCTTTGGACACTTACAAACCGGAGATGCGTTGCTGTCACATATACCATACGGACCGCACTCCCGGTAATTGTCACACTGGTCTTTTGGTGCGAACCAAAATGGATTCCATTGTTTAGTATCGGGAATCCATGTTAATCTTTGAAGAGCCCCTGTTGGAGTAACTATCAATCTGGAAAGCAAGTTCTTGTTTGCTATAGAAAATGAGTAATATACCTCATCTTGGTTGGTGACAAAGTTGAAAGAGATATAATCAAGAGGTTTCATTTCCGGGACACCGCTAAACCTTAGACCGTTCCATGGACCACTTCTGTATTCTTTCTCTTGCTTGTTCCACAAGAATATTTCGGGAAATCCATGATAATCCAGCTTGAACGAGCAATCCCCAGATGAAGGGTCCCCTCTCGTCCTCCAGGCTGTTAAGAACCTGTTAAAACCTGTGTTGAGATCCCATCCGAGCTTCATATCTGGTAACAACGTATCTGTAGGGTAATCAAAGCTTTGCCAAAGGTAGTTGTTGGTCCCATCGTTGGCGTTTGCTTCTCTTAAAACCAAATTTCCAGAGTCTAACAGCTGTGCAACAGGGTTGTCGCCCTTTGTTAAATTTGATGACCATACAAGATTCTGTCCTTGGTCAAGAAGAACGAGGTTTCGATCCTCCACCTTAAAAATACCTGACGAGTTTGTAAGTGGGTTATCTCGGTTGGCAACCCACACGTAGGTTCTTTCAGGAATGTTCTTGTACCATATCCCGACGTACCATTCCCCTGGATGTTCCAGGGTGAAGAATCCGAGCTCGAAAACATCACCTGGGGAGACAAGAGTTTGGTTATGTATGATAGACTGAGTAGCAGATAAGATGTCTACCGAAATGGAAATTGTTGGGAAGATAGTTAGGAAAGTGAAGAGCAAGAAGAAGTTACAAATATGGTCATCTGTCATAGTTCTCATTCTTTACTTTAGCTCTGGGAGCTTCTCTCTCAAAACAAAATGGTTTAGTTGGTTTGTCCATTTTGAACACATTTAGTATTGTTTGATAGGAGAGGATACTTGGGTCTTTGCTTGCTTTTTTTCTTGATATTCTTGGTTTCTTCTTTGAATTTGGCATTTGAAAAAGCAACTAAAAACCAAATATCATAGTACTGTAAACCAAGAAAAAATGATGGGCCTGGTTTGGGCTTGCACATGTGTTTCACTAGGTCAAAGACTGAAAACTGGAGGGTCACCTAACCATCTTTTTTATATTTGTGCAGATTAAATGTGCTTTTCGTCTCTCCTTTTTCCCTGGTATTCGGTGTTGGGATGGGCAGTTCACATTCACAAAGAAAACGAATGATTCACACGCGGGATGATGCTGCTGGGCTTGTTATTGTCTTGGAATGGGACATTTCTTGGACAGCGCTGTAGCCTACCACAAAAGGCGACAGTAAATTTCGAAATACTTTAAAATATGATATAATTATATAATACAAAAATAATATAAAAAATTTAAAAATGGTACAATATAAAATTTCAATAAAATTTATATATAAATTTAATAAAATAAAAATATATATTTTATATTTTTATATCGATATAACTATAATATATAATTTTTATATAAAATATAATATAAATATATAAATTATCATTTACAAATTATTAAATCTATGTTTTTTGAGCTGTTGTCTTTTATTGTTAAATTTTAATTTAACCTTTTTTCTGTCATCCTCTTTCAATCCAAATCTAGTCATCTAAAAAGATTTCACTTTTCCCTTTTTTTTCAGTACATTTATACACTTTCTCCTTCCAAATCTAGGGTAGAAGCCAATTTTACTCTTGAGTTATTGTATATTTATCTAATGGAAAATATCAAAATATACTACCAAGTTGCCAACCCTTACGGATTCTGCCATATTTTCAAACAGGATTTAATAACACAGGTTTAGTTGGAAACTTGATTTTATAAAACCTTACCAAACAAAGTTGAAAATCTTTAGGGTCTTTTATTAATCCTAGTTTTGCTTTCTTTCTATTTAATTTAGTTCCCAAATCAATTGTTTGTTAGTTCTTGATGTGAAAATTGGTAAAAACTCAACTTTCTTGTTGCAGAAAGAGAAATATTGATTTTCTGTTTTTTAGATGGGCCTTGTTCAGAAGTAAAAGTTATTTCTGACATGACATGTAGTATAGTTATATTAATTACTGAAACCCAAAAAAAACAAAAAAAAAAAAGCTTGAATCAATTAAATATGGTTATAAATGGAGGTTTATATACATTATTTGATCATATTTCTGTCTTTTGATCCTTGCGTAGCTGAGGGCCCAAAGATTAGTAATGCACACATCTGTAACTGAAGTACCATAATACCTAAGCTAGAAAGAATCTGTTCATCATCATTCATCAATCATCGGCCTTCGGTCGCTGACAGAGTGACCTCATTCATGAAGCACTTCAGAGCAGTCTTGCCAACTCTGAAAAGCAAATGCAGGTTGCTTTGATTGCAGAAGGTTTGTTCCACCGGTAAGCTGGAGAATCACGGTTGGCATGTTTGGCCTGCTTGCAAGTGCAGGATTTTCCTGGACGCAGAGGAACCCAACCTTCCAGTCATGACTAGGGTCCGCAAATCAACCCGAAACCGTCGGGTTCCAACCCGATCCGACTATTTTAAGGTCGGATTTTTTTTTCAAAAATCGGGTTTCAGGTCTGGTCGGTTTTATTTTTTTAAAATGTCGAATTCGGGTCGGGATCGGGTTTGTATGAAATCTGACCCTACCCGACCTGAAATATTTATCAAAATACCCTTAATATATATAATTTTTTTTAGGGTTTCTGAATTTTAATTTCTTTTGGGTTTTGGCCGTTCTTTCTCGTCTTCCTCAGCCGTTCTATTTTGCATTTCTGCTTCTATCTGCCAGACTGCCAGGCTGCTTCACACTCACATAGGTGCTACCCACTCCCAAGCGTGCATTTCAATTCCGTCAGTTCTTTCTATTTTTTATTTCCAAAAATATTATTTTAATTATTATTTTAATCAATTCAGTCCTCCTATTTTAGTCTTGAATAAATTTCAAACCATTTAATTTAAACCCTCTTTATCAGATCCAAACCGTTTCTTTGAGTCTGATAAAACCCAAAGCAAAACATAAAAAAAAAAAAACAAGAAGAAGAAGGAGAAGAAGCTTATTTTTTTTTCTCTGAAAACAACTTTAACAGTTTTTTTTTTTTATTGCTTGGTTTTGAAAGGCTTGTTTCTCAACAACCTTAATCTTTTGTAAGAAATTTTTTTTAATTTTTTAGAATTTTTAACTTTCGTTTTTAAAAAGCCGCTGGTTTACTTTCTTGTTCATCTTTCTCGATTTTTTTAGTAAGCAGTTTTGATTTTCGTTTCTTCCAACGAAATCCGAAACGTTTCAATTTTCATTTTTTTTCTCTTTTTATTTTCTTTTTCTTTCTCAAAATGTCTGCTATGTCGATCTTCTTCTAAGTTTTTCAGTGTGAGTTTAGCAAGGATATTAATTTGAATTTCCAAAAAAAAAACTTTTTTGGTTGATTTTCGGGGTTTTTCTTTCAAAAATGATGTTTTCAGCATCGCCGACGACTTTAGCGAAAAGTTCGCTAGATTTAGGTAGGAAACAGGCCATAGATGATTTTACTAGATGTTATTTTCAGGCATGTTTGCTATGTCTCCTTATTCTCCCTTTATCTCTTGTTGCCTTATTTGAAGGCAATAACAAACATAATGATGATAACATTCTGATCTACAAGAAATTTAAGTTGATGAATTACTACCTTGCTTGTATGAAATTCACTGAGAAATTTCATTCTTGTTTATATAATAGGTGAGGATTCTTGTTAGATTATATGTCTATAGTTGAATATGCCATCGTCTGGTTCTGATCCATGCATATCAGCAATATTGAAGTTCTCAGTGTGTTACCTTAGCATTTTTTTGAAGGGGGAATCATAACAAAATGGTTCTGTTTGAGATAATTAGTCTAGTCTTTCTGAATAGCTTGCTTTGCCCTTCAAGTTATAATCTTAGTTTATTGTCATTAACATAAACTTTAGTGGTGTTTGGAAATTAATCATGTCTGTTATTTTTGAATAAAGGTAAAATGTCTAATTTGGGAGATAATTCGTGTTTCCCAACACCTCCTACTTCTACCTCACATCAATCACTAATTCAGCAAACTCGAATTTCAACATCTGATGAAAATACAACTCAATCATTAAATATGACGAATCATGGTGTTGAAGTTGATGATAGTGGGTATAACTCAAGTAAGCTAAAATCAGAAGTATGGAAACATTTTAAAAAAGAGAAAATCAATAATGAATGGAAGGCAATATGCAATTATTGTAAGAAAAAACTTGGTGGTGCTTCAAAAAATGGGACAAGTCATTTACGTGAGCATTCAAACAGGTGCAGCAAGCGATTTCAAATGGATATTCGTCAACAAGTGCTGGTAGCAAATCAAAGGAAGGCAGATGGAAAAGTAACACTAAAAAACTTTTCCTTTGATCAAAATGTCACAAGGAGGGAGCTTGCCAACATGATAATCATGCACGAATATCCTTTATCAATGGTTGATCATGTGCAATTCAGAAAGTATTCTTGCAGTCTCCAACCTTTGTTGCTATGCCTTCTCGAAATACTATAAAGAGTGATATTTTGAAGATTTTCAAAGAGGAAAAGGCAAAAATAATATCCAAGTTGAAAGCTAATGAAAGGAGAATTGCTATCACAACTGATATGTGGACTGCTGATCACCAAAAAAGAAGATACATGGCTGTCACTACTCATTACATCGATAATCATTGGAACTTACAAAAACGCATCATCAGGTATATTTTATTAAATTGTCTTATTTTGATAATGTTTATTTTTTATTAAGTAATTATTATTATTGAATTAATTATTAAATTAGTGTAAATAATTGATTGTTTAATTAGGTTTGAATATGTGCCAACTCCACATACAAAAGAGGTCATTGCTTCAAGTTTGATGAAATGTTTCCTAGATTAGAATATTGATAGAAAACTTTCATCTATTACAGTTGATAATTGTAGTGTGGATGATGGTGTTATTGAGTTGTTAATTGATAGAATTGGTTGTGATGTATTTTTGCTTAATGGGGCTTTTTTTCATATGCATTGTTGTGCACACATCTTGCATTTGATTGTGAAAGATGGATTGAGTGTGATTGGAGATGGAATTGAAAGAATTCGTGATAGTGTCCTTTTTTGGGGTGCTACACCAAAGAGGTGGGAAAATTTTGAAGAGGCAGCGCATCAATTGCGCATTCCAACTTTAAAAAAGTTGTGTGTTGATGTCAAAATACGATGGAACTCTACTTATTTGATGCTTCGAACAGCTTTGTTTTATAAAGATGTTTTTCCTCGTTGTGTGCAATTACATGGTGATCCTTTGTACAAACATTTACCAACTAAAAATGATTGGATCATTGCAACCGAGATTTTGAGAAGTTGAAATTATTTTATGATATCACTGAAGGGTTTTCTGGCACAAAATATGTTACTGTAAATCTTTATTTTCCTAATATTTGCAAAATCAGATTGAAATTGAATGAATGGATTATGCAGACCGATAGAATTATTTCATGTATGACTGTGAGCATGTTAGGCAAATTTGAAAAATATTAGAATGATGTGCATGGTATAATGGGTGTTGCTACAATTTTAGATCCAAGGTATAAAACAGAGTTGCTGGAGTATTACTTTGAAAAGATTTATGGAGAAAATGCTGAATTTGAAATTGAAAGGATTGTGCAAATATGTCAGGATTTGCTTAAGGAGTATGAGAAAATTTTGGCTTTGAAAAAGGAAGAAAGACCTTCTAGTTCAAGCTTTTCATTTTTAGATGGTGTTGGTGTTACTGAATTGAGAAATTTGGGAGACTATGATGATTTTGTTTCAAGGAAAAAAAAGAAAAAATCAAAAGTAAAATCAGAGTTAGATCGTTACTTGGATGAAGAAGTCATACCAAGAAAAAGAGATTTTGATATATTGAATTGGTGGAAACTAACTAGGCCTCAATTTTCGACCTTACAACTTATTGTTAGAGATATATATGCCATACAAGTTTCTACTGTTGCTTTAGAGTCTACTTTTAGTACTGGAGGGAGGTTGGTGAGTGCACAACGTAATAGACTTCATCCATCAACTATAGAAGCTTTAACATGTTGTCAAAGTTGGTTATGGGCTAAAGAAGAAGGTACAATAATTCATATTATATAATTTTATTTTTTATTTTAGCATATTGTTAGTTATTATATTTTGTTGTTATATATTATTTGTTAATGTTTTATTATTTCATTTGTAGGGTCAATTTCATTAGAAGAAAATTCTTTTTACGAGGATGTTGATGATAGTGAGATTGAAGAAAAGATAACTAGTTTGGTAAATAATATTATCTTTTTTAACTAATTTATTTTTTATATTATTATTTTATCATATTTATTTATTCATCTTATTGTTTTATTTTATAGGACTAATGTGGTCAGAGGAGAATGATGATATGAAGCTTAGTGATGATGAAATGATTTGTTGTGGTCTTGGAAGATTTTCACCATATTGGATGAAAGAATGTTCAAACAATTTAACTTTTTATTGTGGTAGTTTAAGCTTTTAATGTTTATCTTGTATTATGTATTATATTTAAATTTTAGTTATTAACTTATGCTTGTTTGATATTTAAATTTTAGTTTACTAAGTTTTATATATTTCATAATTCCATCATTTATTGTGAGAATTTGTTAGTTTTGATTTACTATGTTTTATGTATTTTATAATTCTATTATTTATGGTAAGAATTTATGAGATTTTTATTAAATAAAAAAAGTTGTATGTACTAAGTTTGAATTTGTGAGTGATTATGTTAAATTTGTTTATGTTTGTAATATATTTAGATTATGATTTATTACATTTGCAATAATTTTGAATAGGTAGTAGATTAAATTAGGGTCGGGTCGGGTAAAATTCGGGTAAATAATATTTTAGCGGGTCGGAGTCGGGTTTTTCAGCTACAACCTTCGAGCGGGGGCCGGTCGGGTATCGGGTAGAAGCATTAAAGCATCGGGTCGGAGGCGGGGAAAGTGAAAAACCGACCCGCCCCGCCCCGATGCCATCCCTAGTCATGACGTACTCAGGAAGAATATAGCCTTCAATGTTGAAGTAGTTGAAAAAAAATCTGGATTTTAAGGTACATTCAACAAGGCAATATTGCGAGGCTCCAATCACATGTTAAAAAGATATGTGGATAATGAATTATATATATGTAGAGCTTTAATCTTAAATTTACAATACGTTTTTTGTGGAATAAAATCGTGAGACTTTCAGGTCAAAATTGATAATACCTCGCAAGTTAAATGTAGGTCTCCATAAATGGTATCAGAGTGATCATCAGTTCGCAGTCATGAGAATCACTAAGTGCTACACAGTGGAGTCATGCCGCAATCATGAGACTCCACAGCCATGGGAGAGTTACTAAGTGCTATATGATGATCTAGTGTGATTTTGGTCCCAACACCTCTCCGAACCCTTGTTGAGGTTCAATCCATTTTTTTCGTTCTACCTTCCTTATTTATTTTATATAATTCTTATATAATTAGAATTCTAAAAAATACTAAATATAATTATTTCTTATAGAATTATAATTCTAAAAACAACTAAAGTCAAAGGGTTTTAGTTCTACCTTCCTTATTTATTTTATAAAATTCTTATATAATTAAAATTCTAAAAAATGCTAAATAGAATTATTTCTTAAAAAATTATAATTATAAAAACAACTAAAGTCAAGGGGAGCGAGAGACTAGTCTCTGTTACTAAAGACTCATACTTGGAAGTCCCCTATTCCTAGCAAGGGATAGAGTAAGACTTCACTAACTCTATGTAAACTTGCAACACCTCTTCAAACCCTTGTTGAAGTTCAATCCACTTTTTTCGTTCTACCTTCCTTATTTATTTTATATAATTCTTATATAATTAGAATTCTAAAAAAAAAAAACTAAATAGAATTATTTCTTATAGAATTATAATTCTAAAAACAACTAAAGTCAAGGGGGCAAGAGATTAGTCACAGATATTTGATTGTATATCGATCTAATCTTTTTCACCCTAACCCGCAACAATAACTAGAATTAAAAAAAAGGGAATGTTAATGCATCCGGGAAGAAACGATTGATCTCTATCAATAAACCCGTTAAAGAATTGAACCATAGAGTACTTAGTATCGGTACTACGAAAAGATATGTTTTTAGATCTCGCATTTAAAATCCTCATTCTTTATCGTATTACATACATTATGGTAATACATATATAATCACATGTATGTGTGGTTAAAAACCACTTGTATTTGTATATTTGTACCTGGAATTCCTAATTCAAAATTCAAATTTAAATGTACAATGCATAATTTTCTCAGATCAGAAAGAAGAATAGGAACGAAAAAGAAAGAATAAAAAAGAAATCTTTTTTTTTATTCTTTCTTTCATATATATAGAGAGATATAATATGTGTCCTGATTTATGAGCTAATGTAATATTTAATTTTTTTCGTAATCGAAAACAATAGGTTGAAATATCTATTGATATTTCTACAAAAAGTATTTTATTGAAGGCTTAAGTTATTACTCAACAAATAAAAATTGAAATTAGTATTGTTCTAGAATACTTTTCTTGAATATCATTCAAAAAAGTTTCGGATTGCCTAGTATTCCATCAATTAGTAATCCAATATTTCAGACTTTTATTAAATGAGAGAGAGATCCATCAGGGCAAAAATACTATAGATGCAAGATATAGAAGGGGAGTGAATGCTTTCTTTTTTGCCATTTTTTCATCTGTGAATTGTTAATGAACCCACCTCATTCGTTGACTTTATGTGATCTAATCTTTCTATCAAGCATGACTTTCATTATATTATAAATTATAAGATAAATTATAAGGTAGGGGCCCATAAATCTATTCTTTTTTTTTTTTTATTCATTGCTTAGTCCTTGAATTTAAAAAGAGTATAGAAATAGAAAATAAGGTAGGGGGAAATGAAAGCTTAATAGCAAATATAAGGATAAAGTATAAAGATAGAATCCTTAGATAGAGTCTTGAAGTATAGGTACCTCACAGGTTGGGTGCGGGTCTCCACAAATGGTATCAGAGCGATCACCAATCCGCAGTCGTGAGAGTCACTAAGTGCTACATGATGGTCTGGTGTGATCTTGGTCCTGTGGATGGACGTCAAGCATTAAAGGTAGAGAAATTGTAATGCCCCCAATCCCACATCAGAAGGATGTATGTAGAGACTTAATCCTAAACTTGCGAGGTTCTTTTTGTGGGATAAAATCGTGAGACTTTCGGGTCAAAGCGGACAATACCTCTCAGGTTGGTCTGGTGTGATCTTGGTCATGTGGATAGACATCAAGCATTAAAGATGGGGAGATTATAATGCCCCTAATCCCACATCAGAAAGATGTATATAGAGACTTAATCCAAAACTTGCGAGGTCTTTTTTATGGGATAAAATCGTGAAACCTTCGGATCAAAGCGGACAATACCTCGTAAGTTGGGTGCGAGTCTTCACAAATGATATCAAAGCGATCATCAGTCCGTAGTCGTGGGGTCACTAAGTGTTACACGGTGAAGCCGTGGAAGTCACTAAGTGCTATATGATGGTCTGGTGTGATCTTGGTCTTGTGGATGGACGACCTTCGAGTCAAGGCGGACAATACCTCACAGGTTGGTCTGATGTGATCTTAGTCCTGTGGATGGACATTAAGCATTAAAGATGAGGAGATTGTAACGCCTCCAATCCCACATCAGAAGGATGCATGTAGAGACTTAATTCAAAACTTGCGAGGTCTCTTTTGTGGGATAAAACTGTGAGACTTTCGGGTCAAAACGGATAATATCTCGCAGGTTAGGTGTAGGTCTCTACAAATGGTATCAGAGCGATCATCAGTCCGCAGTTGTAAGAGTAGCGGACAATACCTCGTAGGTTGGGTGCGGGTCTCCACAAATGGTATCAAAGCGATCACCAATCCACAGCCGTGGGAGTCACTAAGTGCTACATGATGGTCTGGTGTGATTTTGGTCTTGTGGATGAACTCGGCTTGACAGGGACGTCAAGCATTAAAGGTGGGAGATTGTAACGCTCCCAATCCCACATTAGAAGGATGTGTGGATAAGGAATGATATATATGTAGAGACTTAATCATAAACTTGCAAGGCGTTTTTTGTGGGACAAAACCATGAAACCTTCGGATCAAAATAGACAATACCTCGCAAGTTGGGTGCGGATATTCACAAATACATACCTAGCAAAGTGAATCAATGATTAAGTGTACATGAATTTTAGACTTAGACCAGAATTTAATGCATTACTCATGAAGGGGATGAATTTTGATTCCCGCAAATTCGAAGTCTGAAAGTTTTGGGTTCATGTCTTTATCTACGTGAACATTGCTAGCCTTCAAATCAAGGTGAATCACCCTTTAAAAGGAATGACAACGTGCATAGAAGGTAATGGAACAACTCTTGTATATACTTCAAAGAAGAGAAGCAGAAATTAAACACCAGGTTCAGGACAATTTGTATGGTGTAAACGAATATATAATATTCTGCATAAATTTATCAACATATGAAAACAATGGAAGGGAAGCTAACAATTCAATCTATCTTCCAACTACCATTGTCACCGTGACATCATTTGAAGATACAATTTCCTGGCCATCCCAAATAAATTCGGAATCTATGGAACGCCTTTTGGAAGTATAAGTGGGTTGTCTTGGCATTGGAAGTGTAGGAGTTTCACTCTCAAGCATTAACACCACGGCTGCCATTGTTGGCCTATGCATTGCAGAATCTTGCACGCACAGCATGCCTATATGTATGCATTTCAACACTTCGTTTGGAGGGCATGAATCCCGAATGCAAGGGTCGACGAGATCCATTGCTTTATTTTCCATCCAAAGATGCCATGCCTGAAACCAGTTCAATAAAATTCCATTTTAGTATTGAATCTTCAATATCTGATAAGAAAAAAAATCTCTCGATTTCTTGTTTCGCAGTTAGCTTTAGCTGTAAATGGTGCATTTGTACTTACATATGCGATGAGACTTGTGTGTTCAGATGAACGAAAGCCAGTATTTCTCCGGCCGCCAACAATTTCTAGCAATAATACCCCAAAGCTGTAAACATCTGACTTCACAGAAAATAGGCCTTCCATTGCATATTCAGGAGACATATATCCACTGCATTTTAAGAAAGGAAGGAAAGGATTAGATCTGTCAAGCTAGTGACAATGTTTGAAAGTTGAGTTTTCTGTTAACATATCTATAAATAAACGTGTAGTGCTTACTATGTGCCAACTACTCGAACTGTATTTGCTTCATTTTGATTACCCCCAAATATTCTGGCCATGCCAAAGTCTGAAATCTTTGGATTCATTTCTGCATCCAACAAAATGTTGCTGGCCTTTAAGTCTCTATGAATAATTCTAAGTCTTGAATCTCGATGGAGATAAAGAAGTCCTCTGGCAATGCCTTCAATAATGCTGAGGCGGGTTCTCCAGTCTAGCTGTGCTTGCTTGGCTTCATCTGCCATAAAGTTTATCAGGAAACAACTATCAGTACGAATAAGTAGCTACAAAAACTAACAAATCCAGATTTTGCCATTTTTTCTCTACAAAGACCTCTAAAACAATATGGAACATACCAAAAAGAAAGCTATCCAAACTTTTATTGGGCATGTATTCGTAAATTAGGATCTTTTCTTCCCCTTGAATGGAGCAGCCCAATAGTCTAACAAGATTTCTGTGCTGCAGTTTGGCAATCAGGATAATCTCATTTTTGAACTCCTCTAAGCCTTGACCAGACTGTCCTGAAAGCCTCTTTACAGCTATTTCTTGACCTCCAGGAAGTTCTCCCTGTTGACAAAAATAAACAGTGACTGGTATTACCTTTAATTCGATAAAATTATACCGATTACAAATTTGTAAGTAACTAAAGAAAGTCACCTTGTATACAGCACCAAAACCCCCCTGCCCAAGTCTGCTTCCTTCACAGAAGCTGTTTGTTGCAGCTGCCACAGTGCTAAAATTAAAAATTGGTAATTCTGGTCGATTAACTTCATTCCTATCTATAAGGATGTCAGATGGTTCTGAAAGATCTGATGAAACTTCTTTGCCCTTGGACTTGGACACATCAAAAACTGCTACATCCTCGTCCTTGCAACATGGCATTGATGAAACTGCAGGCAAACCTGAAAAGAAAGAGCTGAAAAATTAATAACAAGTAGTAGAGCAGACCACTTTCTCTAAGCTGCATGCCTCCGAAGGAAATCATACCTCCCCTCTTTTGTTTTTCTTTTTGGGGAGAAAAGAATCTCACCTTTCAGATTCTTCTTGTATCTCCATAGTAGCCATAAAGATACCGCCAAGAAGCATGCCCCCACGAGAGAAATTATGATTATCACAAGGTTGGATATCTTCCTTGTGCCATCTATGTTTGAAGTGAAATGAAAGGTGTTAATATATCAGAATAATTGTATAGGATTCTTATGTCTATTATTGTTTAAAGATCCAATAGGAAACATCAAATTCTTGTATAAGATTCAACTTTGGTTCAGATTTATGCAGCCAAATGCAGCAGAATAAATATTAAAATGAGCAAATGATCTCAGTCATTTAGCCCTCTAAGTAATGGGAGTTCACTAGACGCCTAAAAGTCACCAATATTTCAAGAATCATGACACCAACCTGATGTAGTAACTGTAGTCTGAAAAAATTTGGCAAGAAAGGGCAAGGTTTGGGAATCAAAACAACTGAAGGAAAAAATTGACTAAATTTGAGACTACTCTATGAGAAAAATGAGCAAGTGAAAAACTTCTAATGGACCATTACAACAAAAAAGAAAATGTAGCTTACCTATTTCAGAATGATGGAGGCGGTAGAAGAACTGTAAACTTCCACTCTGGTCCAAATGCTGAATATCAACCAGTTCTCCCGTCCATATCATGCATCCAATCCCTAAAATAAATGAACACGCAGTACATGAACAATTTCCCAAGCAGCTTGCTCTACAAGCATCTAAGTTCCCCGCAGACAACCACAAGCTTGATAAATCGGGTAACTTCATGCTATTTAATCCCTTAAAGCCATCTGGTTTACCATTTCCCCCTGCTGTTCCATTAGTACTATGGCACTGCAGTTCAATCCTCCGTTCACACCCACCTGACCAATTCCCTCTACTCCACTGCTCTGGAAACTTTGGTCTAAACCCTTCTAAACAATTGCAACTTGGAGAATTAAAGTTGTGGCAGGTCGCATAATTCCCACAATAATTATAAAGCTCACATTTATTAGCAGAGTCAGGCTGTGAATGCAGAACTGTCCAGTTTGTCCCTCCATCATCCCACATCAACTGCTGTTCCTTTCCATCCCAGCCTATTCGAAATCTGAATAAAGTAGAAGAATTTGATGGATCATATGTAAAATACTGGGTCCTATTTTCATCAGGATGAGAAAGCTTGAAGCCATATAAGAAACTAGCTGTATTACTCATTTCGGGGACACCTGTAAAAATCACCGAGTTCCACTGCCCGCTTCGCCACCGTCTTCTCATTTGATCCCATATTACTATCTGTGGTCCTCCATCAGGATCAACGCCCATGGTGTAGTTTCCTGGTGATGGATCATTGGCTGATTTCCATGCTCTAAAAGCACGGTACTCTCCTATCGCAGAATTCACTGGGACTCTCATTCCAGGCAGAAATGTATCAGTTGGGTGATTGAAGCTCTGCCAGTGAGCCCTACTGTCATCACCAATGGTATCATTGTTTGATAGAACGAGATTTCCTGTATTCCGGAGAATTGCTGCAGTGTTGGTTGATAAACCTGAAACATTAGTTGACCAAACTAAACTCTTATTTCCATCCAGAACAACCAAGTTACCATCAACTCCTATCCTCAAAACTCCACTTCTGTCAGATATTGGACTGTCTCTATTTGCAACCCATACATCTGTTTTCACATCAATCTTGTACCATATCCCGACAAATCTAAATGGGGAGTTTTCAGGACTGAAGAATCCCAGTTCAAAAATTCCATTCTCAGATATCAACGTCTCGCCATCCCCTATTATCTCGCCTTGTCTGATTATGTCAATCGCATGGCAAAACTGAGCAGCAAAAGAATATAGAAGGAAGATCAATGAAGCAAGAAAAACAGCAACTGGGTTTTTATTGTTAGTTTCCATATCATATTCTCTGAGAAATGCAGAGATTGATGAGATGGGTAGACAAATTCTAACTTATTCGAAGAAACTAGCTGTTAAAATATTTGGTAGGAATTCAAAAAAGAAGATTCAAAGGGTGGCCTTGCTGTTGCCTATGGAATCAGGAAGACAAGTTAGACTCAAAAACCTGCAGAAACCACACCGAAGAACTTAAAAAGTTATTCTCCAGTCACTATGTCAGATGTCACACATCAAAGCCACTTTTAGACGCAGAATTTTATTCCGCTTAAACTTTGACCATATGAAAATAAGACGCCGAATGAGAAAAGATTGTTCGATTAGGTGATATTTGGTCAAGAAACTTGACTAGTCACCCGCATGCATCACGCAAGCTCTGAATCTAAGGTGATGAAAATGATTTTGTTGTGAAAAATCATAGCCCTGGTTTTCTTCACTTAATGAAAAATGCTTTTAGATGGTTTTTGAAGTCATTTTTGTTGATCAGTAACTCATTTTTATAAATTTTTATCAAAAAAATTAAAAAATGCAAAAATTATTTTTGGGCAATCAATTTTTTTCAAAACAATAATGTCAAATTGCACATATTGTTCGTTTAATCATTTTAAAATATGTGCAAATAAAATAATGAAGTGAAATTGGAACACATGCTAAGATGCAGTAGCAATTCTAGTGAAAGAAATTTTTTTTTTTTTGGAATTATGGTGGTAAAAATTTCTTAAAATACACAAGTGAAAAATTATTTATTTGCATGAATTAATTCTGATTTATGAAGGCTACAAAAATTGATAAAGGTTATTAAGGAGACATCAGTCTCCTTATGGGGATCATTTTTCTGCCCTGGATTTGGACCATGTGGAACGGCATGGACCATGGAAGAGAACATGTCTGAGACTGGGGTTCCCGGAAATTTCTATTTGGGTTTTATGAACGTGAGGTTTTGTTAGATATATAGCAAGATTAGTATTTAAATATTGATAAATTAATCAATTAGATATTCAGCTGTATTATTTAAACTTGATGTTCTTTTGAACCAGAGTCCTCATGATCACAAAGTTTGACCGATAAGAAATCAGATATGAATTTAGGGTTTAATTCATTTATTTATATAATCATTTTAAGAGATAAAATTTAATAAATTCAAAGTTAAAATTCAAACATTTATAATCTCCTTTTTCATTTTCAAACTACAATCTATTTTGTACGAACTAAGTTTAGATAAGAATGATTGTCAAGGAAATGCCAATGAGTAAGGGATTAGTAGTTATTAAATAGTGGGGTTTTGGCAGGATATGAAATGCTAAGAAGATCAGCAAACATAGAATTATCCTATAAATGGAATATTTACTTTTTCTTTTAACGTTTATGAACTGTGTTTAATTGTTCCCATATTTCCCTTTATACACGACAAACTAGTAGATTTCACAACTCTTTTTTAAGTCCTTATGATAATATTTAAAGCATTAGTTTTAAGAAGAAAAAAAAAAAAAAAAACCGCAACCGGTGGTTTGACATAATTTATTTTATTTTAAAAGAATTATTCTAATCAAGGTAACAAACATAACGTTTGGTTAGATAGGAAAGATTAAAGAAGTAGCTCACAGCTTGGAATTGATGAGAAAAACAAGCTAAGTTCCAAGCTCTACGCTGCAAGTCTGCTAGAGCTAGAAACCGAAGTCTAAACTCTAAACTTCCCATTCCAAACGTTGTTTTCTTTATTCACCACCTGCCATGCACAGTACCACAAACTTCTCTATCATTAATGACTTATTACTAGACTGTTTCCCATTGGATGATTCTCTTCGGTTTATATATACACGGTATAACTAATGATTTTAAAATATGATATGATAATATAATATAAATATGATATAAAATTTTTTGTGTTAAAATTTTAAAAGGTGCATGGTTTAAAATTTTAATAAAAATTATATATTAATTTAATAAAAAAATTTATTTCATATTTTTATATTTATATAAATTATGATACGTAATTATTTTTATAAAACATAAGATAAATATATAAAATTTAATAGTTTATATAATATGGATATACAAATACAATGTGGGGAGATGCGCACAAATTAAAATGATACAGAGAAGATTAATATGATCCATGTGCAAGGATGACACGCATAAGTATATGAAGCATATTTTATTAAATAAAATTATGAGATATTCGATTTAAAATTAACAATATTTTGTTGGTTGAATACAAGTTTTTATAAAATATACACAGATCATAAAATTATATCAGATATTGAAATTTTAAAGATGACTCTTACAATATAATTTTTAGTTCTTATTCGATTAGTGATCACTTTGATATTATTTATAAAAACTTACATCCAACTTAGGGATATTATCCATTTTTATTTACAATTTTATTTCATAAAAAATAACTTTCAAATTTAAATTTAAATTTTTATTTAAATATTATAACAAATTCTTAAAATCTCTCATGTAAACATTACATACAAAACATCAAATCTAATACAAAATAGATAAGACGATGGATCATCTTTTCAGTCATTAAAAAAATTTGAAGCCTAACAAAACCAAGGATAGAACTCCACGTCATAATCCTAATCCAATTTGATAGCCCATAATATAAGCTCAAGTGCGTCTAATCATTAAGGGGGTGTTTAGTTCTCGAGATTATAAATTTAAGAGAAAAATATGATCATAAAAAATATATAACATTTAGGGTTTTTTTTATTTTTAAGATATTTCATAATCAGATTCACTCGTTTGATTGAGAGAGATTCACATATATTAAATCTTAAATAATTATTATAATCTACTTGATATATATGATGATAATTTAAATAATTTAATTTTTAATTAAAAAAATTATTTAAGATATTTTTTATCAAAAAATACTTTGATTAATCTTTACAAAAAGTTAAATAAGATTATTCAAAATGTTTGTAATAAAAAATACTTTAAATAATTTCTTTAATAATCTCTTTTAATTTTTATTAAAAAATTTATTAAAAATTATTGAAAATATTTTTAATCAAAAATATTTGAATAATTATTTTAATTTTTTAAAAAAATTATTTAAGATAATTTTACAAAAAATATACTTTTAATAATCTACTCCGCTTTTTAACATATCTGATCATTGCTATTCATATATGAAATACGATGAAGTGCTTTCGTAAATTGGCATCCAAAGCAAGACAATCTCTATCTGGAAAACACTACTTGGAATGACCTGCAACCTATCTCACATGCAACTTCGAGGAAGGAGGACAATTTTCACAGGCACAAAAAGCCACAAATCAAATCAAAGGCAGCGATTGCCAGCAGAGACAACCTTCTTAAACAGCTTCATTTTTTTTTTATCTGCACCTTTAATTTGTTCTCATTAACACTCTTTCCTCGAAAATTTCTGCTCCTTTCTCCCCTTAGCTTTATTCTCTTTCCATCACATATAAATACTACCTACCTATTCTACTTTCTTTTGTACCAAACTAATTTCCATTTTTCAAAATCAATAAAAAATCAATAGGTTCTTTTACGTTTAATGAACAAAAATGGCGTCCCAAAATGGTGTAGTGTTCGAAGATTTTTTCCCTGCCATGGTTGAGAAATTGGGGGCTGAAGGTTTTATGAAGGAGCTGTGTAATGGGTTTCATTTGCTTGTGGATGGAGACAAGGGAGTGATCACTTTTGAGAGCTTGAAGAGGAACTGGCAACTGCTTGGTTTGCAAGATATGAGTAATGAGGAGAAGATTTGCATGTTGAGAGAAGGTGATTTGGATGGTGATGGTGCTTTGAATGAGATGGAGTTTTGTACCCTCATGCTTCGGTTGAGTCCTGAGTTGATGAACAGTTCAAGAAATTGTTGGTAGAAGCTATTGTCAATTTCTACACCGTTTATCAAAATATTAATCAGGATTTTGAACTTCATTTCGCTTTCATTTTCGTCATTTTTGTCCCCAACATTTGCCAATTATAAGTAGCCATTTTTGCAATTAAGGGCCCCATCAATTTATCTTGCTCTAAGCGTTGGGTCAATATTGCCCAAACATGGATCGCAACATCCAACCTCCAGATCAGACCAGACAGGCCAGATCGGCCCAATTCCCACCATTTGTTTTCAATCAGCCTTTACTGGAATTGAAAGTGTTTGTTGGCTCCAAAAATAATGTCATTACATTCTGAATTTGCTGATGAGTAAATGGATAAACAAAAGTTTCCACCATCATAGGTTAGAAATTGGAATCAAATTGCAGTTCTTGTTTCTCTCTCCCAAACTGCAGCAGAAAGCAACTGCACTGCAACATTTGCATACTTGAACTCATGCCAACAGGAAATTTTTCTGCCTAGGTATCTAATTGTACGGAGAACATGATTCATGAACCTTATTGTAACTTTGACATTTCTAGTTCCAGGGCGACAATTTGATTTGAAAACTTCGTAGCATTTACATAGCTAATTGCTAACCTTTGAAGTTCCGAATCACATTTTTTCTTGATTAACGTTCATTACTTACTGATATAAGAAAGATTGACATTAGAATATATCGCTGGACAAATGTTGCTACCAATATAATTAATTTGATGTTAATGATCATATCAACAATAAGATATATAGGTTAATTCTTTGGCATTATGCCTTCAGCCTGCATGATTAAAAATACCTACCTTGTTAGTAGAAGACTTTTATTTCGACGTGACAGAAATAGAAAAGTGAGAAATGCCATCTATGAAGAAGAAGAAGGACGCAGTAGGCAAATACCCACCAAATGTCAGTACAGATTTCAAATTTTTAGAGAAAAAGGGAAACAATTAAAAAAAATCCCTGGTTGAAATTATTTCCTGTGTGCTAATAGATGCCCTATTTTTCACACTCAAGCTTATAAACTACCCATGTTCGGAAAATTGGTGATATTAGAAATCGTGGTCATCAAATTTTGCTCTACAAAGCATGAATGGCTTCCCACATGAGCCATGCATTCAATTCTTAATATCTTAATTGGATATGGTAGAACGTATGAATCTTAGGCCAAGTAAATTATCTTCAGAATCTTGCCCTGATGCCCTTCTGGCACCCTTTTTTGTTTTCGCAAGTCATATGGTAGAAAGTATGAATCTTAGGCCAAGTAAATTATCTTCAGAATCTTGCCCCGATGCCCTTCTGGCACCCTTTTTTGTTTTCGCAAGTCAATTGGTGGAGTGGTAAAATGTCCGCCTCTACATTTCACATCTTTAATAAAGAGATGCCTTTAAGTTTTATATCACAGAATTTCATGCTCAAGGGGAAGAAATATCGGTTTCTCAGCCAACCAATGAGGAAAGTTTAACCTCGTCCACATTTATAAAGGCAATGCAATACATGAGCAACAAAACCAAGCCTACAGAATATGTAAAACCACCCCAGGTCCACCACCATGTTGAGTATCAAAAACATGACAAGCTGATCTTCACGGGCTCCATGGCAACATGAGTCTTTTCCCTTCTTAACCTAAACCACAAATTTCTTTTCCTCATTCAGATTTGTCGTTTGGGGAAAAAAGATTTATTCATCCATATCTTGTAGTAACTGCTTTCTTTAGAGAGGAAATATACACCAGCAAAACCACAATCATATTCATCATGCTGCTTTTCCATCAGACACCAGGATTCATGTTGTGTTCGAGCATATTAGAACATAAGCTATGGACGTTTGAACTTGTGTGTCTAACTCCTTCATGAAGAGACAAAACAAAATTAGTGATGTGTGAAAGTGGAATAAGAGAAGAAGAGGTAGAAGATTTAATTACGGAGAAAAATTGAAAGAAATCTTCTATGTACAGACAAAAGATATGTAATTCCCAACAAGATCTTTATCACGGCCAAATTTGCACCAAATAATAGACCAGACAATACAAGCACGTTTCTCTTGACTAGACAATAATATGTAGCCAGACAATAGGTGAAACCTCACTCCAGTAAAATGAAGTTTGTCACTTGACAAATGCAGATCGGAAGAAACATCAACCTGTGGAACCATCCCAACCAATTATTCTCCTAAGAAGAAATTTAGTAAACACTACCATGAGGTCCACAGAACTGATAGTTCACTAGGATTCAGACAGGTGTCTTTGCAACTACTGTACCAAGCCGAGCTAGCCAGGGAGTATTGAAATTGACAGAAGGTCTACACAGAAAAGCCAAGGGCTTATCTTCATCATCAATTTATGCCTAATAGCAGATTATGCTTATAGCAAGAAACGAAATGACTTAAACTAGTTAGGTCCAGTGCTGGACGCCTGATCCCAAGGTTTAGGACTAGAATTACGAGTTAATTATTGAATAGAATATGATGTGGCAAGATCTGGGTGGGTACTGAATGTCCAATAGGTGACCAAACCCCACCTAAGAAAATATTATGCAAATTTGGTCCCCTTTGTTTTCTATTGCTTCATTTCTTTTTACTGTTTGCAGATTGCTTGGAATCAAGATCTTTAATTTTAATTATATTACATTTTATAAACAGTTGCCAAGTTGCCCTTGAGCATGTGTATCGTATTTTAGAGCACTAGGTGGACTAGCGGAAACAAAAACTGAACATATAGGCATAAAACTCAGTGAAGCACATGGAAATTCAAGCTTGAAGGCAATTCTCTCAAAAACAAGAAAATGAAAATGAAAAAGTGTGAGCTTTGCAATTTTGTGGCAAAGATTTATTGTGAATCTGATCAAGCCATCTTGTGCTGGGACTGTGACTCCCGAGTACATGGTGCCAATTTTCTGGTTGCGAAGCATTTAAGAGCTCTTCTTTGCCACCTCTGTCAATCTCCTACGCCCTGGAATGGCTCTGGACCAAAGCTTGGTCCAACTGTCTCCGTTTGTGACAATTGTGTCAATAGAAATGCTTGTAGACAGGAGATAAACAATGAAGAAACACGCGATGAAGACGATGAAGATGTTGGTAATGATGATGATCTTGATGGTGAAGATGACAGTGGTGAAGATGATGATGGTGATAGTGGTGGTCATGAAGAAAATCAAGTGGTTCCATCGTCATCTACGACACCAGTTTCCAGTTCTGCAACAAGTGAAGAATGTTCCACCAGGTTTGGCAGCACCCAAGAAGGTGCTTCTCAATCAAGAACAGTACATGTATTGAAGCGCATGCGTGAGACTGCAGAGCCTGCTTGTCGAGTAAGCCATTCTTTTTCCTCCAGTTTTAACTAATTTCTCTTTTAATTTGACTTCAATGATCCTGATTAATCTTGGAATCCTTCATTTCTTTAAGGCACAACCTGATTTTTAGAATATTATGAGATTCTGTTTTGAAGCAGGAGCATTCAGGCTACTCATTTTCTCGACAACATCAGAACAAGAATTTGTCGAATGAATCAGCTTCTTTAGATGCCTTTAGGTCATTTAAAGACCAGAAAGTAACAGTGAGAGACTCTCTCAGGGAATAACTGGAGACGACGTATGAAGAAGTCGATAACACTCCTTGATATCTGCAAATGAGCAAAAGCTGCATCAAGTTGTTAATGGCAATTTTAATGACAAATTAATTTTCGTTTAATATGAGGTAACTTTCTCTAATTAGAAGTCAGCCAGTCTTGATTGATCTGTATTTGGTTTATTTAAAGTAGAAATGCATGTGTTTTAGTTGCAAGCGTTGAGGCTAATAACAGCTAATAAATTTTGTTATTTATTAAGAAGATCGATTCTTTTTCAACCTCAACCAAGGATCACATGTTCCTTCTGGGAATCAGGCAATCATCTATCATTTTTTTAAAGGGGTGAATTTGCACCGTAATGATCAGATTCGCCAAAGCCGCATTTAGTTTTTTTTTTTTTTTTTTTTTTTGAATAAGATAGTAATCACCACATCTCCATAACAACAACAGTTTCATTTATCCTTTTCCATTCCCAACCCACTCGATGGAATCAATGCATAGATAATGCTACCGATTATGACAAAGCAATTCACCCACACGCTGGATGATCTCATTTGGATTGCAGTACTGCAAACACCTAAGATGAGGATTTACTCGAAGTACAAAGGGCTATTCGGTTCTAACCCACCTTGCACATTGCTCAAGTCCAGGAAGCATTGGGACCTCTTTCTAGTGCAAATTGGACACCATTTGCACTCAAACAATAGAATTTGGTTTACATCGTTTGACCAATAAAATCCAAAATTCCATTTCTTCACTTCACCATGAGATTCACAAAGAACAAAAACCGTAGAAAACTAAAAGGGGATGATGGTTTTGTACTTTCCCTGTTTTGTAAGTCATTTTTTGCCAAGAAATTTATCAAGCACACGCATTCTCCCACTCAAGGTACATTCCCTTTGTTTTGATTTTCTTCCTTGAGAGCTTGGAGACTGATAAAAATCGAATGGCTTGAGCTTAGAGTGAGGTCAGTGGTTAATTTCATTTGGTCCGCAAGCTTTGACAGAAAAACATAGGAAATTAATGAAGGAAAATGACTGGTTTTTTTACGATTTTCTGCATGGAATTCAAACTTTTTTTAATGACATTCTAAATCCGATTATGTTAATGATTAAGTATGATTACAACAATTAAATATTAAAAAAGCATTTAAGCATGCATGACTTTTGGCCTGTCTAATATAAAAAATAATCATGAATTAGAATTCTCATTACAAGTTGCTTATTTACATTGATATAAAATCGACCAAAGCAGAGGGGTCCAATTAAAAGGGATTGAGCTAGTTTTTTTGTCTCTGGTGGGGATTGGTTGCTTGCAAAGGAAGAAAAAATTTGCTTAGCCCTGGTCTATTCTTCTGAAAAGTAGGTGTTTGGGTTTCGAAGATAAATATATACCCTCTCGCATTTCCAAACTGCTTTGCTTATTGACTTTGTGATTGCCTGGTTTAGTTATACACATACATTATGTTGGAGAAATGTTTCTCAAGTCTCACCATATTTTAGTTTTAACCAAGTTAAAAGTAAGAAATCGAATTGATGATCTCTCAGGATCACCCACTCATCAACCCAAACTTTATAGATATGCAAAAGCATATTGCAAAAACAAAACAATAGCTCCACCAAACATTTGCACACAAGACCTGTTCAGACATTCCATTAAGACCATTTCAACTTCAAAAACTGCCTCAGCAACCTCCTTCCGGCTCATACAGCCATCTGTAAATCTGTAACAAGCAAGCAAAGGATGTCAAATTTCACCCAAAACAGCATGATTGATGATGCCATAACACCTATAAGAGAGAGGGGAGAGAACATTTCTACTAGTTTGTCACAGAGTATGAAATTTCTTTTTCTGATAGCAAGGGTGGTAATACATGTATATGACACTGGCTGCGAATTAATTGCAGATGTATCATTTAAGAAATTATATATATGAAGCACACATTGGTTCATAGAAGAAAATAAACTAAACATGACAGGTCAAATCACTATTAAACACCAAACTCTCTACATATCAGTTTATACAATTCTAGTATTTAATCAGACGGATCAACCACCGGCCAAGAGTTAGCATTCTGCTGAAATAACTTCTTTGGGCTTCAAGCTGAATGGAGCTTAATTTAAAAGGTGGGATTTCATATGTTAACACAGTTTCTTGACTCTAGAGAAATATGCTCCTCACGATAATAACGATTTTTTTTATATGTTTCATGTTATTCTATTCTATATGAAAATGTTGCATAGATTAGCAGTGTTATCAGTTTCTCAGTCTCAGATACACTTTTAGGTTGATTCAACAGGAACCACCTCAATTAAGTTATTACCAGACTGACTAGCTCCTTTGATTTTTATGACCACAAAGTTGTACATATTGTAGATACATATATACATATGGATATATAGTTTTCAACTTCTGCCAAAGGCTTCAAATTGCCAACATCTTGTTTTGTCATCCTAAATCTTCAGCTTCTACCGCAAAAATATCAAAGTAAAAGGCTAACAAGAGCACAACAAATTGGTCTGCCCAATCATAGTCAGAATGTGCTATACAAAAAATGCTACCCGGTTGGAGCATATGTAAAGGTTGAGAATATATGAGGTGATACCATATAGGTTAATAACAGTAACAAAAGGAGGGATACTATAAACAAAAACTTCATTGGTTACTACATCAATGGACATGAATTACCATAAGCACACCATTTGCCATTTTGTAACTACAATATGCTTGGCAAATTGTAGGGTAAATGAAATACATAAACTAATTTTAGTTCTTCATTCTGATTAGGAACACCAAGGAAGAAAAGAATGACTATTTTTTGTTTGTTTGTTGGTTTTTAGAAGGATATTGAAGGTAAGACACTGCAGAGTGAATCATTCAGAAAAATAAATACATGGAGAGTAGGTTTAAACTAAGGCACTGGAGAGCGAATCCTATTTATCTATTAGCACAGGTAAATATAAAGGAAAATCACCCACAAATCTAGCTACTGGTGCTTGAAAACTTTGGATTTCTCAAGGAATAGTGACCCTTAAAAAACTCTGTTCTATCCAGAGGAGCTCTTCTTACTTTTTCTCTAACAGAACATCTTACCAAAATAGACCCAAGAAATGGGAGTTTACTACTTTGATTGGGATACATGTTTGAATTAAAAAGGTTTAGGGATTATGAAGTAAATGACATGGGAGAATCCAAACAAATGTAAAATGTTGTACCATAGGTTACAATATGAATTATGAAATAAATGGTCTTCAGGGCTCATTAGAACACACAGCAATGCATCAAGATGACAGGTATGGCAAATAAAATGTCACTCACAGTATCATTAATCATAAAAAGCAAAGAACAAACATCAATTTAAACTGTTTGAGAAAGCACCCAGCAGACATTCTAGTTCAGTGGAATGAGAAAATAAAAACTGAAATAGACTAACTTATATCTAAAGCTGACACATTGAAGATCTATTTCTCTAATTAACAATCATTTTTCCTCGCAATTTTAACAGGGAAACACATTGGTAGTTCGACATTGAAGGGTTTGAGGCAATTAAACAAATCGGACAAAATGGAACTCAGTTGCAACTTACTGATGCAAAAAGATAGAAAATCAAAGTCATAATACTGATCAATATGCAGATTGGGATGCAATCTATACAAATTAAAATAAAGAGAATAGAATTGCTATAGAAAGAGATGGGATGCTTCCCCCAAGCTCATTATCAACAATCCGATAGCATTGAGTAAGAGGTGCCTAATCATATAATCAGAAAATTCCCTCTCACCTCTTCAATTTTCCTTCTATATATGAATAGAATGAAGTATACAATAATGCGCGTACCTTACTTAGATGATGAAACAATGACATTCTGCCATATCAAATGATGAAATTAAAAAACCAAACCTCAGTGTTTGTCCACGGCATTATGAAACTCCTGTTCCTCTTCCTCTACTAAAGGGCATAAAACTTCTCCATTTTATCCAACCCAGTTTTCCCTTAAAGTTATCCACTGCCATCTTTCCCTTTCTCTTTCTCTTCATCAGGAAACCTAACAACAATTACAGGATAAACACAGTGACGAACACAATAATAACTCACACTTCCCAGCCTTCCTTTGGCACTCCTCTTCGCAGCTCCTAACCCTCTACTCCCCATAACAACAGTACTCAAACCCAACCTTTCCACCTCCAAGCAAAGCCTTTCCTTCATGTCATGATCTTTGACCATGTGAACCTTAAAGGGTATAGGAGATTCCGCCAACGGTAAAGCAAGATCGTTTATTTTCTTATTAGTGAATAAATCAAACTCTTCCTCTCTTTTATGCTGAGTTTCCACAGTCTCATCTTCATCAGGAAGTGACACGTCTATGGCTCCCCAGTCAGCACCGTAGAGAACGCAGGTGGGGCGCACGTGAAGGAGGATGACAGTGTCACCCAAACGAAGGTAGTTGTGAGCAGCCCATTTAACGGCAAAGGCACTCTCGTCACTAAGATGAACAGCTATCCCGATCTTACGGTGGGTACCGGAGGTGGTAACTGGGAACCTTGGAGAAGATGGTTCGACCAAAATAGCTGTGGCCGGTCGGTCCGGCGATAACTCCGATGGTTTCCCTTCTTAGGTGAAGCTGCCATGGAACAGGTTTCCTTATCTTTTTTCGCTGTGTTTAATTAATTTTATTGGTTTTCGGTGTCGGAGAGGGACAAGACAAGTTGGTAAAGAACGTTGGAAGTGAAAAAAAAAAAAAAAAGGCGTAAATGTAACGTAAGAGAAAGTTAAAATTCCGACAAGTACTGTCGGTTCGGTTCGGTTTTTTTTTTTTTTTTTAAATAGAAAACCGATACAATTTCTGAAGATCTTAACTTTGGTGATTTCTAGGGTTTCACTTCTCTCAATCTTCCAATCGAATAGGAGTTGAAACAATTAGGGTTAGGGTGTTCCCTTCCCAGTCAAATAATCAAAGATGCCACAAAGACACTCGAAGAACAGCAACGATTTATCCTTCTTCACGTACGATGAGAAGAGGAAGCTACGGTACGGGACGCAAAAGGAGAGATTGAGGAAAGACTCGATTAAGCCATTCAATGCTTGCTACCTTTGCTTGAAGCCTTTCATCGATCCCATGTCTTGCAAAAAAGGTCATGTCTTTCGCAAGAACGCATTCTCGAATGCCTTTTAGCCCAGAAAAAGGACATCCAAAGGTATCTCTTTTAACCCACAACCCTGTTTGGCTCCATATGTCGTTGGTTGGTATTTTTGCTCAATTTCTTTGTTTAGAATGCTTGTTAATGACTTGTTTTGATTGAGTCTACTACAAACTTGTCTGATGATGTCCCCATTGCTGTGTTTTCCTTTCTTTCTGTGATATTATTGAAAGTGAAAGAAACAAAACTGAATGGAAATAGGGAAGCTGGTTATCATAGAGATGAGAGGCTCTTTAACTTCTAACAAACTTCTGTATTTGCAAATGTGAAGGCTGCTCTCAGTTAGTGTGTGCTTGTATTTGTCTTCTTTAAATTACATTAGCCAGTTTCCCAAAACTTTAGTGATTTTTTCAGAATGTTAACAATGATCAGTTTCAGATCAAGAAGAACAACAGTTAACTTTTTTTTTCAAGATTTTATATTATCTGTTGCATTACATGGTAAGTTAGATCAAATCAGGACATTCATCAGTTTGATTGGATACAATTTATTTTCCAGGGATTTTATTAGTAATTGCCCAGCGATGGGAGGTTGGGAAACTGATATGAAAACTTGCAAGGACAGCATCTTTGCTACTCTTTCCTCCCTTTTCATTGAAGCAAAGTAGGATTTGAACATGCCTTCTTTTGTGCTTTTAATGTCTGGTAGTGGATCTTTATTTGTAAATTTAACACTATAATTGGAAGTCTCCAATGTGAAAAACTACCTTTCATGTGGTGCAAATAATTTTTTGAAGTAATAGGTTCTTTGGTAATTAAATGAACTGCTTTTACTGGATTTTCTTAAAAAAATAAAAATAAAAGCTCTTCTGTTCAGAATGAATCAGATAAAATTTGCCATTTTTGGGGTTAATCATGAAAAGCATGTTTTTCTCCCATCTGGCAGGAAGCTAGCTGCCCACGCTGCTTAGCAGAAACAGGAGAAGGGAGAGGAGGAGGAGAGGTTGATGTTGCAGAAAGCAAGAGAGCTTTATGCATTTGATCAGCAAAACCACGGTGCTGTACCACAATACAATGACAGAAACCACGGCAGAGACAAGAATGGGTTCCATGGGGCAAATAGTGTGAAGGTTACTTCTTATGAAGAGGAAGCACTCTGGACGATGAAAGCTTTTTGGCTTCCCTCTGCCACTCCAGAAGCACCTGTTAAAGTCGAGACTCCTTCAACCAATACAATCCGTCCGGAAGGCAAAGATAAACTCAAGCTAAGAGCCTTTTTCCTATCTACTTCACTGAAGATGACAGTGAACAGAAGAAATCTAATTCTCTTGATAAGACTTATATTTGTCCGAGCTGTAAGGTCACTCTGACCAACACTTCATCATTGGTAGCCCTTAGCTCCTGTGGGCATGTCTTTTGCAAGAAATGTGCTGACAGGTTTATGGCTATCGATTAAGTTTGTTTGCTCTGTGACAAGGCATGCAAAGAGAGGAATTTGGTGACCTTGGAAAGAGGAGGGACATGCTTTGCTGGCCATGGTGATCATCTTGAAGCCACTGATTTCGAGCATTTGGGAAGTGGTAGTGGCTTGGGGCTTGTGAGACCTGCTGCGAATACGTGACTTTCTTTTTTTATCTCTCTGTAAGTCTACTTGTTAGCCTCTCGCTTGGAAGAAAAGTGGAACAAGGAACGGCAAAAGGATGCAACGAGATTCATTTGCTTTATTACACATCATTCTATTCTGTGCTTCTGATATGAATGTGTTTAATGTTATTGAAAAAAGGCAATTGAATGTTGAACTTCTTCCCATTGTTTTCTAGTGGATGGAAAATGCAGATAGAAATGGATCTCCCTATTGTTTATCACAATTATTAATCCCTGCCTTTTGCATGATTGAGGTTCAAGCCCATCTTTTAAAACCAATGGGCCAAGCTACAGGTTCATATATGAAAATCTTCTTGTCTTTTAGTTTTTGTCCTGTGCCGATGACTGTCTCAGTCTTACCCGTTCTTGGTAGGACATGGAAAGGGTATTGCATCAGACGAACTGATAATGTCGGATTCGTTTAAATCATTTTTTATCCCGACTTCATATGCTATCAATAGAATATAGGTTCTTCATATAATTTAATCACGTGAAAATCCCATAAGGAAAGTCTTTGACTTATAGCCAAATAACTTTTTCTTTCTTAGAGAAAGTAAAGTAGAGGTGGGAAGATAAGCAAAACACGTCTCAATGGGCGGATTTGGCCACTCTAAACGTCAACAAAAGACGGCCAGATTTTGATAGTGGCCCTTTCATAAAATGTTTAGCAACGCAAGCAAAAGGACGGCATCCTGAATGCAATTGCGCGTAGTGACTAGAGAGTAAGATGGTGTATATGGATTGGGAAGATTTTACAAATCTTTTTCCCTAGTCAATTTGCAGCAAAAAAACGCTTTATGCACGTGCAGTGGTTGGGAATTGGCCATAGCTCTCAAGCGACCTTTATTGGGAATCATAAGAAGCTTATCTGATCAGATCATCAAAACCCATCAAAACGCTGTACTAAAAGACACCCCCACCAATCCACTCCTTTGATCAACTTCGGACTCCTAACTGTAACAGTATAGTAACAACCCAACAAAGCCGGTTGCTTTCTCTGTCCGAATTCAACAAAGTTTAAAGCTTGAAAGTTGAAATCTCTTCAAAATATGGCTAACGAAATTACTACAAATGTTACCCAAAAAAAGAAATCAGAAAGATTCATTGCAGCGTTAATATAGCAGATTATTATAAATAATCTTAATTACCTATAATTGGATCCTACGTGTCAACAGTTGTCCCGTCAATTATCCGCCCCCCTTTGGGTCCCACATCACCATTTAAAAAAAGGAACGGAACGCAACTTAAAATGGCAGCTATTTAAAGAGAAAGAAGAAAAAAAGAAAGAGGTTAAGCTGTGAAATTTCCTTTGTTGGGTTTTTAATGGCGGAATTAGAGAAGCAAGAGAGAGTTGTTGTAAATAGAAACAAAGATAAAGAAAAGGAAGAAGAAGAAGAAGAAGAAGAAGAGAGGTTGTTAGAGGGAATGGCGGTGTTGGATTTCGACATGCTATGTTCCACCGTGGCTTTGCAAACCCATGGCAAATGGAGGAAACTTGAAAACGCCGAGGATTGTTTAGAACAAGGAAACGGAGACTTTGGTGGCGTTTTCAGGATGTGGGAAGGTGAAGTTGTTCTTGATTTCTTGGATGACCGCCGTGTCGCTCTCCAATCTACCTGGTCTGTTCTCTCTCTCTATCTCTCTTGATTTTGAGAAGAGGTTGTTTGTTTCCATAGAAATTAAAAATTTTTCCTAGAGAGAAACTTCTTTCCAAGGGAAAAAATATTTGTACTAAAATTGTTTCCCTTCTCTATTACTTCTTTTTTGTTGCGTGTGTCTGATTCCGACAATTTGGGACGCCGCCAATAAATGTCAAAAAGAAACAATCTTTGCTATTGCTTTTTTTTTTTTTTTTTTTGGTGTTAGAATAAAATTAACTCAACAGGAAAACCTTTTTTTCTAGCTGACCCAAAAATTTTTATTTTGTATATATTTTTCGTTTCCAGTTTTTTCTGTAAAATAGTTTTACCCCAACAGAAAATTATTTAATCATTTTGATTAGTTTAAAAATGATTTATTTAATCTATTAAGCTTGTTGTAATTGATTGATTAACCAGTTCTAGCTGTTTAGTTGAGTTACTACCCCACCCTCACGCATCTCTTTTTTACTTGTCATGAGGTTTAGCTGATAGTGTTTTCTCTTATTTCTTTTTAGCTCTTATATTTTGATTATATTTATGTCTGTGTAATAGTGTGTGTTGATGTTCCAGTTGCCCCTGCTACAGATTTGGGAAGAACATGAGGAGAGCTGGCTTCGGATATTGTTTTCTTCAGGTAAAAATTTTCATGTTTCCACATTATTACAACTCTAAAATACCATACCTGGAAATATTTAGTTCCCAGATATGTGTTTTCATAGTTAACTTATAATCTGCAAATGTGGGGATTTTGTAAATTTTTGTATGAATTCTGATTGCTGAAGATAAGAGTTTATACCCAATGATGTTGTGTTTCACTTATCCTGAATTCTTAATGACGTTTTGCAGGGAACCGTTTATTTCATTCTTGTTTTGAGTGTGTTTCTCAACTTCCTTGCCTTTATTGTCACCAAGCGGAATTACTTTCTGTATTTGGCTGGTGCTTTCATCTTATCTGTTGGAGCATATTTGGGTTTCTTCCGCATGCAGATAGAAAGAAAATTCAATATTAGGGTGAGAACTTTTATTTATCATCATGCTTGATTCTTTTCTGACTCTAGGGTCTAATGATGAATGATCTTATGATATTTCCATGTCTTTAGTAGTTTTGATATTTCTAATTGACTTTTTGGACTTCTTGATATTGACTGAGGATGTTATAGATCTCGTGGACTGACTTCGAAGTTTCAAAGAGGTATCTAAAGGACCAACTAGATTGAGGAAAACATGTTTTGCATAACATTTGGAATAAGCGCATGGTGCTTTCCATGGCATTTGCAAGAGCCCTAATATGTAATTGATATTTAACGATACACTCACACTGTGGTGGGAATTTTAACCTTGGATCTCCTTGGGCCATAGCCTGCCCTTTTACCACTGGAAGCCTCATAGGCAGTCCTGATAATTTTACTTGATTCCTCTTGATCATGGCATTGTCAATGCATTGAATCTGTTCTTTTGCATATCAGAATTATGAAGCTTGATAAATATTTATGATTCTCTTCATTGTCAGCTCATGGAGTCGATTGTAAAAGATGGTGTTTGATTGATCTATTTTCTGGATAAGGATAGCTATCTGAAAGTTTTTTACACTTTTATTTCCCAGCATCGACACTACTGGTACAATTTTACTGAAATCGAAATATTGTTGGAATTATGTTTGTATGCAGGGTAATGATAGCTTATTGGATGATTGCATCTACCATCTCATCTGCCCTTGCTGTACATTATCCCAGGTTATTGTCCTTGCCAAACTATGTTGGAACTTTGAGTATTTTGTTTAGTGACTCTACAATAAAAAATGCAACGAGACTCTTTCAATTAGTGATAGCATTAAAGAATCAAAGTCAAATGTGGCTCAAATATAAGTTCTTCAAATCTCATTTTCCTGAATATTGATACATAATTGACCTTTTTTTTTTACATGGAGCAGGAGTCTAGAACATTGGAGATGAACAATGTCCAAGATGGTACATGGCACGGTCGTGGTGATATATGCATAGGAAGCTATGGTGAAGGCAGAAAAGCGTTCTTTGAGCTACACCCTCCTTCTCCTATATCAATTAAGACTCCTGAGCCCTGCAACATGCAAAATAGTTTAAATGGTGATGATAATGCTTGAACATGAGAACTTGCATATTCAAAGATCTTGTCCAATATTGGCTGGAACAGCCAATCGCAAATATCCCAGAAAATTTATTCTTTGATGGAGGGATGCTAGACAAGCAGATGGAAGAGCAAAGTGTTTGTGGCTTGGATTATAGAATCCTGCAGGAATGGTGATCCGGTTTATTCAAGGAGAAAGATAATGGTGCTTCCATGTGCATGAAAGGAAACTATTTGTAGCAGTGTGGAGGAAGTAATAGGAGATCCTATCCAACTTAATATTTCATTGTTACTTTTCCCATATAGACTTTGAATCTATGCCCCCGTTCATCTCTTCCTTGATTGACTAGGGAACACCTAATTCACCGTGACTGAAATAGATGCTTCTCTCTAGAAAGTATATTTTTTAAAGGATAGCTTGGAAATAGGTTTTTATTTTATTCCAGGACTTTTTTTATTCTTTCTGTCAATAAATATAGCTTGTGCCGACTGTACTAGTATTAATCATTGAATTCAGCAGATTGATAGTTTCTCCAATATTGCAGGCTTCAGATTACAGTATACGACTTAGTCTGATGGAGAGAGAGCAACAGGGTGATTGTGTCTCATACTCTGTTTTTAGGACTAAAATACTGTCTTTACGACTGAAACTTCTTTCCATGGAAGTTTCAGAAAGGGTGAAAGCGTTCCAATTAGGGATAGCTTAGGAATAGCAACGGGTTGGGGCGGGTTTTTGATTAGTCCGAATTTTTTATTTTACATTCTTTGAATTTGAATTTGATTCGATATTATATAAATTATATTTTGATTTAATTTAAAATTAATAAAATATTATTTTTTAAAATATAAATATTTAAATATATAATTATATAAATATATATAAATAAAAAATTATTTTTATATAATATCGGGGTTTGTTTAAAATTTGAATTAAATTTTTTTTTAATATTTATCTAATCCGAAACTTAGATTTAAAAAAAAAATTTCTGAGTTGGGTTGCACGCCCTAATTTCAATGAGAAAGCAAAAGAAGCTTTTGCCCTTCACTTGCAACGGTGAAATTTGTAACTTTGTCATACAAAAGAACAACTCCAAAATTTTTGTGAACGGAAGTACATAAACGACACAATCAACTGTATACAGGGTTTAAAAGCTAGAATTGCAAGCTGGGCTTGGACCCTTGGACCATCCAATGTAGCCCAGTGGTCCCTGAATTGAGATGGTGTTTTCCTGTCTATAGAAATCAATATCTGATGTATCATTTCATCCAAAAGTGGGCCCGAAGATTCATTCAGGACCATCAACCTTTGCCCCATTGTTCAATCCTGCGCAAACCATCTTCCCGATTGACAAACAAGAAAACAAACCTTATAATTAGGAGCCTAGGTCCTAGGAGGAGGACTATCTTCTTTCCCGCCAATCTCATTTTCCTTGGTCTTTTTCACCAATTTATGCTTATATTCTATACCTTGACATGAGAAATGAAACCCCCATCTCTGCCTTTCCAAGAAAACCATTTTTCTTATTTGAAGTTTACATTAAAATATCTTATTGACTGAAGCATTGCACTATTCCCTATCTGATGCAAAACAACATAACATTAACACAAACAAGGGGTATTATTTTAACTTTTGAAGCCATGCTTTGTCCTTTGTGTCCCTTCTGCAACAGCTGACCCCGCTCACATTTAATAATTAAATGAATAATAAAAAAAACCCATGAAACAAAATGGATTATCTTTGTCAAAAATCCTCTCAAAACTCTCACATTCAATAATCATTTAAATTTATGATATTTTATTACAATTAATTAAATTATGAATCTTTTATTTAAACTAATTAAATTTTTAAATATTTATTTTTACTCAAATAAACCCTCAATTAAAGAAAAATACCAAACACCCAAATAATTAATTATTTTTTCTCTAACAAAGGCTCGATTGATAAAAATAAACATTTAAGAGTTTAATTGATTGAAAAAAACAATAAGCACTTAAATAATTATTGAATTTTAATTCATGAATTTTTTACCCTTTGGCCATTATCTTACTTCTCTCATCTCCAAAATTTTTTCTTTTGTTCTCTTTTGCAATTTTTGGTCAAAGGAAAGCCATTCATGACTTTTTTTTTTTTACGTTTAGGACATTAACTAGTGAAAAATCTAGCTGAATCTTATTCACATGGTTGAATCTGGGAAATCTTCACCCTATCACTTTCACTGCAAAAACGATTCAATTTCCGATGCTTGATTTCTCTCTTTTCAGGCATTGCAGTGGCAGCCATGGTGATAGTGTTACTCTCACTTTCGGATTTGGTGCAGTGGCAGTACAAAACACGTATTAGACTACTTGTACTTGAGCTTGACACCGTATCAACAATTGCTTTGCTGATTTCATTAATCACCATCTCTTGCATTACGTTAAAGCATTTCAACAGGTTCTCCTGTCAAATTATTGGATTGGTTCATTAACGTAAAGTAAAAAAGAAATTAACAAAATATATACTGTAGAACTAAATATTATTAGTACTAGTTGCTTACTTTATTCACATATTCGCAAGACAAAATTGAGGTTTCGAAAGATGGAAACTGCAATGGGAATAGCTCATGAGATGCCAGAAGAAGAGCTGATGCTGCAATTATTGATGGTTTGAACTCTAATAGATTGATTTCTGTAACAAAAAACAGAGTTTTCTCATAAGGGTTGAAGCTGTTTTCTGACAAGACATAACAGGAATTTATTTTATTTTCTGTCTAATTACCATTACGAGCTTGGAGGATTATATTTGTCGCTCTCTCTTTTAGTGCTTGTGTCAAAGGTGGATCTTTTAGTTCCAACAAAGATATGAAGAAACGGATAAACGAGAAGGGTGTTATTGATCTCATTCGCCAATTCAGGGCATCAAGAATCAGAAGCTCCATTCGTTGGATAGCTGGGGCATCAAAGATGAACCCTTCTTCTCTCTGTTTCATTTGTATTAGTCTTGCATGGGGTTAAACAAATTAAGGAGATGAAAGTAGAACATTATGAATCAAAAAGAAATGTTTTTACCTGGAAATTAGAGGAAGAGAAATGTATTTCCTTCATCTTTGCAGCCAAAGAAATGCAAGCTATCACAAGAAGCCTCAGAACCCATGGATTACCTTGCTGCAAAAGTCAAGATGAATTGGATTGTTAGCTAATGTTGTTTCAATGCATTAACCAATCCTTTGTTTGGTGACCAAGAAAACAAATATAAACCAATGAACACTCTGCATCTTATATCAAGTTAATTTTTCTATCCTAAACCAAGAGAGAATATTTAGCTTGACTACATACTGGGATTTCTTGTCTGGAGATGAACCGATCCATGTAGTTAACAGCCAGGTATGGCGTGAAGGGATCAAGGTTACAAGAATGCTGTGCCTGACCAACTAAAACAAGTTTACAACAAAATACAAGAAAATAAAAGGCAAGCATACAAGTAAATAACATAAAAGATGAAAGAAAAAGAGGAGTACTAAGCTAATATAGATATAGGATACCTGCAAAATTAGAGAAATAGCTTCCTGTCGCAAAGAAACATAGAAGTCACGGGTTTTTAAACATTGAAAGCAGTTCTGGGAAGGCATGTGATCAGATTCTGAAGAAAAGAGAGCTGAAATTGTATCAGATTGGTTTTCTTTCAAGCTTGTGAATGGGTCCTCAAGATCAAAGTGCTCCATATCAATCCTCTCTTTGTTTGGTTTTTCTGTATTTTTCTTCTTCCTATAAAATTTTACCTTGTTTTTTTCGCTATATGTTGCAATTGCATGTAATTTGAGAGAAGGGTCAAGAGAAGAATGAGAAAGAAATAAATGTGAGAATGAAAGAGTGAGCAATTATGATGGAAAACATAAGGGTCACTTTCTGTGCTGAAAATGAAGCCGTGGCGTCTTCAACTTCACTTCTGAATCCTCTCAGTCTCAGCAGCTCTTCTATTTATAGGAGTAGATGAATGGCTGGCATACCAGCCCTTTTTTTTATCCAATTACTCAACTTTTCCACTCCTCTCTGCTTCAGGAATTTCACCTTTGTTTTTCTTTTTTTCCCTTTTGATTTATAGGTCAAGTTAATGAGCAGAAAAACAAATTTTTATCTATACAAATTGAAATCTTATCAGATGAAAGAAGAGTGACAAAATAGCTAAAAATTGACAATATTAAAGCAGTCACAAAAATTAATCCAATTGATATGGATAGAAATTATTTTTTTTACCAATTAAGATTCGATTTTTATGAACAATGTTTCAGAAATAAAACGTGTTTTTTTAATATCATCAAAACTTAAGAATATTCTTTATGGTATTATAAAAAAGAAATTATAACAAACTATACTTTTCCTATATAACTTGAAACAGGTATTACTCTTTAAATTAGTCACATTTTCCCGAAGGTTTTAAAACATTTTTCTATGTCCTTAGACTCAAAGTTTCCTTTCTCTAAGTCATTATTTTATGTGGATTGACTCGAGCAGTTTTGTTTTTTTTTTTAAATTGACTTGCATTTTTCTTTGACAACCCCCACATTCTCCCTCTTCCCTACCCAATTTAGAATCCACTTGAGTATTAAAGGGTGCCATTTCCTCTTACATAGAACAAAGATTCCTTCGTGACTGAAAACTGTGCACAAAGGTTACATAGGTGGTGGTTAGGAATTAAATAACAGAAGACTGAACAAATATCAGCTGTTTCTATCTATATACAAGTGTTTAAAATATTTTCAAATGTTTTGTTTGAGTTTGTCAAAGGATGGTTACCTCGATTGATACGGCATTCCATTGGGAAAAAGGAAGTTAAACCAGGCAGCAGGCAAGCAAGAAATTTTCCCGTACATGTGACTCACGTGTTTGTGGTAAATGTCAACTTTGGGTCTGAATCTGATAGATATAGGAAGATGCCACTACTACCACTTTTTAATGCCAAGAATTAAGTTTGACAAGAAGCTATATTGATCGTTCCCCTTATCAGGAATTCAGCATAATGTTGAGAATCCTGTGAAACACAAGCGATAGAACCCCACCACTGCAACCAGTCTCAGGTTCTTGGAAATTTCCCATTCCAAAAAGTTCTACAATTGTGCGGTATACATCATCATCATCATCAATTCAAGAACAAAAATGATGGAATTAAACAAAACATGGATGGCTAACTTAGCAGATAAGTGGGGGCATATTGTTGGCAAAAGATGCAACTAAAGCACTACATATGTGATGCCAATCACATTTCGAAAACACATCCCAAATATGGACACTTAATTCCGGTCCCTTGGTATTAAATTTATAGATGCCAAAGGCCAATTCCTTTGAAGAAAGAAACAAATAAGATATAGATAGCTGCTACTGCATGCATCACAGAAGCCACATTGTTTCCCCGGAGAGAGTTTTGAAATATTGGAGAAACATTCTTGAATTTTTCATTACATACAAATAGTGTTCATTCTTTTACAAACATTTGCTTTTATTTTTCGCTCACTTTATATATATATATCTTCTTGGCATAAATTAATGTTTCATGGCCAAGCTAAGCTGTCATTGATTGTTTCCAACATGAGAGCCGTTAAAACTTGGCAACTTATAAATAAAACCATTATTATTAGTTGTTGTAATGAAGTCCTTTGAATATTATTCCTCTTTACAAACTGAGATGTTCAAGTGTCCATGGAATAAGACATACATGCACAGACATAATTAAGACATCGTCAGGTGAACATGTCTGTTGTTATCCTCCCTAGAACTTTAAACTGCATACATAATTACTCAAAACCATCCATAAGATTATATGTGGTTGAGATTTTGATCTATATGCGATGGCTTGAAACCCACGTTAATTGCATATATCCTTGCAATGTAATAGCACTTAAACATGGAGAGCATTCTCCTAATCTTCTCAATCTTTTTTACTGAGAACTACACGTAAATATGATTATTAATTATTTAATTTACGAGTTAAGATTTAGATATTAGATTTAGAAAATAAAAATAAATGATTAAATTCGAAACAAAAAATCTTTTTCTAGATAAATCAATTTATTTATTCATCTAAATAAGTAGGCTAGCCTACTACGGAAGAGCAAACCATAAAATAACAATTAATTAATGTTGAAACAGAATTATCCGTGTTTAGTCTACTACTACAGTGCGTACCCAGCCCGATGCCATATTTAGTTAAACCGTTGTTGGGCTTTTATGTGCATGCATGCATGGTGCTCAATTCATTAGTAATCGTCCAATATAAATCTGAGATAAGGAGCCCATGAGCTGGGCTCGGAAGACCAATCGACCCAAGCTCAATCCCAAGTTCCTACATGCAATGCAAGGTCAACTTTTGTTAAGGACTCGAGTATTTCTGGAAAGTATATTATACATCACTTCCCCTAAAAACAATGGAAAGGGAAATATATTAAGATTCAAATCTCCCTGTAGACACCCATTTTTTTCACTCCCACTGCTACTTTTTAAGAAGGAAATGTTAGAAAAATGATATTGGCCTTCGGTAATGTTTTTAGATGTCAAATTAAGACTGATACAAAACCCAGTTCGAATGCTGCTTAAGAACTGGCACAAAGAACCTATTCAAGTGGCATGGGAAAAACTTGAAATTGGATGGACTAAATTAAACTTTGATGGATCTTGCAAAGGTAGACGAGAAAAAGCGAGTATTGGAGTGGTCTTCGAGAACCACGAGTCTGAATTCTTACTTGGTTATGCTGAATCCATAGGAAGAATCACTAGCAGTACTATTGCAGAACTAGATGCATTGGGAAGAGGCCTTGAGTTGGTATTGGTAAATGGTTGGACTGATGGCTTGAAGGTGATGCCGAGACATTGGTCGATATCATTGTCCAGAGGAGGCAGGTTAAATGTGCAGAATCACAAAGACATGCTAGTCACATAAACTTGATCATACTGGAGCTTAACCATTATCAAACATGATCAACAGAAAATTATCAAAGTTCTACCATTTGACCTCCTAATCAAGTGGTCCCTACTTGCTACCTAGAGGTTGGAGTTTGTAATAACGAATTTCTGACTAATCCGACGCAGTTTTATATATTATATAAAAGAAAATTATGGTAAACCATGCAATGAATTCGATAATTGGATGTTGGGGTCAAATCCAGTACAAGATTTAAGATTCCAGTACAAGAAACCAGTACAGCCTGAAGTCGCTTAATGGAAGAAACTTGATTCAGATCCCCAGAAATTAAGGGGCGTACAAATCAAATTCAAGTTACATGTACTGCAACTAGTACATGTATTTTTTTTTTTATTATACTCGTCCAGATGTATTGGTTGGATAGTTTAATACTTAAATCTATTGCAGCTGAAGCAAACAATTGGAGATTCCCAGATGGAAGAAACATCATTGAGTGCAGCGTTGATGAATTCTATCAGTTTCAGAGATGAATTTGCCAGCGCTGCACTCAATCATGTTTTTTGCTTTCTCTGGAACAAAGGCAATCATTCAAGATTCAAAGAGAATACAAATGTTACAGGTTCTTTTTTTTTTTTTTTTTTTATCTCTCTTCATTCCATTTTTCAGCCTTTTCGCCAATATTTTGGAAATCAGTATCTTAGGAGCAATTCCTCGGTTCTCGATGAAAATTGAAAAAAAGTCAATTTCTTCTCCTATATGTTAGTTTTCCCTTCTCAGGGTATAGATTGGGATCTGAATGATCAACGTTTATTCAAATGTTGTATTGCAGCATTTCAATATCGTTATTTGAGATACCGATGATAATCCATCACATTTGTCTAATCGAATCAGGCAATCCCTCGTATCATGAAAGTCAACTATATTCGATAATTAACATCCTATCTCCAACCAGCAGGAACACCATTTCATTTTCTACTCTCCAAAGACTAGGCAGGTGAGCATAATTTCCAGGTTAACAAATCCTGCTATCTTCGCTTGCTGTTCCAGATCAAACAGATCCCAACTGCACAAGGAGTAGTCTGATGATGACTACTCCAATACCAATAACTGAATAGAAAGATAGACAAAATAAAAAAGAAATGTGAAATAATTTTTAAAAAGTGTATTTAAGCTTCCATATGCATCTGCTTGATTCTCTGGTATGCCTGCAGGTTATGAGTTTCTTGCTCGTCAGTCATTATTTTTTGATTCACTTTTTTTCTTTCTTTTTTTTTTTGGTGAGATGTGCTCTTTGCATTATGTTTTACTGCCTTCTGAAATCTTAAGTTAGGTGTAGCTTATAAACAATTTTACCTTTTATATGGTGGCAGGTTGAAATTGGTATTAAGCAGTTATTTTTGGGGTCATTGAGGGGGCTGACACAATCTAATATGTGTGATGGGAAGCTGAAACTGAAGGGCTGGCTTTCTTCTCATTTATTTCTAGAACAATTCCCAGATCATTATACTGAAATCATTTGGGCTTTATTACTTCCAGAATACATGGATCCTTGAAGTGGTCTTTTGAACATTGCTGCAAGGTTGCCACAAGAAATCATAAAGCCTGACCCAGGCCCTGTGTCTCTGTCTCATATTGCAGTGGTGAGGAACTTGTGCATGCCAATTCGGTGACAAAATTATGTTACAGTTTATGTGATGTGGTATGTCTATGTCTATCCTTCACTAGTATCTCGTTAAATTTATCCACCTTTTAAAACTTGGAAGGATGCTTATTTTACAAGTTATCTCCACTCGAATGTAAACAGCTCTTGTTCAATGATATTTCCTAGCGAACAGTTTAACGTATGTTGTGCCAATTCCGATAAAACAAAGAACTCAGTCAAGTGCGCCTATCATAGTGGCAAATAAGTTTCTGAGGCAGGCTTAATTAATCTTGCATATTGACATGCATCATAATCTCTTGCACATGTTTTGTGCTATGAACTTCGTTTACAATTTTTAAAATATGATTTTACCATTGCTTGGTGTGTCTAATTGATCATGCTCTTAACCTTTTCCACATAATTTTCTACCTTTACAAAATGTTTGTTCATATATTCTGACAAACCTTATCATCCCTTAGAAGGTAATGTTGTAAGGTGAGCTCGGCAAGAAATTATTTGAAACTTTTTAGCAATTGGCGTTATTATGGAGTTTACAGAGCATCAACTATCATATTCTTGAAGTTGTTCGAAAGTAAACTATGAAGCCTCAAGTAAAGCACAACCTTAAACTATATCTGTTGTTGTGAAAAGCCTTTGATACAAACATTTATCATCCTTACCATCATGGAGATGTAAGTAATCTTTGCCATTTATTTTGTCTTTCCTTTTTGCCTCTTCCCTCTTTCTATCCCAGGTTAATGTTTTGGCACATGCTACATATGCTCCTGTATCCATGAAGCAGCTTAATTAAATAAGAAAGTTAATGAAAAAAAAAAATCTCAAGACCAAAGGAAGCTTTCTAAGACTACTGTTGATCGCAAGATGACTAATAAAGTGAAGGAAAAATCTCCAACACACGGTGACAACATGGACGGAGTAGGAAAGAATGATATGATCAAGAAAGAAATGCATGCTCATGATAGAGTACCAAAAGTTTCCCAATTACTTTCTGCTGTGCATGAAGCACATGATTTAGGTTTCAAAGATAGAGATGTGTACCAGGATAAGGAAGATAGCTCTGACTCTGGTTCTTTTTCTGGTTTTAATTCAAATGCTCAAGCTGCACTACTTCCATGCCAAACCATTCACAGCTCAGAAGCATTAGCAAATCAGGAAGTCCTTGGGGAAAGAACAGAATTGGCCAAGTCTTGTGGTGCAGAATGGGATGTCTTCCGTAGGCGCGAAGTTCGGAAGCTTATGGAGTACCTTAGAAGGCATTCAAATGAGTTCGTTCACACATGTTGCTTACGAAAGAATGTAAGACCAGTCCCAAGACTTGACAATGTTCTAGCAGCATGGACATAATACTGATTTTTTTTTTTTTTGAGCTCCTGCTACAATTGGTTCATCCAATCCTTGATCAGCATTTCTTTCTTGACATAAGTCACAAAATAAGGCTGAGGATGAGTATGGTGAGTGTACTAAGTTTTGTTTATCTCTTGTTACAGTTGAGAATAAACCTACTGAAATTTCTTTCCACCTGATATTGCTTCTAGAAATTGAACCCCGGACTTTTGAGCAGCATGTCGGAGAAGCTGTTATAATTCCAACTGGCTGTCCATAACAGATTAGGAACGTTAAGTTAACGTATACTACTAATATCTTTAGTCTTGAATGATTGTTATAGAATTTACTGTTATGAATGATGCTGTGTTGAAATTCTGAATAATTTTATAGTTGCTCCATATGTTGCTTCATTTATTTCAATTTTATGAACTACAAGCTACTTTTTGCCAAGAAATTTTACCAATTTGTATGTCTAAAGATTCTTTTCTTTCCCCTGACAACCTGTAGTCCTGCGTTAATGTGGTTTTGGACTTTGTTTCACAGGAAAATGTGATGAGTGCATCCAGTTGATCGATGAACTTCGTCTGCTTCCAGAAGATCACAAAGCCAAAGCAGAGAAGTTTGAGGTAGACTTCGTAAAAATATTACTCCAGTTAACAGTGTTCATTTTCTGTATTAATGTGAATATGATTCTGCTTTTTCTCTAAAATCAGGTTGAAAAAATGGCCCTGTATACGATTAATGCTGCAATAAAAGAAATTCGTGAGCTTACATGCGCAGAGTAAGTTACTTGTGGAATACTAAAGCCTCTATCTGTATCTTTATCTCGCTGTTAAAACGATATTCATCAAACTCCACTAAATTTACAGCTAATAATATAAATTCTCATTCTTGAATTTACGTCCAGTGCTGAGCTCAGTGAGTAGTTGAGGATTGAAGAACAATGACATGTAATATAAGGGATTCTCAGTTTGGGGCCATTGCTGCTGTTATCTTCTGCTCTATGGTTATTCCTTAGCGTGAATTGCATGCAGAAATTTTGATGCAATTGTCCATTCTCTCTCCCCCTATTGGCCATGGCAAGTCGAATTATTTGGAATTAGTCCACTTTGCTGCGACTTTGTAAATGTGTAATATTTTGATCAACCATGTACTTAGTACACTTAAGTAGGGATGGAAAATCATTCAATACAATTAAACAGCTATCAGCTAGCGTTTCTTTATTGCTGGTTCCTTCTGTGAGTTGAAATACATTGCAACAACGGAAACCCCATCCTATTTTGAGCAGCAAATTGGCGAGTATTACTGAAGTTGGCACGGCCATCCGGCAGTTGACTCTCTCCCCAGTCCCCCTCCCCCCACCCATTATTGCTTCTTCCTGGTTAAAGAGTGCTAAAATATAGCGGTGAATTCCTGTAGGAGGCCAGGGTCCCGTGTATGAAAGATACTAACTCTCGCCCTGTCTTAGATGGAAATTCAGATATAATTTAGAATCGAAGTTATGTTTAGATTTGACTCTAATTGTGAATAAGATGATAATTGAGATGGAGATTTTTAAATTAATTTGAATCTCTATGTTCTCCTGATCAGTCCTCGTATAATGATTAGGAACAGTGTTTTCAGCTAAAAAGAAATAGAGTGGGAAAGCTATAGGTTTGGTAGCATCATGTCCCTGAGGAATATATATATGCAACAATCCTGAAACAGAAACATTAATAGTACCAAATTTTATGTATTAATTACTTGAATATTAATTCCATTCTTATTACACGTGTAGCAGTAGAGAGAATTACACCAAATTGAGGCAAAGAGTTCACGGACAAACTAGATAAGCACGATCAATAACTTGTTTTTCTTTTTAAAATTATTATTAATTTCATATATTCTAATTAAAGAAACATCCCAAAAGTGAATTTTTAGTCAATAATCCCATCTTTTAAAATGTCCACAATTGAAAATGTCAACTAAAAAGCAAGAAATGGAAGAAAAAAAGAAGAAGGTGAAACCCAAAAGCAAATTAAGACAGGAAACCACTTTAGAGGGTGTTCTTATTCAAAATGTTTCAAAGAACAAAATTTCTGTGGGCGGTCGAGAAATTTTTTGATGGATTATTATAGTCAAAGAAGAACTGTACCTTTATACCTCAAAAATTTCTACGCTAATTGACATGTCAAGCCTTAAAAATCTGATATAATTTTTGTACGTTGGATGGAACATGAAAAAGAGAGAAGAGAACTGAGGTGCCTAACTATTATTGGTTTGAACCCATAAAACAAAGCCAATTTTTCACGTATAAATGACGTAAAGCTTATATGAGATTTATGTGGGGGGAGGTTTACCTAGAGGGCCAGTAAAAGAGGGTAAGAAGCTTCGGATCGCACGAGTAGAAGATAGGGTTCCATGTTCTTTTTTTGGCAGCAATCTGTAATAATCAATAACTAGAAAGTCAAACATAAAGCTCATCATCAGGTTGAAACTTGAAAGGACATGCAAACATATGACCAAAAGTAGCATGCGCAAGACCCTGTTAGCCAAGAGATGTATGATCAAGAGCAAGAGATTTCGCTCTTAGCCAAGAGATATTCATGGAGAATACATTCCAGACTCTTGATGGTGCGCCCCGTACGTACAACAATCCAGACCCTCTTCCATGGACATTACATTCTTACTCATAAAACTTCTTCACTACTACAAACTTGTAACAGTATTTTGTCCCAAAACTACGGACAAGTTAAATTTATTTTTTTTTCCAATGATTTACATAATCATGGATTAACCTGAAATTAATATTATTGAGTAAGCATGATTATTGCATGATGCACCCACAAGAAATAATCTGGAGAAGAAGCCTGTCACTGTGGTTTACCCGGTCAGCCGGTAAGTCTCAAAAGCACAAGCCCCTTGCTTTTGGGACCCACCCCTGCAAGATTAGTCCACGTGTCCCCAAAATGTTGACGTTATTACGTATGGGGTTCTTGGTTTGACACCGAAGCTTACTGATGGCGTAAGAGAGATGATAGAGACAAAACAACAGCACAAGAGCCACGCCATATTTTCTACAAAAGCAAGCTTTTCCTTTGCATGGTGGTCCCCCCCCCCCCACCCCACGGCTTTGGCCGCCGGTTGTAGGTCGGCACGTCCTCTTTTTTGGTTAATTGCTTTAGGTCAAACCCGGCAATCCCCCATGCGAAAATACATACTTTATCACTGCCTGAAAGACAGTTGCCCTTTCTGGTGCAGAGACACGTGTCGAATCACTAACGCCGATGAATTATGGCCGGAAAGCCAGCTGGAATTTGACTTCCTGTCAGGATCCTTGAAGCCAAGATCTTATGATTTTCTTTTATGATCATAATAATACTTTGAGTAAGTATTTTGATAAGTACATATATTTTTATGCTTTAAAAGCTTTCTTCTTATAGGCAAATTAGATTGTCCATATTAGGGAAGGGGTAAAAAGATGTTGCTTTCATTTGATATGATTTGAATAAATATATGATAAGATGACTGATCTCAATAAGATATGATAAGAAACAAATAGAAAGTCAGTAAATAATTAAGCCACAAAAAATAATTATTGTGACATATCAATGGAAATTTCCCATTATATAAAAAGATTTTTTTAAAATGAAAAAAAGAGAGAGGTAGGATCTTGATTCCTAATACAGTAATTTAGTAGAAAATTTTACACTTATCAACATCCTCCACAATGGACATAAAGGGAGGCTCATTTTTGTAAGTTTCTGATTTTGGAACTACATGAATTCATTAGCCTCCAAAATGTCTGGGATTTCAAGCTTCAAAATGTTGCTGCAATAGCTCTCTCTTTCGTCTTCAGTGCTGCAGCTGTTGATGTATGTTGAACTAGAGTTCAATGGAGTAGGACTTGATGAACGCGTTGATATAACTGACGCGAAGCTGAAGCTCTGGTTGCTGTTGTTTGAATGGAAAATTGAGGTTTCTGCTGAAGGGGCCAGGGTTTGATCAGAGCCGTAATAGTTATAGTTTGGCATTAGCGGCACGTAATCTTCAGTCAAGTTTGAAGGTATCGCATTGCCTTGCCAGTCACTTAAGTCGGTGAGATTTGATGGACATTGGTCCACATTGAGGTTCATGACTTGTGCTTCGTTAGAAAATGGAATACTACAAGGAGTATTCAACGAGTTGCAACTTGGGATTTCTTGGACTTGCGTTGGGAGATGGTTAGATTGCACTAATGGTTGATATCTGTTTTGGCCTTGGGAACTGCAAAGTCGGTTTTCTTCAACATTTTGAAGGAGGAAATTCTGGTTTTGATTTTGGTTTTGGTTTTCACGTTGAGGTGACATGAGAGAAGTGGCTAGCCTTAGAAGCTCAGGGTTAAAGAAGGATTGAACTCCGAGTAGCCTTGACATATTCATTTGAGATTGATTGTAGAGATCAGATGAGCTTAGGATTGAGGAGAGATCAAGAAGATCCAGTCGAGGACTATGGGTCACCGGATCAATTCCCATTCGAAGAAGCTTCTTTCTAATGTGAGTGTTCCAATAGTTTTTGATTTCGTTGTCTGTTCTTCCTGGCAACCGCGCAGCAATGGCTGACCACCTATAATATTCAAAACATTAGAAAAACTATGTTGTGAAACAAAGAAAAATAGAACTAAAAAGAGCAGAAGAAGTTAGAAAAGAGCTTACTTGTTGCCCAATATACTGTGTAGCTGAATTATTGTCTCTTCCTCTTCAAAAGAAAATCCTCCTCTCTTGATATCAGGCCTCAAGTAGTTGGTCCATCGAAGACGGCAACTCTTTCCACATCTTTGCAGCCCTATCATAAACAATTAAAAAGGCAAAAACCCAGTAGCATAAAGTCCATAAAAAGTACAGTAATTCATCCATGCAGACCAGAAAGTAGGCACGTTAAGAAATACTAATAAAAGAAGACTTTTGCAGCTAAGAAAATATAGTAGGTAATGCTTACCAGCATACTTTGGCAGTGTCCTCCAATTTCCACAACCATGTTTTTGAATATAATCAATCAACTTCTGATCCTCTTCCGGCGTCCATGGCCCTTTTTTCAGCCCATTTTTATCACAGCAAGGTGCTCTTCCCATACTTTGTCTTTGTTTATGGTAATGGTTAGGTTTTGGTTAGATTCTCTTCGCGAGAGAGAGGTGTTAAGAGAATTGAAGAGAAAATAGGGAAAGGATGCAGCAAAGAGATGCAGGGTCCGTATGGAGACGTTCTTGAATAAATAGCGAGAAGGGAAGGGTAAGAAACCAAAGCCAAGTCAATAGGATTCGGTACCGTCCTCTATTCATCACCATGGCGACGTGTCCTCCTTTCGAGAAAAAATGTGAAGCCACCCCTAACAATATCTCTTTCTTTCAGGTTTTGCATTTTCCCTTAATAATTTTTTTTATTTGGATTTTTCGATAATTATTTTAAATTTAAAATTAATTCAAAATCAAATTAAATCAAATTTCATAAAAAAATAAACTCTTTTAAATTTAGTTTTTTATTTATAAGATTTGAAATCAAAATCTTACTAATAAAAACTAAATTCTTTGCCGTTCGAACTTGGTTTTTCCTTTAATAATTGAATCTTAATTAGTCCATCCAAAATACCCTTGTTATTTTGATTTTTATCTATCATTTTTCCTGCTGGCGGAGAGTGTCATTACCTCCTTTCTGGATTCATACTAACCTGTCACCAACATGAAACAGCCACGTTTTCTTTTCATCTGCATGACTGCATTTTTGAAAAGATTGACCTTGGCTTAAGCTAAAGCTAGATCTTCTGAGTTGTGACTCCAAGACTCTGAAGACACAAGACTGTTTTACCCATGAAAGCAGCATTATTGGACCAATTCCTGTTCCCACCACATGAGGGTAATGCAATCATTTCCCCTTTTTCATACGGCCATATCATAGGAGGATTCAAGGTAATCGGTTATATAAATGCGAGGGAAGCATGGCAAATAATAGAATTCACTATTGACACATATTATTATGCAGAGAGAGGACTGACAAAGGGTTCTCCTCCAATAAGTTTCAAGATAAGCTTTAATTTTTTCAATATTCAATTTTCCTTGAATATATATGCTATATGTTATCTATATGATTCAATTTTTTCCCTTTCTTTTCCATTGATTGGATTAAACATACATCTTCAAACTTGTTTAATTAAGATCAACACAAGCGCTTCATGGGATTTTAATGGAGTAGGAGCAGTATTTCGAGCGTGGTCAACATATGTAAAAAGAAAGTTAGCACAAGGAAGAAAAAAAGAAAGATTGATTTTTGTGTGAATATCAAAGACAGATCGCAGCCTCACATCACGACTCACTTCCAGTATTTTTCATGTGAGCATGTATAGATAGACAAATAGCTAGTTTCGTCAACATCCAATTACTCGAATCGAGAAAATGCTTCTTCTTAACCTTTTCATCAGTACTAGGGCGGAGAGGGACAGATAGGGATGATCAAATTTGAGTACAGTTGTCAAATTACAAGAAATTGGAAATAACCCTTAAACACGTTAGCTTTGATCTTATGGTCCAAAAAGGTTTTACAAAGAGAAAATTACCAATTCATCGTTTGGGAATAACTTGTAAACTTAAATCAGTCCTTCTTTGTCTCCTGTTGTTTCTCAGCCACATTTGATATATGATGATTTGCTGTTCCAGCAAAACATCAAGAGCTCAATGTCGTTGACTTGTGCAACTTCGACTTCCGAGCAATTATTATTGAAGTGGGGTTGCTTCTAAAATAGACAATGAGTGGCTTTGTGATGGCGATATGATCATCTGTTAAAAACTTTGAATAATTTGTTCTTATTAATTTCCTAGCTAGCTAGTAGTTCCCAGCCCCTCTACTCCACCTTCCTGGTCCAGCTATCCAAAACCTGGCCACACAATCACAACCACTCCGTCCACATACCAACCATATTTCCAGATTATCTTTGAATTAGTGGTTATAGTTCAGAAGGTCTTGCAACATCAAAAACATGTGTATCAGCTTGGAGGCAACAAGTAAACCAATCATAACTTAATTAATTACCATGATCAAAGCGGATGCCATTGGACTTTTTTTATTATTATTATTTTGTGAATAGAATAAAATTCAATTCTCCTTTAACAAATATACAAAAAGAAATATAAGGGTTTCAAACTACATTGGGTTTTTTCTTTAAAAATCAGTTTTTGGACACATTCAAGCTAGAATATGGATAACATGAATGCTTTCTCTCCAACTATGTTAGAGACACATTAATCATGAAATGTTGCTTTTTGCCTATTTTCTCCCCTCCACAACCTTTTAGATGGGCCATAAATTCTTTTTGAATTCACAGTTGTAAAGCTATGAATAAAGAAAAACTAGAGAACGTGATTGTTATTAACATAATAAAGGAAACAAGTAAGCTTCTCTTCAATTTTCAAAGCTACTTTGAAATCTAAACTCAAATTATACTTTGCGGCTTGCTGTCATTGACGCACATTATTGTCAAAGTAACAAATTCAAATTAATTTAAAATTTAATTTAATTAATTCATACGATTAATCTTAAAGGATGGGCAAGTTGTGAATATTGAGTGCCACACGTGTGGGCTGGGCGGACAATTAGATAAACGTGGGTTTGAAATGGTCGTGCTGAAATTGGACTGGATTTTCTCCCATTTGGGCTTCTAACAATTAGATAAGTCTTTCTTTCTTATTATTATCACCATAAAATATCTTACCCAGAATCTTAAACTTTCCGAAAGCAGACAAAACCCGCGGGAGAACTTCCAAAATCAAACGTGGGCATTGGGTTGTCCTTATCCTCTTATTTGGAATCGTCTTGTTTTGTGCCAGTGAAATTTAGACACGTCATCATCCCCCCCACCTCAACCCGAGGGTTGCGGTTTTCTTTGCTTTTTCCTCTGATAAAAGCGTCCATTTAAGTCACCATACCGGTTGTTTACGTAAAACAGCGTCGGATTCAAGTTCTTCTCTCTCTCTCTCTCTGTCTATATATATACACTTAACCAACTTTCTCCAAATACTTTAAACTTCTTGAAAACTATCTCTCCTTGTAATTTTTCATGGAAAAAGTTTTTCGAGAGTGTTTGATTACTTATGAGCTTGAGGTACGCGAGCAAGGTGTTTTAACAGGCGGTGATGAGGGTGATGCAGGGGATGAAAGACCAGGCATCAAAGCAAGCAAGGCGTTTCTCCAATACAGTCAATTCCGGGGCTTTCAAGACTGCCAAGAACGAGAGGCTCAAGCAGGCAGAGGAGTCTCTTTGGATTGTTATGTGCTTGAGTTAGTCCTACCTGAGCATCAATTCCTCATGTTTCCAGGGTGCTTCTAAAGAAGATCAAACTAAAATTAAAGACGAATTGTATACGTTCGAGCAAGACAGGACCTATGGTTTTAGGCCAGCCCAATTTCAGGCCTATTGCTAATTTCCCATGGACCCAGAACCCATGTATCTAAAGTATTGGACAAAGCCATGCTCCATCTCCATCATATCAACGTAAGGCTTGATTTGATAAACTTCTTTGCGTCTCCATCTTCCATAATATTGAGGCTCCAAATACAGGATAATTCTTCTTGTGATCTTCTTTTGTTTGAAACTATAAACAGAAAGTATAATTTTACACTTACTTTCTACAACCCTTTATCAAACTCCATTGCTATCCAATTCTAGAAAGCTTCAAAAACTAGATAACACACAAACCAGTTTTTCACAAGGCAACAAGTTGTTTACTAGAAGAAAACCAGTCATAAGAGTCTGTAGAAGCCAAGGTGAAGGAGAGAAGAATACAGAAAGGAGAAGTTTCCTGCGTCTAGAAATTAAGCACGATCATGAAAGGCTTCTTTTATGACATCTTAGCATGATGAGACTATATATAGTGATGTCTTGTACATGTTTTGAACGCTTAGCTTAACCAATTATGATTTGTTTTCCAGATATCGTCTTTAAATCTACTAAGAGTGATGTCAGAGCAAGAAGATATTCAATTGAGGAGCTGAATGCTGGTAGGGTACGTGACTGTTTTGTGAAGGATAAATTGAAAAGCAAACAAAATATATCTTTTATTTTTTAGGTATTGAAGCATTTTAAAGCAGTTGGAGGGGTGAGGAGCCTTGGATTAAGAGTATAATCGGGTTAAATCGATATAAAAAAAAAATTTAAATTCGAACTCAATTTGAAATTTATTATTTAAAAGTTTAAACGTGATTAAATTTTAATTTTTAAATTAGAATTTGAGTTAAGATAAAAATTAAATTATTTAAACTCGTTTGATTTCATTCATTTAATAAAAATGAGTTTAATTCTCATATTCAATTTGAAACTTAATTACATGTTTAAATTGAGTTTAAGCTCAAATTAATATATAAAAATAAAATAATAATCTTTTAATTAAAATAATAAAAATATTAAATTTATGAGCTATTCAAATAAAAAATTAAAATATTTAAACTAAACTCATTCAATAAATCAAACTATTTAAATTCGAATTCGACTCAAACTAAATTTAAATTTTATTTGAGTTAAATTTAAATAATTTATAAATATTAATATATTATTTATACTCAATAAATTATGCTACTCAAATTTGAATTTAACTCAAGTTAAATTTGAATTTTATTTTAATTAAATTTAAATAATTTATGAGTATTAGGTAAATTTTCTTTTTTTTTTTTTAAATTTTTATTTGCTATAGATTAGTTGCTTAAGAGGACCAATCCCTGCCTAGAATTGGTTGGGCCACGACAGACTCTCTAAAGTCAACGTTGTTTTCAACGCCAAATTGAATTTCCGCGTCATTCCCACTAATTATTTCCATTATTACATCCTTGATGACAACTCACAAAAACACGAAAATAAATAAATATCAATCCAAATAGACAAAAATCAATTTCTGTTTACATTTTTGAAAAATTTTTTAAGGAAATGAGAATTCAAATTTGTTTTTTCATAAAAATAATTATATTTGAATTAAATATTTTTAAAATTAAAATTATAATAAAAGTTATTATTTATTTCCGATTTTTCTCTTCCCTGCTGAGTAATAAACAAAACACAAAAACGCGTGACTGTTAAATATTGATTTTAATAAATTGATATTAAAATTACTAGTTGTTCGACACGTTTGGGAAGAGGGAAAGGTAAGGAAAATCCAAAAAATGGTGTCACATCATCTTGAAAAAAAAAAAAAAAAAAGGAAAAAAACCCGAACTTTTAATTTTAAGGTAGGGACCAGGAACACCAAAATTTCTTGACCATTTCTCTCAAATCATTCAAAGTGACACAAGTTTGATCACTAAAATTTGTCATTAATTGAACTAATCCCACCCAAATTCCATTAATTAAGACGTTAATCTAATCCAACAGCGTCAATAGAAAATCCCACCTGCCCCTGTTTTTCCTCGTCAACTCAACTCCAGTAAAAAAGCAGTAAAAAAGGATAGAGGAGAAAAAAATTCAAAAAAAAAAAATTTAATTTGAAATTGTGATATTTAATTTAGTTAAGATTGATTTTTTTATTTAAGTTGAATACATTTAAATATTAAATTTAAATTAAATTTTGAATTGAAATGTAAAAAATAAAAAAATTAAATTGAATTAAAAATATATTTTTTTATTAATATATTTTAAATTTTATAAAATAAAATAATTATTATATATATAAATTTATTTAAAAATATTAAAGATTTTATTAAAATAATATATAAAAATAAAAAATTATATTTTAAAAATCGATAAATTTAAATTTAAATTAATTTTAAAAATAAAATCGATTGAAATTTTGAATTAAATTTAAAAAATTTATAATAGTATTCATTATATAATCCGAATTTTTATCACGTTTAAAAGGATAAAATAACAGTGACGGAAAACGGCGCCGTTTAAAAAGCCCCCGCTAATGAGGCAAGGAGAGGGTAAAAAAAAAGTTTGGGAGGGTGAAAAAACGGACTTCAAATTCTCACAAAGTCAAATACGGTAGAATCCGTGCTTTGAAGTCCGATTCTCTTTTTCTTTTTCCTTTCACGAGTTTCTCGATTCAAATACCAGAGAAGTGCTGTTCTTTTTTGTCCTTTAAAGTTGGCAACGCGTAAAACCTTGCCGTACATGTGCTTGTAAGGGAGATGGCAATAGAAATTGAGCAAAAGTCACCGTCCGATGGCAAAGTTTGGGGATTTTTTAAGCTGCCGTTTCGGCAAACCGGAAACAATACCAGTACCACGTCGTCATCTACCTCGGCGTTGAATCTACAAGGTCAAAGTCAACCTCATGTCGAAGGATCGAACCATCACGGCTCTGCCAATTCTGTTTCCTCCGTTGCGAAGTCGCTCTTGCCTACTCGGCGTCGGCTCAAGCTTGATCCAGCTAATAAGCTCTATTTTCAATGTAAGTACTTCATTATTTGAATAAATAAAACGAAACTAATGTCTCAGATTATAGATTTTCCGCTTGTTTGATTAAACTAAAGCAAAAATTTTGATGCTTATTTCTGGAAATCGACAGTAAAGTCAACAAACTTTAAAGAGTAGAGCTCGCTGAGAATTAAGATTCGTCATATGTATCGTGTAAAAATACTGAAATTAGTGTATTCCTCCCGAATTTTACACGAAAATTACCGATTTATTAGTATCGACAAGAAAATATAAAATATATATTTTTTGATTTTGTTAAACTTATATGTAGTTATTGCAAAAATTTTAGGTCTCACCACCGTGTCCTACTTACATAACGTGTGTTGTGTATCATGTTTTAAATTACCAGCTTTAATCAAGATTGCTGGGTAAATTTTGTAGTTATAGTTTTTCTTCTTTGCTACTAATTATTGAAAAAAAAAAAAAAAAGCTTTTGTTTTTTTCACTTTGAAATGAAAATGACTATATATTAGGATGTAGAACGACTTGTTGACTTAACTCAGAAAGTCTTTTGTTTGATTTATTTCGAAAGAACTTGCATCCAAATTTGAAGTGTTGAGAATTAAAGGCCATTATTTGAGGTAACTAATTTCAAATTAGAATTTGCTTTTTCTTGATTGCATATCTTTGTTTTGTATATTCCAAGATGAACCTGGGAAACAGGTGAGGAGTGCAGTGAGGATTAAAAACACGAGCAAGTCATATGTAGCGTTCAAGGTACCCCTTAAACCTTTGGAACATTTTGTTTTCTGTTTGTTGTTTTTGTCTTTCTTGTTGTTCATATTTTGTTATGTTATAATTAATAAGTTAGAGATAGAAGTGGAAGTGAGTCTGTTATAGTTAAATGTAGTATATTATAAACATTGCTTTGATGAGTCTTGTAATGAGTCCTTTTGTTTCTGTTGGTTTAGTTTCAAACAACAGCACCAAAGAGTTGTTTCATGCGCCCTCCTGGTGCTATTCTTGCTCCGGGCGAGAGCATCATAGCAACGGGTAATTGCTTCTCTACACTTTTATGCATACCCTTTACTTGTGGTTCATATTATGCATTGGCACTATTATATATTTTCACTAGTCATCGTATCTTCTGAAAGATTCTTATGAATTTCTCTTCTTGTTTTGGATGGATTTTCTAGTCTTCAAGTTTGTGGAGCTTCCTGAGAACAATGAAAAACCAATGGAACAAAAGAGCAAGGTTAAGTTTAAAATCATGAGTCTCAAGGTGAAAGGTCTGATGGACTATGTTCCTGAACTGGTGCGTGCATAGAACTTCTATAAAAATTTTTTTTATAATTCACATGATTTTCATTTTCTATCTTGGTGACGAAGAATAAGACTTTTTAATTTGACCACATTTAGATGATGATGAGCTTATATAGTTTATGTAGTTAATATTTAAAGTTCTCTGCTAACAAGTAGCTTTACGGGATGACATTACATTTAAGCAGTGCTATAGTTTGATTGGATTTCTTGTATTTCCAAGGCTTCTTAATCTGAAGCATAAAATGTCTCTAAGGAACAAGCTTGTATATCCGATATTCTTCTTTTTCTGGATTTGTACCTGCTGTCTGCAACATAAAGAAACTACTGTGCTTCGGGGCCAGATTTTTTGCATTTTGGTCATCAAGATGTCTTGGTGTTGCTGTAAATAGACTTTCAAAGGTGACATATGCCCAATTGTCATGGTTGATTGGATGAGAATCTCTTGTTCAATGCTGATTTTGGGCCCATTTTAATAGAGGCATGAATGATTTTTCAATTATTTTGTGGGTTCTGGCTGCCTTAGTTTGATGCACAATTTAGAATATTCTTTTACCACCTATACAATTGATTGCTTCTCTACCTCTCTGAAATTTTTTCCCTTGGAGGTTGAATATTTGTAACCTTATTGTGTAATTAATCTTAGGTGCTTGTTTTTCGCAGTTTGATGAGCAGAAGGATCAAGTGGCAATAGAGAAAATATTTCGGGTTGTTTTTCTAGATCCTGCTCGTCCTTGTCCTGTAAGTACTGTTAGCATCTTTCTATCTTATCCTCAGCTATATGTGCTTTTATTCGCACTTGCTTCTGCTTTTAGACATTTGCATGTCAACACTTTCCACCTGCATGATGCTTGAAATGCATTATCAATGTTGTAGCAAACTAATAACCCATCACAAAATAAAAGTCTAAACAAAAAAGAATGCATAATTAGCATTAATATTTACGGGTTTCTGCCTCGTACCTTTATGAAGGCTTTGGAAAAATTGAAGCGCCAATTAGCTGATGCTGATGCTGCACTTGAGGCTCGCAAAAAGCCTCCAGAGGATACAGGTCCAAAGATTATTGGGGAAGGACTTGTCATAGATGAATGGGTAAGTTTCTTGTAATCATCTGATGAAAATTATGCTTACAGATGTTTTACTTCTATGATATGCATTACTTATGACTGTCAATTTCTATTGTGTAGAAGGAACGTAGGGAAAGATACCTTGCTCAACAGCAGGTTGAAGGAGTAGACTCAGCATAAAAGTGGCAATTCTTCATTAGTTGCTTTGATATGTGATGGAAATTTGATATAATCCTCTCTTGCGTATACCCCTTAAATCTTTTCATGTAACGTGAAGGGTGTTGTAGTGGAAGAATGATCATCTTTTGTTATTGTATAAAAGTGAGCTGAATTTTCTGTGATTGGAGACTTGAAACTCAGCTAGTTTACATATGCTTTGTAGATAATGTGATTTTGTCGCTTCCCCAAGGGAATAAAACTTTTCTTCATGGGATGTAATACACTAAAAAGATGTCAAAGTGAGTAGTAGTGTCTCAAAGCATATTCTACAATCTTCGCATCAATTATCTTTAGCAAATGTTTAATATATTGGGTAATTAGTGCCAAGCGATTTGGATATGGGATTGAAGACGTTTTCTTTTGATTTTCCCTAGCCAAAGCCTGTGCTTGTCATTGTGAATGCATAAATGGTCAATGATGGCCCATTGATGAAGGGATTCTTTTGGGGATAAATACCAGCGGTTTCGTGTACTTTATGGTAGGGTTGGGAAAGGCGCCCGCAATTTAAAACGTCGAAGGAGAGTGAAAAACCGTTGGCTTTCCATTGGCATTAATCAGGAGGATACCCAAGTCACGCCAGGGATGGCCTCTCCATTCCTCCTGTTTCTTGCCCTTTTTATAACCGAAGTGACATTGTTTGTTTCGTCACTATCAGGAATTTTTGTTATCGTTGCCCTTGTTAATGCCACACGACCCTATCCTATCTTCCCTTTCATTTGTCATTTGTAGCATCTTTCCTTCTTTTCCCAACGCTTTTTTTCCTGGTTTTACAGTGTGTGAAGTTTGCAGATTGGGTGGGGACAGAGTGTCAACCTTCCTTAATACTCTGCTCATTCAGGCCACTCGAGCATAGCTGTTCGGCTCTGGGATTGCCACGTTTTTTACTGATAATGTTTCTTGGAAAAAAAAAACCCGCTGAGCAAATCCCTTTGGAGTTTGGACGACTCCAATCAATAATTAAAAAAATTGTCCCGCCACCAGTAAAACCAGAAACCATGGTTGCCACGTGGTTTTGATGTTGACAGGATCCTCAAAACCACTATCCTCGCCAACTGATAATGTTTCATTGATCTCTATATAGTTTAGGGGTTCCTGATCCTCTTTTTCACATGGTAACAAGGATAAGTTAGAAATCCAGAGAAACTAGGCAATAAGTAAAGATGAGTTATTTGAGCAGAGTTTGTATGGCAACTAGTGTAGCTGCAGTGGAAGGTCATAGAGATTATAGCCCCAAATGGAATTCCAGTCTTCGACCTATTAACGCCAGCAAGAAGGGGTATTTTTCTGCTGTTAGTTCATCGGATGATAATAGACTTTATGGCAGAGGCAAATCCAAAGAGGATAACAGACATCAGACTGAAGAATCTCTTCAAAGAGTGATGTACTTGAATTGCTGGACACAAAGCTAGACTCTGATTAAGTGGGAAGTAGGAGCAATCAGCCAATTTTACATCTACCAGTTGGTAATCCTAACAGTCTAGTCCATGGCATAGACGGCCTGGAATCCAAAAAGAGTGACCGACTCATCATTATTCTTAAGCATCATTACATAAACTGCAATGCCAAGAAGTCGACCTGTAAAACCTATGATTTACACTTCTACTATTAAACTGTCGAAGAAATTCTTGGATGGATTTTTTTTACAGTGGTAAAAATTTGGTTGTTTAGCTCTTCTCTTATTCTGTAAATTTTGGTTCCAATCCTTTCTAACTGTATCCTAATTCCAAGCCAATCAACATTAATTTACTTAACTGTAGAACGAGGAATATATGCCTGTGGCAATACTTCACTTTGGCGACATCAGAAGATAAGAACAAGTAATAAATTTTGACACAGAATCTTGACACTGAAATGGATAGGAATATATCAAATTTTGAAAACCAAATACATCTCAGTGGCAATTGCAGGAAAGGATATTTTTGTTTGATTATGAACGAATAGCCAATCTAAAGAGAGTTACATATCTTTTCTTCTGAGCAATTACAAAGGTTTTCGCGTCTTAACTAAAGGAATGATCATGAAAGACTGCTTTCTTTCATCTTTTGATCGGAGTATCATCGTTCTAATCGTCTTTATATTGTTATTTGTGTCTAACTAAACCGTCTATATTTGTCACATCTGGTGCCAAAATTCTCTTCCCTTTCATGGCAAGTTGAAACTGAACTATTATGCTATGAGCCTTTTAGGCCATGACCAAAGCGATGCAAATTGCTTACCTCTCCTCTGTAGTCTATTCTGCTTCAATATTCTTAATCTTGGTAATTAGCAATGCGCATCCGCCATGAAATGAGAATAGATCACAAAGAAAAGCCGGCCTCTGGTTTTCCAATTGGGCAGTAACCACTCAGATATTAACGGCCTTATTGACTCTTTGTATGTTACCAAGATGAATTTTTGCTATAAATAGGAGTTTAATCCAGGAAGTTGCTCCACCGAAGAGCAGAACAACTTCATAAGCCAAAGAAAGAACAAAAATGCCAAAGTCCAACAACAACATTGCCATGCTCACCAACTTTGTCTTGATCGTTGCTCTTTTGGCCATTGTCTCCATGTCTGAAAGCCGAGAAGTTGGAAGTAAGTCTCAAATCTCAATAATTAGAACAATGTTTGAACTTTTCATTTATGTTTAGCATTGAAATGCATGCAGTTCCAAAGGGAAAGAAGAGCTCCCTAACTTGTGACAAGGTGTACGGCGTAGTTAGTGGCGACACATGCTTTGGTGTAATAAACATGTTCAACTTGACCACTACATTCTTCGAAGCAATCAACCCCAATCTCGATTGTGATTCACTCTTTGTTGGTCAATGGCTTTGTATTGCTGGAAAAGCATAATCAAGCAGCTGTTTGAACAAGAAAGAAACAGTTCTTATGATTCAAAGTACATGAATAAGTAGAAAATAAAATTATCACCATATCGGTTGTTTTTAATTTTCCTTTTAGTATAACCTGCTAGCAACTGGATTATGTCGCCAGCTGAAGCTATTATCCCTTGTTTCTTTACTGGTATTCTAGGAATTTCAATAGATTTCTTTTCTTCCATCGTAATTTCCAATGTTTCTCAATTGGTGTCACTTGTTCCTTAATTTTAGTATTAACATGAACGGGAAACTGCTCTGTTGCATACAAGATGAAGAAAAGAAAAACTGATGTGATGGACCAACAATATTTTTAAAACAAAGGATAGCATTAGCATATGATACCCAATTTCGAGTTTATATTTAATATACTATCAGTGTATTTAATAAATTAAATGATGATAACTCATTAATTAACAAATATTAATCATTAAAATAAATGTAAATAAATTAAAATAATTTATTCATTAATAAAATATTATTATCTGATTTATTTCATTAAAGAATTATCATTTTATTTATTAATAGTATATAAAATTTATATATTGAGAATATATCAAATATAAACTTAATTTTTTTATCACAAAAACAGTGAGATGGAGAGGGACAAGTAACAAAAAGCATTAAATTCTACTTACCCACTTCTTTCCATCCTATTCAAAAGCAAAATCATGAAAAAGGGAGGTTTTGGGGACTTGAAAGAGAGAGGCAAGCAAATTTCCCCAAAATTAATTTACAACATTCAATGTATAGTCATGCAATCCTCCTTTTTGCCGCAGTGCGAGGCTGTGACCGAATTGACAGTTAGCCATCCCTTTTCTTCAAAAGATTTAGCCTTTTCCTTGCCTATGTTTTAATATCCTTGGTCAATTCCTATATTAATTTCGTTTCAATTCATTCACTGTCACGTTTGTTCACCGAAACTGTCCGTGGACATTTAATATATTGAAATTTCCAGTCGAAACAAAGCACAAGAAACTTGGTTTTTAATCAGGAACAAATTATATAAACCTTGATCCAAGAACATTGAGAAACGAATAGTATGTGCTAGTACCATAAGCTAAATTTGAAAACAAAACAAAGAAAAGTGATTCAATCCAGGATGAGTTACACATTCTTTGGAACCTGGCCTTTCTTCCTCATCTCCAAACCTCCATTGGGGTAATCAAGGTCTTCAACGAATCTGGACCAGTACCAATGTGACTTCCATACTTGGCTCATCTCTTCAATTGGGATACCCTTTGTCTCGGGCAAGAAGTAGTACACAAAGATGGACATTAGCACCACAAAGAAGGCGAAGAAAAGGAAGAGGCCAAATTTCAAGTGGCAGAGCATGGTTAAGAACACTTGAGCCACTGCAAATGTGAAAAGCATGTTGACAGATACGTTGATACTTTGTGCAGCTGATCGGATTTCCAATGGGAAAATTTCACTAGGCACCAGCCATCCAAGGGGTCCCCAAGACCAGGCAAATCCGGCAACATAAATGCAGATGAAAAGCACCACAACAATGGCATACCATTTGGGCAGGTCACCAGGGTTCCCATTAATTCCAAACTTAGCACCAATGCAAGCTGCCACAACAGCCTGAAAAGCAGCAAAGATAAAACTTAATAACACATTTTAGCACGAATTGTTATTCACAGTAGTTTCATTGTACCTGGCAGATCAACATTTGAACCCCACCCTCTAGGAAAAGGAATCTCCTTCCCCACTTATCAACACCATAGATTGAAACCAAAGTTGCAGCAACGTTAACAACACCAGTGATCACAGCAGACATGAGGGAAGCATCGCTTCCGAAACCAATTGTGTTAAACAATACCAGGAGCATAAACATAATCACGTAATGGCCAGTTAGTTGTTGAAAGAAGGGAATTAGGATGGCCATGGTTAGATGGGGCCTGTACTTCCTCTGCAATATGTTTTTCCAAGGGTGCTCAACTAGCTTTGATGCATCACTGGCAGCAACAAGGTCCCTAAATTCCTCATCAACATCATCGACCCCACGAATTCGCTTGAGTTTCTCTCTGGCTTCCTCAGTTTGACCGCGTTCAATCATAGAGTTTGGTGTATCTGGGAGGACTAGAGATCCAATTGTGATGATAAGGGCAGGGACCATTGCACCACCCAAACTCAAGCGCCATCCCCAGCCACCTTTGATCTTAGCAAAGAAATAATTCAACACGTTGGCAATAAGGATACCAACTGTTATTGACAATTGGAACCCAATGTTCAGTGCTCCTCTGTATTTGTAGGGGGCCATTTCAGAGAGGTAGAGTGGGACAGACTGTAATAATTACCCAAAAAAAAAAACAATTAGTCAAAATTAAATTACAAATCACCATTATTTTAGTAAACTAAAAGTCGGGCAGGGAAGTAATGCATAAAAATTTCTTTCTCAGAGACCACATGGCTTTGTCGAGTTGTCAATGTTTATTGGATTAAAAACAAAATTTCTTTTCAACGCATCGAAGTCATTCTTGTAGAAAAACCAGACACTTAAAAGCTCACTTTCAATAACAAGCCACCATCATCATATTTCAATTTTCTATTCAACGCCCGATGCATCAAGGAGTATACTTTATCGGAAAAACATTGCAAAGAGATGTCATGCAAGGAAAAACAAGCCATGTCTGAATCTGACCAGGAAAAAAAACAGTAATAAAACTTAAACAGTGTTTTCAAGCTTCATATTAACACTTTAAACCATTTATTGGAAAATAATTTATTATATGTCATTATAAACTGAAATGGTGAGTTATTGCTGACTTCTCAGATCTCAAGAAATGCAAGTTTAAAGAAGACTGGTCAGTTCCAGGGTAGAAAAATATCAAATGTGTAAAAAACCCAGATAAGCTTTTATCAGGTAAAAAGGCATAGAAAAGCTCATATTTGGTTCAGAAACAAGTTTGTAAAAACATGTTTTTGTTGTCATTTTCAAAGCCAAAGAAATTGGATGATCTGTTAATACTCAGAACCATCGCAAAAATAGATCCGAAAGAAAAAATGGTCAGGTTTGAAGAGGAACACAAAGAGACACGTTACACGACAAAACCCAGCAAAAATCTAAATAAAAAATGAAACGAAACCAAAAAAAAAAAAAAATTCACTCTTTTCAGACAGCACACTTTTTGTTCTCTACGAACAACTTGCAATAAAACAAAACAAGAACTTAAGGAAAGAGCCCAATTAGCATACCAATCTCAGGATCCAAACAGGGAAGAGGAAAAAAAAATCCAAACACAAGATTGAGATAAAGAGCTTGGAAGTAGATAATGGTTATTACCTGATTGGCAAATCCAACACCGAAACCAAGTAACATTCTACCGACAATCAACATCCAAACAGCTTTGGCAAAGCCATTGATAAGAGCGCCGGCAAAGAAAAGTAAACCACCAAAAAGCATGGACAATTTCCTTCCAAGCTTACGGGTGACAATGGAGGCTACCAGGGAAGCCAAAAGAGCAGCCAAGTACAGTGAAGATGTGAACATCGTCAGCGTTTGGCTATCATATTGGCAATACTGATTTGTCGACTTATCGGCTTCCTTTTTCTCCCACACTTTTCGAAAGAACTTTTGGAGAAATGAAGTCATAGTCGTCACTCCACCTGTCAAAAAAATCCAAAAAAAAATTAATTTCTACATGAAGCGAACAAAGATAATGAGAAAGAAAAGAAGTTTTTTGATCTTTGAAATATTACCTGAAATCCCAATATCATAACCGAAAATCAAACCCCCCATGGCTGCAACAATGCATGTTACAGTGACAAATGGGGTAAGGTTTCCAAGGTACTCCTTGCCGCTACCCGGGCCAATTCCTCCCACAGCCGGCATTTTCGATCTTCCTTCACTTCAATTCTAAAGAAACAAACTCAAAACTAGGAAACAATTAAAGGGAAATATAAGATTGGAAGAGGCTATTAACACAAAGAAAGAATCAAGGAAAACCAAGCTAAAGAAGATAGAGGTTTTAGAACAGCATAGGAGGTGTTTATATAGAGAAACAAAGGAAAAAAAAGATTTACAATATTCTTAGATACAGGAGAAAGCTGAGTTGCCAAAAAAATAATATCTTAATTTTGAATCAACAAAATTCAAAACTATAATTACCTTTCATTTTCTTCATACGTAGAAAGTACTATATAAGATAGATATAATTTTTATTTTCCAACATAAAATAGAGCAATTTATATTCTGTTTGTCATTAAGTTTCCTTCGACATCCACTGGCCCTACAAAACCACTTTAGTACTCAAACTTCGTGGGGGTCAGATAAGGTCACTCCCACCAAAGTTGAAACAAAGACAACCCATTTTTCTGCAATCAAACCTGTTTTCTAATCAGGGTTTTAGCTTAAGATGGAAATTATTAATGATTTCAATACTATGGGAACAAAATCAGACCACGACTAAGATTGTACAGATTTGGGAAAATATGAAATTGAACACGTCACATATTATTCAATCTGAGTAGGCAAAAAGCCTCTCCAACTAATTAAAATGTTTTGCCTTATCGAAGTTTGGATAATGTTTGATTTATTGTCACATCGGCTAAAGCGGAGAAAACGTGAGTTTAACGGCCTTTTACAGCAAAGTTATAGCATGTGAACACTCAGAAATAATGTAGCAGCTCTGGTTTTTTTTTTTTTTTTTTTTTATCAAATAACTATATTTAAAATTTATTAATTGCATGAGATTTGATAATTTAAAATATAATATTATGATATGATATAATAATAATAAAAATATTATAAAAAGAATATGATTTAAAATTTTTAAAAAATTATACATGATTTAATAAAATAAAAACATATATTTTATATTTTTATATCAATATAAATTATAATACATAAATTTTATATAAAATACGATACGAATATATAAATTATTAATATTTTATATAATACAAATAAATAAATTATCAAATTTACTACTAAAAAAAGGGTACATCTAACATAAATTAATGGTCAATTACATCTCCTGTTCTTTATTCTTTACTCTCTATTGCACTCAACAAGAGCTAAAGTAAAAAAGGGAGAAAAAAAAATCAAAGTATAGCACTCAACAAAGAACATGAGAAAAAAAAAAAAAAAAAAAGAAAGAAATCAGCAAAGTAGGAATATTGTGGATATGATTGACTTTTTGAAATATTCCTTCAATCATTAACTGTTACAAAAAGATTAATCCATGTAGTAATGATTTTGGTAAGAACAAGGGATTGGAGAATGAATGGATTATTATAATAAAATTGAAAAAAATAAGTAATCAATAATTAAGGTGTAGTCACTATTTATGAACATGAAAAATGTGAGCTCACCTCATGAATAATTTTATAATTCAAATCCATTATAAATCATATATTTTTTGTACTAAAATTAAGTTATAATAATATTTTATTATCGCATGTAATGTGAAACTTTAACAAAGTTTAATTCGAATAATTTTATAAATGGAATCCATTTATTCAAAAACTAAAAAAAATTATTATTATCGATAAAAATTTTCGTCGATCGTAAATAAATTAACATTATTGCTTAGTAACATTATTGCCCTGATTTTCCAACAACTTAACAAAGTTATGTGTTAAAAGACATACTATACCATGATGGATGTGTCCTTTTACAATCAGTGTGGAATTTTCACTTTGCTTTTACAAAAGTGAATGGAAGTTCTCTTTGGAAACATCCTAAAAGCATAAATGTTTAGAAAAAAAAAAATTGGAACTCAAAAAATTAAAGAGTAAGAGAACAAAATTACAAAAGAAATAGTGAAAAGTTAAAAAAAAGAAAAAAGAAACAAGGTTTCCTGTTTCAAATTCTATAAAACAAATAAAATTCCATAGAGAACTTTTCCCTCACGAATGATGTGAATAACTTTTCCACCAATGGAGTGGAGTGGAGTGCTTTGTGGGGTTTTCTCACTTTCTCACTTTTGATTGTTCTTGGCAGATATAAACATCGGCGTTTTATTTTTAGTAATAATTGATGTGAAATACATCAAATCAAAGTCACGAAAAAACAAACCCTGGCAGACGGCCAATGTCTCCTAAACATTGGATTGCAAAAACTGGTAGCTTGAGCAAAAATTTCTGAACCCCCCGTTGCCAATTGACTTGTCCAATTGCCAACTGCAAAAAAAAAAAAAAAAAGGGCAATCTTCCTCTCTCAAAGAACTTGGGTACAAAAAGGAAAACCAACAACGGTAAGTGAAATTACCTTTGGGGCATTCAAATAAGGTTGGCTTGACCCAAATATAATACCAGTGAATTTTGTTTTTAGTATGATGAAATGGGTCAAGTCTTGCAAATCGGGGAACCCTAGTTAGAGGCTGGTTGGGACAAAGTGACATGGGTTAGTTTAGTAGTTAATAAGGGCTAGTCATTATCCAAAAGGTTTCTGCTGTAATCTTCGATAAATTATGGGATTGTGTGGGTCCCCATGAACCATGCATTGGCATTCGATTTGAACGTGCCCAAAATAGGGAATGGGCGGTGAAAGCAATCTTTTTTCTTCGGATAAAGATTACAAGTGTGGCGGTGATGGTGGTGTGCATCAGGGTTTTAGGCCGAAAAAGCTAAAAGGTATGAAAGGACTTGCGTTTTTGAGCTTCCGTTTCTAGTAACTTCATAATTTGGATTTTGTTAATTGCAGCGTTTCCATTTGGGTGAAACATATAGTTTGAAAACGTTGAAAAACAGATGAGGAAAGCAAACTTTCATCCAAAGCAAAGCGGTGAAATGAGCCATCACCTCATTCCTTCCTTTGGTATGGAAAAGATTGCGTTAATTGATAAGTATTACTTGGCCATCACAGGGATAAGGAAACAGATAGAAGGAGCTGCAGTGCAATATGTAACTCTGAAGTCAACACATTACACATTTTTAATGATCCCTACTTCCATGTCTGAAGAAAGAAAAAAAAACCCAAAAATTAATTGAAAAAAAAGGTCAACGAAATTAAACATTCATAACATGGGCAAGAAAACCACTAGAGGGGTTGATGATGGGAATGGGGTTCAATGTCTCCCCTTGAAAGAGTTTGACTTAGGAGGCAGGGGAACAGACCCCACAGCCTTTGCATAGTCTTACCAGGGTTCAATCTTTTGTTGCTGGTTATGCTTATCTGGCAATGATGGAAGAAGCTATAGCTGAATTTAAAGAAAATGTTTATGAACACGTTATTTCTTTTGTAATAAACAGCAATCAACGACCTTGAGAGCTGGGGATTCTCTTAGACATAAAAAGATAGCCGTTACTAGTTGCTTAGACATTTTGTCTTTATCTTCACATGATCTCAGCTGTCAATTTGCTCTAAATATATATAATGTCCGACGACTTAGCGGTGTTCATGGTTTTCTCGGCTTCAAATTTTATGTTATGGCCATGAATTGATGATTTAATCAATTAAAGTGGAGCTCCTTCAAAGCCAACCACTATCGAATCACGTTACTTCTTCTAAAATTCAATAACCATGCATTTTTCTTTTCATTTTCACCTAATAGGGGATTTTCCCCTTTACAAGAAGCAACATTTTGTTGATAAAAACACTGTCGTTTGATTTTTTTAACAAAAGAAATTATAATTTAAATATAAAAAATCTTAAATATTGATATTTAAAGTTTAAATTTATTATAATTATTTTTTAAAAATGATAGTATAAATAAATTAAATATTATATTATATTCATCTTAATCTATTTCTTAAAAATTTCAAATCAAATTCCTTTCTTAAAATAATGGTATTATATATAAATGCGTACCAGGCAACGTACACATTCTGTAAAATTTATTTAATATAATTATTTCTATATTAATCATCATTGTCAATGCTTCTAATATTAAGATTAATTTTTGGTTTTCTGGTAATATAATAAGAACATATGCCAACAAAGTGCTCTTATTTTAATGTATGTTTAATTTTGTGTTTAATCATCTATTAATTAAATATGGGTTTCCTCTCCTTGTCACGGGAAAGGGAATTTGATAGTGATAAATAATAAAAAAAAACTACATTAAAATAATGGTTTATGTTGTGAATATTGGGTGGCAACTTTTCTTGCTTAGAGGGAAAACAAATAAGGTTAGCAGTCGGAACAAGTACGATAGATTTCGATTCGATTTAATTTTGTAAGATTAATTTTTTTTTAAATTAGATTTTAACTCAAGTTGGATATTATTAAAAAAAAATAAAATTGAATCGGATTTAGATTTTAGATAAATTTGATTCGATTCGATTTGATATTTATATTAAAAATTATTTTTTAATTTTTTATTTATATATAATTATATATTTATATTTAAAAAATAAATATTTTATTAATTTCGAGTCGAGTATGATTTATGCAATATCAAATTTTAAGTCAAATTCAAAAATTAAAAAATAAAAAAAAATTAAGTCAAATACAGATACAAATTTTATGATTATAAAATTGAATTAGATTCAAGACGAATAAAAACTCACGTCCATCTGATTCGTTGTCAATCCTAAAAATAAACATCATATTGGGTTAATGTTTTCTCAAGTTTTTGGTAACAAGGGTAATTACAACATAGAAAAGGACACCCCCTACCTTTATTATGGACAAATCAAATTTTGCTTTGTTGTTGCTTCCAATTTTGCCGAAAAGGATTGGATCAAATAACAAACCCATATGCTTGGTTTCCATTTTCTTATTTAAACAAAATTGGAAATTATATAGATTTAGGCCTTTGATTGCGGAGAGAAATGAAAGAACAGGAGAAAATTAATCTATTGAGGATGGAAAAATATAAAGTTTAATTCTCCTATAGAATGTGTGACAGCTAGCTTGATTTGATCCTGGTTCAGCATTAAAAATGGAGTGAAATCCTTAATTGACTCCTCCAATACGAGAAGGGCCACTCTGGGACCTTGACCATGAACGTTTACAACACATGAAATTACATACCTGACATAATTAAGTAAAGAAAATGAAGAGCAAAGCATATTTGCACATGTTATTGGCTTAATTGGTGGGTTCTTTGAAAGGAGAATTAAACTCGTAGTGGTGACCAACATTTCTTGTATTTTTTTTTTTTCTGGAGTGACCTAGATATTTCCGAGTGAGATCCAACTTAAATTATCTATCTTGTGGGCTTATTTTTTCTTCGTTTGTCTTCACTTGTATAATTGTTGTAATGTTCATGGAATAGCTTTGTTTTTGTAACTTCCAGGGCAAAAAAACGATAAGATAATCAAAATATCATGCATGGGACCTCCAAAGATGGATCCAATAGCAATATGGTTATTATGATTGCTTCAATTTTGAAAGACACAGCTTACCAGAAAGTTCCTTAACTAAACTTCTGTCATTGTGTTATTGGATTGAATCACAATATTATTTGCAATAACATGCTTTAAAAGATAAAAACTTAAGAATGA